TTCTCGTCCATTTTCAACTCATTCGTCAAACATGCCTCCTGGAGAGGCCGATCCATCTGGTAGCATGAGAAACGGCCTTTCCGTGCTGGGAGTTTTACCACGCCTTAACGTAAACTACATCGTTCCTATCTCGCCGGCGCCTCGAGAACCGTCTCCAAAATGCAAGGTAGGAACGGTGTATCCGTTCGAGCCATTAGACTCACCCCATGCGTGGGAGCCACACACTTCCCTGGATCTTGTGCCCGGAGGTGGCGAGGGCCCGTCTAAGCCGCCAACTGCTTCGCCTTCGACGGTCAGCAGCGCGCCTGACAAGCGACAGCGTGTGGGAGCGACGTACAATCAGCAGACACTCTAGGGCGCCCCACCTCCCTGAAACGCGTCTACTCATAAACGGCCTGCACCTCCTGCCGAACCCAAGCCTCCCACCGCCTTGGCGGATGCTGGGTACGAATCGGTAAAGAAGAATTTTGACTCTCAGTGGGCAGGTAGTTTCAAATGGTTACGCTTACATCGCATGTCTAACGGCAGGCCTTCGTTGAAGTGTTTCATTTGTGTTAAGCACAAAGATCCGCTAGCGCACACAGCGTATGGGGCGAAGGGGGTGGAGCTTGAGATCTCCAAATCGGCAGCATCCGCACTCACTCAGCTACCCGTGCCCACAAGCAAGCAGTGGATAACCAGGAGAAATCGGAGGCGGAGAAAGCCAAGCAGGCCACTCTCACACGGTGGCAGATCACGGATTCTTCTACCCGACACATCATCCGTCTACTCCACATAGCGCTCTTCGTCTCCACGGCGGACGCTCCCATCGCCATGTTTGTCCCACTGTGCTGGTTTTTGGCGAAGGAGGGGTTACCAGACCTCCCTCCATCCGACGGATACGGCTCATACTACACTGAGTAAGTGCTGGCTTGTGTTTGTGCACCTCGTTATTTGATTGATAAGCACTCACTAACTTTTACTCTGTCTCTTATCGTTGGCAGTTACAGATTCAAGGAGAATCTGCGCACCCTGTCAACTTATCTCCAAGAGACACAACGCCTTCACCCCCTCGAGTCCCCGTGGATAGGCATCTCCCTGGACGAGAGCACAGTTCTGGTGCATGGGAAGCACCTGATCTTATACGCTACCTTCTTCAAGCGCACATCTGTGGTTACTGAGTTTTTTACTCTCATCATTGTTGACCGTGCTGACGCTGCCTCCCTCACATCCGCGGTCGTGCAATATATCACAGGGATCGGGGTCAACCTCCATAAGATATCAAGCGTCGCCTCCGATGGTGCAAACGTGATGATCGGCAAGAACAAGGGCGTCATTACAAGGCTGACCTGGCCTCTACACACTGTATCGCCCATCGGTATGCACGTGTTGTGTCTGATTGATGCAGTGTTTGTTACATATGTTGCTGTTGTTAACATGTTCTTCTGTTTCTGTGATATTGTACAGGGAAGCACTCGCTGCCAGTGATGCCGCATATGCTGTCCCTGAGCTTCGCATGGTTGACAACGTCGTGCGCGCCTTCGCTGAACACATCGGCCGCAGCAGCGTGCACTACCAGAAGTTCCACGACCTGCAACGGATCTTCGGCCAGACGAATTTGGAGGCGCAGGGGATCCACGAGGTCCGATGGCTCTCCCGTGGTGAAGCGGTACAGCGCCTGCTCGATGTTCTCCCTATAGCTGTAGTGGTGCTGAAGGACTACAAGAAGGAGATGTATGAGGTGGTTACCTCGTTCAAGTTCCACTGGCTCATCCGCTTTCTTGCGGATGTGGTGTGGGAACTCAACGCCCTCAACAAGCGCTTCCAGCAACGCCAGGTAATAGCCTTTTGCCACATGCATCTTGGTTCCCGCAACTATGCACGACCACGTACTGACTGCTTGTAGTGCCTGTGTGCAGGTTGACGTCACCCTTGTTGCGCACATCGTGGAGCAAACAAGGATGCGTCTGAAGACCAGGTAGTCCCTCCGTGACCCAGCCCACCACTTCGGCAACAGGGATAAAATGCAGCTGCCATAATTCATTAAGAGACACCAGGCGATGGATAAGAGAGAGAGATGAAGGCGGAGGGTATAGACGGGGACGGGAATCGCGTCTCTTTTGTCTACGAGCTGCATGAGCGTCGTCTGCCCGGACATGAAACGACGTGACGGCGTGCGTGGAGCTGTCGATCAAGTTTGTGCGTGCCGTGGACGCCGAGCTGGAGTGGCGGATGCACGACCTGAACCTGCTGGAAGGAACGAAGTTGTTTCGAACAGCTTCGTACGTGTCTGACGACAGCAAGCGCGTGGAGACCTTCAAAAAGTGGTTGGGCCTTCTGCACAAGCTGCACAACCATAAGCTCCCTGGTATGCCATAATAGGAGTTTGCGGCTGTGTTCCAATGTTTTGTCAATTGCATGTCTGTCGTGTTGGTGACTCGTGCACGTGGTGCTCACCGCTGCTCGTTGGACTAATGCCCCCCACTCCTACCCGTGTATGCGCGCGTCGCCCAAGTTTACACCCCGTACCCGCCCCATACCAGGGTTCGACTACAAAAGGGCCGGCTAGGAACTGTGGATGTTTACATCCACAAAGTTCTCCCAGCACAACAACGAGGAGTTTTATCAGGCGCTGGGGAACATGATGCGGGACGATGCGTGGCGTGTGTCCTTCCCCAACATCATGAGCATGTGGCAGTAAGTCGCCGTGCTGCCATTGAGCACGGTTGAATGCGAGCGGAGCTTCTCGAAGCAGAACCTGATCAAGACTTGGGGACGCGGCAGCCTTGGCGACACAAGCCTGGAGCACCTGATGCGGTGCTCTCTGCTGCGGTATGATGTCGACTGGTACGAGGTGGTCGCCATCTTCCGAGGAGAGAAGCTCAGACGATCCACCAAGGAGTTTAGGGTTTCCAGGGCTAGCAATTCAGCGTTTGTAGAAGAAGTTGTAGGCAGTGGGGGTGGCACTGAGTAGTTGTGATGTTTGTGCAACTTTATTATTACTGAAGAAATTACGTACCGGTAACAGACAAAGTAGTATTGGAAACTGGCTATCTGCCAAAATACCCTGCTCAAATCAGGCTACCATGCCGAAATCCTTGATTTACCCTGATGCAAACAGGGTATGGAAAATTTTACACAACGGGTCAGGGTAAAGAGGGGCTGGAACCCTGATTTGTCAGGGTGGGCCTAAACCAATTTTGGGCCCTGCTCGTGATCTTACAACATCTAGCCAGAACCTAACCAGCTGAGAGATATCATGTTGCAGTATGGAAATTTTTAGGCTGTTTCCAACAGGCTACGAAAAAAAATACCCTAAAGGTCAGGGCACTGGGGGCCTGGAACCCTGATTTCTCAGGGTGGGCCAAAACCAATTTTGGGCCCTGCCCCAAACAGCCCCGTGGCCATGGTTCCTTTGTTGAGTACAAGTATGTGCGCAACTGTTACCTGCGTGCGTGCGTCACATGTCAAATCATTTACACGTTTCACAGGCCACATGCGTGCGTGAGTCACATGTCAAATCATGTTTTGATAATACCACTGGAAATTGAACAAATGTTAGATTACTCCTCTTGATTCAGATTCTCCCTCCACTTTCCAAGCAATTGCTCTGTAGTGGGTCGATGAGCCCAGTCACTCTGAATCGCATCTCGCATCATACCCACCAGAACCTCTGCTTGCTCCCGCGTCCATTGCCCCTCAAGTTTTCTGTCGAACACCTCGGCATAATCCGCGCTCGCGAGATCCCGCGATAGTATTTCTACTCCTGGAAAAAAATCGTCCAGCACACCGCGCCCTGAGACGAGCTCTAGCAGGAAAACGCCAAAGGCGTAGGTGTCGCAATGCATTGTTAAGAAGCCTGAAGTGGAGAAAGGGTGGGAGAGAAACCGGGATACACGGATGGGGGTCTTGAGAGGTCTCATAACTTGGGCACCGGATGGATCGGTGTGAGGAGTTACGAGATCAAGAGCCTCATTACGAGGTGGTTCATTATAAGTTGTTTCATTGCGAGGCAGAATTAAACGAACAGGAGGAAAGAGGATGAAGACTGCAAGATTCCAGTGCAGAATTTGAATTCTATAGATGCAACAGGCACTGCCAGGACAGAAAGATCACCATGAAGCTTCTGGGTTCAGCTGATGCACGAAGTGCGTGCGAGGGCACTCGGTTTGCAAGGGGGTGAATGTGAGCAGCAGGGATACACGGGGTTGGGTGTGTGCGAGGGTGTCCACATCGCAAGGGGTGAGTCCATGAATTGCAAATGACACACTGACAGCAGAGGGGGGTGCTGGGAAAACGACTCTTCATTGACAGCACCTCGCACATTTCGCACTAAACAAGACGTGCCAAGAGCCAGCTCACTTTTCTCCGCATGAGAGATTTCTGAGAAAGACAACTTCTGGAGCAGCTGACCTTGCTGATTGTAGCTTGAGAGTACCGTGCACATACCTGACCCAATTCTCACACGAGGCATATCTGACCCAATTCTCACACGAGGCATTCCTGACCCAATTCTCACACGAGGCATTCCTGAGCCATGCTCACAGGAGGAAGCAGACCACACAGCCAACGCTATATGAGACTGTGAATACACGCAGCGAGAGGGACAGCCAATGCACTGACTCACCTCTCATAAGCAAAGCACGCTGGGTCCATGTTGCCCTGAGTCATGTGACAGGCAGAACGATTTCTGTGTTGACTAAAAGTTTGTCTCACGACACATGCAACGCGGCGGCTCACCTCTCTCAACGCACTCCGGTCTGGGTCCATGTAGCGAGGTGACTCTTCATGCGACTCTACAGTCGCAAATCCGTGTAGCCTTGAGGCATGACATGACACAGCCAGAACCACGCAGCACGCCAACTCACCTCTCTCAAAGTACTACGGATCCATATATAAAGCCCAGCGACCCAGCCAGCACATGCAATGCAACACATGTGCTCACCCTTCCCACACTAGGCTGGCTGGGTCCTTGTTGCCCAGCCCATGACATAGCCAGAACACACACCACGCCGGCTCACCTCTCTCAAAGTATGAAGGGTCCATATAGCCCAGCGACCCAGCCACTCTCGTTGTGACATGTGTCTTGTCCTGGCAAGCCTTGGCCAATCCGAAATCCGCCACCTTGGGAACGAGCGTCTGGAAACACGCAGATTGAGTTCAAGAACAAGAAACAGCAGGTGGGCGATGTGTTATTGTTCTGACACGCCATGGGCTAATATGAACGTAGATCTGATCCAGCATGCATTGGGATCCCAATTCCACTACTGTGGGAATGAGCGCTAGGAGAAACACGTAGTTGCAAAGTAAGAGGAAACAGAGAATGGTTGAAGCTAGTCAAGGCCTGCATCATATGTTGTGCTTTGCCTTGGCTGGTCATGGTCGGTCCAAAACTTGCCATGTGAGGAGCACCGAGACAGTCTTGAAACATGTTAATCCAGCTGAGGGAGGTTTGTGGGTAATGAGACGGTTTTTGAGGCTTGAAAATCTGTGGAAAGGCAAGCAAGCATCCCAAATCTCTACATTTGTGATTCGAGCATCCCGAGGTGAAACCACGATGATGTGGTTTGAACTGTTTTGTGAGTGTGCTCTCAGGTAGACTAACGCACACAAATGTGACCAGGCTTGTATCATGAGTTGGCCGAAAACTTGTTTCGAAACGTTTGGTAGGTGCTCTCTCTAATTCGTGCAACAAACCTTGGTAAGATAGAAGCACATCATAGGAGCCCACCTTCGTTAAAAGAACATCATAGGAGCCCACCTTCGTTAAAAGAACATCATAGGAGCCCACCTTCGTTAGAAGCACATCATAGGAGCCCACCTTCGTTAGAAGCACATCATAGGAGCCCACCTTCGTTAGAAGCACATCATAGGAGCCCACCTTCGTTAGAAGCACATCATAGGAGCCCACCTTCGTTAGAAGCACATTGGCGGCCTTGAAGTCGCGGTGGATGAATCCCTCCCTGTGAATGGCCGCCAGCCCCTCCAGACTCCCCCTGGCGATGCGCAGCCGCTCCTTCCAGGGGAAGGGCTCTGTACCTTTGGCAGCTGCTTGCGCACACATGGGAAGCGGGAGTGGAAGGGAGCAGGGGGGTAGGGTAGGGTGAGAGAGGGACTTGTGTGAGCGAGCGCACACGCAAGGAATTTGGAGCACGATTCATGCGAGTTTCTCTGCCCCAATAATCGCTGCTAATGGAAATCTGTTGGAAGAGAGAGGTGGGCTGTTTACTCATGCCACTGTGGCCACACCCTCTAGTGCTTGCGAGCAGAGGGGGTGGGAGGGGAGGGGAAGGGGGAGGAGGGGAGCATAGGAAGAAGGGAATATGCCTATGCTTGTCCCGATCTGCTAGGCTCAACCCACCTGCTAGGCTCGATCTCACCTGCTAGGCTTGTCTCATTTCCCATCACAGAAAACGCTGCGTCCTTTCACACCCGCAGGCCCGTCATTGTGTAGTAAACAATACACCATCACATTGCATGGCACCGCATCACACCGCACGACACCTGACGACACAACACTACTTCTCTTGATGCGCTGGGAAGCATCCCCGCCTGGGACTAAATCGGAGACCATGGTAAGGGTACGCGTCACTATGTGTGTGCACATGCCCACCGCATTCCACCCTCCCATACCTCTCTTTATTCACTGGGAAACATCCCCGCCAGAGATGAACTCAAAAAAGACCATGGCAAGGGCTCGCCCTATCATGTGTGCAAATGCCCACCCCATTCCACCGCATTCCACCCTCCCGTACCTTTCTGTAATCGCTGGGAAACATCCCCCCCTGGGACGAACTCAGAGACCATGGCAAGTTTTCGGCCCATCAAAGCCATTCCCAGCACGCGCAGAACGTTGGGATGGTGCAGCGCCGTCATCATCATGATCTCTGTCTGAACAAGGGGGGGATGGCGGAGAAGAGAAGGGGGGAGGCATCAAGACCATGATTCGAAAGGGGTGCAGGTGGGTCTCAAAGGGGGATATGAAAGGGGGTTTTGGAAGGGGGGTCTGATGGTTGACGCCATCAAGCCAGCCGCAGAATGCTGGGATGGTGCAGTGCCGTCATCATCATGATCTCCGTCTGATGGGGAGAGAGGGAAGAGAGGTGAGGAGAGGTGCGGTGAGGTGAGGTGAGGAGAGGTGAGGAGAGGTGAGGTGAGGTGAGGTGAGGAGAGGTGAGGAGAGGTGAGGTGCGGTGAGGTGAGGTGAGGAGAGGTGAGGAGAGGTGAGGTGAGGGGTGAGGTGAGGAGAGGTGAGGAGAGGTGAGGTGAGGTGAGGTGAGGAGAGGTGAGGAGAGGTGAGGTGCGGTGAGGTGAGGTGAGGAGAGGTGAGGAGAGGTGAGGTGAGGTGAGGTGAGGAGAGGGGGGCTGAAACTGAAAGAAATGTTATACATGGTGCAGAGTTGTCATCGTTATGATCTCAGTCTGATGGGGGAGAGGGAGGCGCGGGCGTGGGGGGTTGAGAGGCAGTGTTGAAGTTAAATGGTGAATTTAAACCGTGCTGGTCCGTGATGACCATTACTCTCATCAGAGCAAATCATTCTCCATCTGGCAACGGGTGGTGGTTGGGGTTCGGAGAGAAATGAGAGGGGAAGGGGAAATAAGAGCGAGGGGATGGGGAGGGGAAGGGGCGTGGATTGGAGAGGAAGGAGATGGGAAACAGAAGGAAAGGGAAGGGGGAGGTGAGGGGAAGGGAAAGGGGAAGGAGTAGGGGAAGGCGAACCAGAAGGGACAGGGAATGAGTGCTGAAATTCCTGAGTGTCGGGGCGAGCGATTGAGAGGGACTAAGAGGAGAGAGGGGAGATGCTAGTAACTTACCAGGTAGGTGCTCATGTGTAACCCTCTCGTGGCCATTACTCACCAGCAGCTGCTCTCTTGCGCCGCTCTCCACATCGTCTGTCAAGCACAACTTCACCGCCACCAGAACAAACTCCCTCCCACCCACTTCCACCACTTCCAAACCTTCAATCCCCATTCCCCCTTCCGCCTCGCTCTCCTCCCCTTCGTCCCCTTCCCCATCCCGTTCCCCCCCTTCTCCTCCTTTGCCTCCCCCGCCTTCTCCCCCTCTTTCGCCTTCTCCCCCTCCCTCTCCCCGTCCTCCACCCCCTCCCCCTCCCCCTCTCCTTTCCCCTTCCCCTTCCCCATCCTCCCAGTCCCCGCCCCCTCCCCCTTGCGGCAGCAGCAGCATGCCCTTGTAGACGGCGCCGAAGCCGCCTTCCCCCAGCTTGGTGCGCCAGTCGCCCGTCGCCCGCCGCAGCTCCTCCTGCGAGTACCGCGGCAGCGCGCCGTCCCCCCCCACCGCGCGCATCATCACGGGCTTTAATTTATCATCTTTTGGGAGGATGGAAGGTGGGGTGTGGGGGGAAGGAGGGGAGGGGGGTGAAGTGGGGAGGGGAAGGGGATGAGATGAAGGGAAATAGGAAGGGAGGCGGGAGGGGGATTGTGGAGGGGACTAGGGTGTGTGGGTGTGGGGCATTGCCAGTGCGCCAGTCGCCTGAATCCCGCCGCAGCTCCTCCTGCGAGTACTGCGGCAGCATGCCCTCCGCTCCCACCGCAGAAGGGAAAGGGGAGAGGGGAAAGGGGAGAGGGGAGAGGGGAGAGGGGAAGGTCAAATGACAAATGGCGGCACGGGGCCATGATGGTACTCGAGGAAGGGCCATGGAGCATGGACAGATGGCCCTTCGCAAGTACCGTGAAGCGTGTCGTCCGCCAACCACTGCCCGCATCACGGGGTTGGGGGGGGGAGAGGGGGGAGAGGAAAGGTGGGTAAGTTGGAGAGGAAGAACGGGGGGAAGGTTGAAGGAAAATCGGTAAAATCCTTATCTATCCTGCGAGTATCGCGGAAGCATGATGCAGTCAGCACCCCACCGCCTTCATCGTCACGGGGATGGCTATTGCAAACGATCAAACGTTGGCGTCGACTCAGAAGTCGAGAATTCCGCGGTATTATACCACGGCGGAAGCATGACGCAGTCCTACACGGAGGAAATCATGCTTCCGCGGTGCGGAGTCCGCACCCACCGCCCTCCTCATCCGATGGCGAGTCGCCACGGGGATGGCGATTGTTAAACGATGAACACGAAGTGGAATTTCTTTCGTCTGAAGTGAAACGAAGTAGTAAGCCGACTGAATTTAACGTTGAAAGAGAAGTAAGTGACGTCGCAAATAAAGTTTCAACCCGATGACCCCGGGAGAGTCCCGGATTCATAGGTCGGATTCAGGTCTTCGATTGGGTCCCATCGGGAAACCTAAATTCCGCGACCAATCCCTGGAGAGTCAATTGTGTCAAAAATGGGTCACCCCGAAGTAGTCATATCATGGTAGGACCCGGGTAAGAAAGACGAATCTGACGCCGAAGGAGTGAGTTTCAAGGACAATTATGAACCAATTTCATCGAAAACCTCGGGTAGAGTACGTTTTATAATACGAGCTTGTCGTAACTCACCGTTCGCGCTAGAAAAGCAGCAAAAGAAACCCATCTTGATGTTTCCGCAGTTATTTTCCCAAGCAGAGAGCAGTTCAGGAGCAGCTCCCGAGTATTTCTGTTAATTCGAGCCTAGTAAACGATGACCTTGAGACTAGCGTTCCGAGAAATCTGGTAGAAATGAGGGAAAAGCTTCGGATGTGGAACGTGTGGATGCAAATGCATTGGATTGTGAAACAGCGAGGGGTGACAGAGCGTGCTTGCTCGGGGAAATGCATGTTCGAAGCCACGATGACGTTTCTAACTGTCACGCATGCCCCACCATTGGCTACAACCTGCAATGGCATGACTGTCATATGGCCCAGCAATGTCGGCCTACTATGTTCTGAACTTGTGACTACGTGCACGTACACAGTACACGCAGCTCATGACACTTGTGAAGCTGTGTGGTTTGGGCGAGGCGATGAGATTGGAACGGAATAAAGACGAGGACATTTCTGTTGGTCTTGGATTTCTTCGTGCTGGCGTTGTGTTGACTTCTCGGACCATGCTGATTGGACATTGAAAAGCGGGGTAGGTTGTCAACATGCGTAGCTGTCTCCCCTTGGCCCAAATCCGCTAAGAATAGGCGGAAGGCTTTAGCGGGGCCCGGACGATGGAGTGGGGAAAAAGTGAGGTACTACACAAGCGGTATTCAACTGGATTTGATTCTAAATGTTCAATACTCAGTTTATTGTAAGGAATGTAAAGCATGCATTTTCAAAGGCCTTTCAGCTGTTTCAAGCCATGTGGTAGAGGCATGAGCGCATTGATAGGGCACTCCCGAATCACGTTGATATTTCGGCTATACCCGTCAGATCAGAACACATGCCAGGGTGGGGCATGTGGCATGGGTGCTTCTCCCGCTTGTCTCCTTTCAGCTGCTTCAAGCCATGCGGTAGATCCGACATGAAGGCAGCCAGACACTCTGAAACCATGTTGGGTTGGCTGGCAGGTTGAGGATCTGGGGGGGTCACATGGTGGGTGGGTGGGTCGGGTCAAGTGGAGGGATGAAGAGGCACTTGTATTAGCATGTTGGGTGGGTGGGGCAAAGGAAGGGAATAAGAGGCGGCAGTGAAAGCATCAGAGCAGCTAGGCACTCTGAAATTGCACTGGGGTTGCCTGATAGTTTGCCCATTTCACTGTGCATCATGCACCAATGCACCCATGCACGCTGCACCCATGGGCACACCTCACCAGAGTGGACCCCCTAATGCCAGCCATGCACACTTGCATCCTGCACCTATCCAGCCACCCATTCCACTGTGCAGCAAGCACCCATGCATGCCACCTTACCAGAGTTGAGCCTCTATTTTCTGCAACCATGTGCAAAAGCGTGGCAAAGGGCGTGATCTGCAGGGGGGAAACGAGAAGAAAGAGCAGAGGGAAAAACAGACAAGCACCAATGAGAGAGCGAGATAAGTGGCACAGGGAATGGACTTGTCATGTCACTCTATGTGTTGTCAAGTCTGATCTCCCCCCCTCTCCCCCCTTAATTCCCCAACCCTCCCCTCTCTTGAGAAGAAAAATACAAAAAATAAGTTACCCTTAGGTAGGCTCTCTTGCAGCATGGCATGGGTGACGCTCGGTGCAGAGCGATGGAAGAGCGGTGCACAGGCTTCAGGAGTGACATCCCTAGGGGAGAATTTCGTGCCCCCTGTCATTGTTATCACATCCACTGCTGCCACACCCGCTGTCTCGGCAGTTGACTCAGAAATCTCATCCCCATCTGCCCATGCCTTGACCTGCCTGCGCTGCTATCTTGTCTGGGCCATCTGGAACCACTACTGTCGTTACCACTGCTGCTGCTCGCAGGAACGATTGCACTGCCTGGACTGCCCTGGGGCCACTGAGTGAAGCGGGATTTGAGAAGAGGGGATGGAGGGAGGTAAGGAGTGAGGGATGGAGGGGGGGAGGAGGAGGATGCATCTAGGTGATTTTTAAAGCAGGAATGGTAGAAACGTCTCAAGGCACCTTCATGAATTTGGCGGCTAACGTCTGTTGAACCTGGCTTCGGCTGTTAATCCTGCCGCCGCCGTGTCACTGGCAGTCAGGATCGCCACTCGTACACCCGGAGAGGCATCAGCAGGAGAGGCAGCGGCAGCAGGTGGAGAGGCAGCAGCAGCAGCCGCAACAGTAGGAGCGTAAGCGGCACCAGCGCTTTGCTTATGCCCACGCCCTTTCCCATGGTCATGCCCATGGCTGCACCCTCACCCATGCGTCTCCCCCTCCCCTCCCCCTCTCACAGCCACCGTCCCTCCAGTCCTCCCCACTGCCATCGCAGGAACCGTGAGGCACGCAGCGGCATCAGGCAGAAACAGCGCAGAGAGGACGGAGCCAGCAGGGAAGGAGCCGTGTGCCTGGAGCAGCTCTAGAAGGCAGTGGGCAGAGCGCATGGAGAGCAGCCTGCTGCTTATCTGCCTCCCTGTGCTGTCTGCTCTGAACCCAGACAGAGCGGCGCCAGAGGGAGAGCAGCAGCAGTAGACCCAGCGGAAGAGGGAAGAGAGGAAGCAGAGGTGGCAAGAGCAGCAGGCACGTTGGGCTCCCAGCGGAGGGATGCTCCGTGATACTCAGGGCGGTCAGGGTCCAGACGGAGAGCAGAGGAGATGTGAGCCTGCACCTGGGAACAGGGGGATGAGAGGGGTGCAACGAGGTGAAACTGACGGATAGCGAGCAGCACAAACAGGTTCAACGAATTTTGAGGCGTCTCAAGAGTCGTTTCCCTCCCCCTTGCCCCATTCCCCTCCCCCTCGCCTCCTTCCCCTTCCCCCTCCCATTGCGCTCCTTACATACGCAGCAGGGGATGACGCCACCCCCCCATCTGACGAATAGCGGGCAGCACAAACAAGTTGAAGCACACATGCAGCTGACTGGATTCCCGGGCAGCCCGAATACAATCGTTCGGTGCGGCTGGGCGGCGCTGTCCGTTTTATCTGAAGGGGTTTCGATGGTTGCAAAGGTGAGTGGTTTTCCCGGATTCATGTGTACCTGTTAAACAGGAGGGGGGAGGGAAGGAAAAGGAGAGAGGAGGGAAAGGGGGGAGGAAGGAAGGTAGGGGAAGGATGGAAGGCACGACGGTCAGCGGCTCTTCTGACAAGAGGAGAAACAGACAGAAGGGAGGAAAAGGAGCGGAAGGAGGGAGCGTAAGAAGCACTCGGCTGGCCTAAGTGAACAGTCCTAAGCTTCTCCAGCAGCGGCTCGACAAAGTCCCTATCGCCCATGGACACTCCTCCAGACGCCACCACCACATCTGCCCTCGCTGCTAGTACCTAGCATCGCTCTCACTGGCGCGCTTCTGCGCGCGAATCGAGAAGGGAAAACCCACCAGTGCGTTTCAGCCGTCAGATTTAGATCTGGAAAAATATTTCAAAAGTTACCGCCATCGAAGTATCGCGCTCCTGCGCGGCGGTTTTCAATCCACGCTTAGTGTGGTCAGAGTACACCGATATGTACCCTGTAAAAACCTAATGAACCGTGCGGAATGCCTACTGCTTCCCAAGCGTGGTTCGCTCTTTGTTCATCGAAAGTGGTTGAGTGCGATGTTGTACAATGTAAAGCAGCTCGCTTTCTTTACCGCTTTGAATCGCTCGGTACTTACCAACGCGAACAGTGTTCCACTTTCTGTAAACGAACTCAATTATAATGCGCTCAGCGGTGAACAAGTCATGTTCTACAAGAAGGAAACCTTGCTGGAGGATCACGCTGAACTCATATGACACAAACCATCTCGGAATCTGGTTTAGCCTGCTTGTCGCAAATTAGTAATCATGGAGAGAAGACTATCCTCTCAAAGCACATCAGGAATGACGTCAGAAGGCTCTGTGGCGGAAAGAGTGGGCTCCATTCCTCGTTCTGGCCAATCGATGATCAGAAGTGATTTGAAAGGTTCATATTACTGCCATTTGCCAACCCTAGTCGCATCCACCTTCGTGCTGTCCCTTATGGTTTTTGTTGTCGATAAGTCGAACGTAGGTCAAGCTCCAACAGGGAAAGGCTTGAATATGGATCCTCGCAGTGTCAGCTACTCTCATCGGCGCTCCCTAACCCAAACTGACCACGCTGAGCTGATGAACCGTCATAATAAGTTAAACTATTCAGAAACACCTTTGCCGAAGGACTTTCCAAAGGCGTTGACACCAGTTTCCAATATATTCATGTTTGACGATGGCACCGTTATTCCAGCTCAAGAGCGGCAACATTGCGAATCCCTCATTCTGGCAGCTATGGAATGCAAAGAGTCAGGTACGCCAGACCCTCCGGTACGCTAACAACTTCGACTCTGGTCCATTCTTCTATAAATCCAAACCATTCAATGCAGGGGTTATTGTTGAGCTTGGAGCTTGGGCTGGCCAATATTCCAGGTGCCTTGCTGCTGGACTCTACATGGCTGGCAGACATAACGAGGGAAGGCTCTTCTCATTTGATACATTCAAGGACTCCTCACTCCGGGAGAAAATGGATTTGGAGAGCCAGCTCTTAAGAGCTCTCTCTGAGGCGACAGATCTGGATATTATGGGAGATCGCACCAGCTATAACGACATGTCTGGTGTTAATTATATGGAGGATTTGGTGCTGCCTGATATACCGACACCTAATCCTGGTGGTGGCCGAAAACTTCTAAACAAGGCGAAGACGATGGCTAAGTTATTGCGAAAAGGCGAAATTACACCTGATAAGCTGAGGAACTCAGGGCTGGCCGCTCGAAACGGATCGGAAAAGAATCTGAAACTCGAGTTTTTCGGAAACGAGACTTTGTTCAACAAGCAATTGGCTCTTCGGTATGACTTGCCGCTCACCAAGCCTTGCAAGTCCATGAAGACTCATGGGGTTGGAAAGAGCATCTTGGCAATTTGGCAAGCTGCGGTTCTTCCTGTTGATCCGAGTGCCACGCCTGTTCCTGGCTTATATTCGGAGGTTCGACTTGTTTTGACAGATTCTCGCTCATGCTGCTGTTCTGACCATTGTCTTTCGACAGGTGTTAAAGCCCGAGGCTTGGGAGAAACGGCCTATTGATGTTCTTGTCCTTCATGGAGGTTCACGGCTTTCTACTTTGGTGCACCAGGTATTCCTGCTGCGAGTTGGTGTTGTGATTTCCGCCTGGACTTGATCTTATCCCAAAACAGCTCGCGTTGGCAGGGCCGTTCCTTCACAAAGGAAGCATTTTAAGCGTTTTGGGTTTTGCTCGTTCTGCATTGGTATGTGGTGCACATGTATCGAATGTTGATTCATTCAGCTAACCGCGTTACAATCACGCCTGTGCAGGTCGAGGCATTCTTTCAGCACCTGATTCCTAATTTTCTTGAAATTCGTGCGATTGACTTGTGTGGTGTCTCATGGACCTTCACTCTAAGGAAAGACCATCTGGTGTTGTTTGAGAGGATCATACCAGGTCTGTTGTTATGTTACCTATTCAAACGTTGGCTTCATTGTGCAGGTCATATGTTGACTGGAACATCTTGCACTCATATCGACCATCAGGAGAGCAGAATCACTGGGAAAAGGTGGTTGCTTCGACTGATAAGTTTCTGAAAAATAGCGGAGAATACAACCAACAGTTTCTTGAGTGTACTCTGGACATCCTGGGAGCAAGGTATGCAACGCATGTCTCGTGGGTCTTTGTTCTTGCTTTTTGAAGACTTATTTTGTACTGAGCAGGTTCGACAGAGCCGAAGCATCACTGCAAAGTATGTGAGTGAGACATCACCGTATCTCAGCTTTCTGGGCGAGATGACCTGGTAGCACGGATTGGACCACCTTGTTGTACTAATTTATTACCGTAATTTCTTTCATTGCTAGTTGATGTGCCCTTCCTTGTACATTTTTTTCTGTCTAATCACCACGACCTTTTAAATGGCGGATACAGTGCAAAGCAATATATTTCAGATGTGTCTCCAGAGGTATCTCTTTTGGAACTTGAACCTCACTTGCCTTTCCCGTACCCATGACTCCCCCCTCTTCCTCCTCCACCTTCCCCCCTTTCGTCTCCTCCTCCTCCTCCCCCGCCCTCCTCCCCCTTCCCTCCATTATCCCTTTCCTCTGCATTTAATCACCCCCATCTTTGGTTTCTTTTGCTCTATTTGATGTCAACTTGTTCCGTTCTCCCTGCGTTTGAGCATTTCTAGCACACACATGCATCTGAATGCATCGACATAGCCCTTGTGGTAGGTACAACCATTTTTCCCTATCTATGGGATGGACACAAGACTCAAACCATCGGTGCGAAGTTTGTGAGACATTGTCCTGTCCTGGCCTTTTAGCCTCGAGACACAGTAACACACCATCGAGAAGTCCAGCAGCACGACCAAAATTTCCCCAGGTCTTCTCCTTGGACTCCTCTCAAAGTCTTGCAAAGGACTTGCGGCTAGCTGTTTGCGCGACCAGTACCATATGCAATTTGAATCTCACGATGTAAAAGAAACGGACTCCAACCAACCAATGTTCTGTCTGCTGCAAGGCAGGGAAACTGCTGTGCTAACACTGACAGAGGCCTGAAATGGATGCATGACATAAGCTAGGCAGCATCACATCCTACCATACTTGGCTTCTGAATGGTGGTCAAGGTCAAGGATATTCTCTGCATTTCCCAGGTTACCGGCTGTAGCTTGCAACATCTAACAATCTGAAGTTGCTCTGTTGTCAACAAGACTGCAGTGGTTCCATGACATGGTGTGAAATACTACTACCATGTATGGTTAGTCCTGAGAATTATCCAATTTGTTTTTTATATAAAAGAACCGTTGAGAACCGTACAAAAAAACAAATTGGATAAATGTGTGAAATATCTGCGGTAGCTAGCAACTATTTGAGAACCGTTGCTAGCTACCGCAGATATTCCAAATACCGGTAGGGGATTGCATCAAGGTACCGGTACCAGTACAGTACAAATGCGACTCGGAAGCCGTGTGCATGCCATTTCACATCTCACGCTGGGTGTGGAAAAGAGGTTTACCGCACCGGATGCCTCCATTTGTAGATCTCATGTAAACTGAAAGAACACCATCTTACATCGCATACAAGTACTACCACGTACTACCCCCATACAGCACAATACCGTATCATGAACCGACACAGCCCAGTACAGTTCAGCATAGAACATGCTAACTGGTTTCACCTGCAGAGACAAGGCGGGAAACAAGAGCATCCAGCGGGCCTAAGAGCTCGTCCGGTTGATCGCCTTTTTGGAGCCTGATGCAAACCGCTGCTTGCTGCAGTCTCGCCACAGCGCCAGCTGCAACCATGGCACGTGCAGCTTTGTCTGAACCAGAAATAATGACAGGGGTTAGAAAGATAGAATGCCAAAATTATTAGAAATAGCTGAACCAAGCTGTCATGTTGTGATCATGTTATAGATGTCGAGAAAGGAGGTGGGAATCGTTAGCCCGATGTAGAGTATTGAGTGAAAGAGGAGACAGCAGAGTGAATGCTTAAAAAAACTCAAGGGGTGGGAGAAGATGAAAAGAGATGCAACAGATAGAGCGAGAGCAAGTACCTGAAGAAGCTCCTGAAGAAGCAGCGCCTATTTATGTTAGACAAAGAAAGCTCGCCTGAACAAACCAGGTGGGTGAGGACTCACCTGTGTGGCTACCTCAAAAGCACCTGTGCTCACCTGACCGAGCCAGGTGGGTGAGGACACAGGCACCTGTGCGGCTACCTCAAAAGCACCTGAGCTCACCTGACCGAGCCAGGTGGGCGAGGCAGGTGAGTGCTTCCTTGACCGTGCGCCTCTCCGGAGGAAAGAGCGGAGGAGGAGGAGGGGAAGAGGAAGAAGCAGCGCCTGTTGAAATTGAGGCGAAAAGCTCACCTGACTGAGCCAGATGTGTGAGGCAGGAGAGTGCTTCCTTGACCGTGCGCCTCTCAGAAGACGAGAGAGGAGGGGGGGAGAGTGGAGGGGCAAGAGGAGGAGGGCTAGCAAGAGGAGGCGCGGACGAATGAGGGGTAGATTCAGTGTGGTGAAAAGGGGATTCGAGGAGCAGCAAGAGGTGCGGAAGGGCTCCAGCTTCCATGATTTTCATGCGAGTCTCATCTGGTGATGGGGAAGGAAGGAAAGAAGAGGAGCAGGGAGAGCGCAGCAAGGTCAATTAAATGCATTAGGTGCCAAGGGGCTTGGGATTGATGAGGCAAGGGAAAGATCTGCTAGTCTTACTCGCACTATGTTGGACTTTCATAAAATCAGTTGTGCTGGCAGGCAGGGGCGTTTGAGGCAGCCACAGGCACTTTGGGTTTTGGGTCAAACTTGGCTTTGATAAAAAAAAGGGTTCTGGGTAGGAACTTGGCTTTCGGTTCAGAACTTGGCTTCTGGTTAAGGACTTGGCTTTTGGTTTAAGGACTTGGCTTTAAGTTAAGGACTTGGCTTTTGGTTTAAGGACTTGGCTTTAAGTTAAGGACTTGGCTTTTGGTTTAAGGACTTGGCTTTAAGTTAAGGACTTGGCTTTTGGTTAAGGACTTGGCTTTTGGTTAAGGACTTGGCTTTTGGTTAAGGACTTGGCTTTTGGTTAAGAACCTGGCTTCCGTGTAAAAACTAGGCTAACACGGACCTTTGAGGCAGAACTTGGCCCTTAGGGCAAAACTCGTTTTCTGGGGCAGAACTTGAACTTTCGGTAAAAGCTTGAATTAGGGTCAAAACTTGGTATATGGGTCAAACTTGGCTTTTGGGCCAAAACTTGGTATCTGGGTCACAGCTTGAGTATGCTCGAACCCTGGCTTTTGTGTCAAAGCTGGAGCTCACCATTGGAAGCAATGAAGGCGAGGCGGTACGCTCCTGATCGCCGGAGGAAAGGGTCCTTTGCCCTGAGGAGAGCGACTGAGTGGCGGATGAGCGAGTCTCCTGGGAGTGTGGAGGGGTGGAGGAATGGGGACGGGAAACCGGGTACATATAAGCATCGACAATATCCCATGAACTGAGATGATACTCACATGAACTGAGATGATACTCACATGAACTGAGACGATACTCACATGAACTGAGATGATACTCACATGAACAGAGATGATACTCACATGAGATTAGATGACACTCGTGAATCAGCTGAGAGGGCTCCCATCATATGAGCTGAGATAGCTGAGATGACACTCACATGAGCTGAGACGACATTCACATGAACTGACATGACACTCACATGAGCTGAGAAGACACTCACATGAGCTGAGATGACACTCACCTGAGCTGAGATGACACTCACATGAGCTGACATGACACTCAAATGAGCTGAGATGACACTCACATGAGCTGAGATGACACTCACATGAGCTGAGATGAGACTCACATGAGCTGAGATGACACTCACATGAGTTATGACACTCACATGAGCTGAGACGACACTCACATGAGCTGACATGAAACTCACATGAGCTGAGATGACACTCATACGAGCTGAGATGACACTCACATGAGCTGAGATGACACTCACATGAACTATGACTCTCGCATGAGCTAAGACACTCACATGAGCTGACATGAAACTCACATGAGCTGAGATGACACTCACACGAGCTGAAATGACACTTACATGAGCTGAGATGACACTCACATGAGCTGAGATGACAGTCACATGAACTGAGATGACACTCACATGAGCTATGACACTCACACGAGGTGAGATGACATTCACTCACCCATGAGTGGAAACGCGTTGATGGCGACCCCAACAATGGTGGCAGCAACAATGAGCTTAAAGCCCCAGTGCGACCGCCACCCCAGATTTTCCTCGTCCATTGACTCGTATTCCTCCCTCTCCCCTCCTTTCCCCTTGCTCCTGCTATCCTCCTCCCCTCTCTGCTCCCCACTGTTCTTGCACTCCTGTTTGCTACTTGTACCACCCTCTCCCTGCTCCCCTTTTTTGCCCCCCTCTTTCACTCCGACTGATCGCGCCTTCTCTGCGTCCAGCGAGCTGGTGCTCACGATGCTGGTTACCAGACGCCTCTGCTGGCCAAAAAGCAGACTTTCGCAACCTGCTTCGCCATTCACGACTCTGGTAACCACTGAGCTCTGTCGTGACAGGGAGACAACAGCGGGTGTCGCCGCAACGCTGGATCTTCTTTCTAGATGTTGTCTTGCGAGCCGGGGACCTACTCTAGTCCAGCGGCAAGACTCCTTCGCCTCGACACGCCACTGCGCGTACGGTGAGCGGTAGCGGCGGAGATCAGATGCGGGGATGCAACCAGAGAGGCCTCCATGGTCCGCTGGTCCTCCTGCTCCCGTTATTGTGTCGCATGATCGAGCAACGGCGGCCAAAAGCGGTGCTCCTGCTCCCTCCCTTGCCCCCTCTCTTGCTTCCTCGGCCCCGTGAGCAGAGCTTCCAAGCCGCTCACATGCCGCAGGAAGATCGACGGATGTCTGAGGCCGAGAAGCGCAGAGACGATCTGATCCGTTCACAGGAAACCCACAGACCCCTTGCAGCGACGCGCGTACGGAATCGGAACAAAGACGCTTTGTTACGGAATATGAGGATAAGTTAACGAGAGATCGGTCTACGAGATTGATTGCCTGCCTGCTCTGGGTGCATGTTCGGCGAGAGATTCTGGCAGCAGCCATGGATCCAAGGCGAGGGAGCGCTGGTTGCAGAAACCAGATTTGACGTACACTCCTTGTACATTCCAGGCGGTGGTTCGAGTCATTTTACATTTCAGGCAGGGTTCGAGTCATTTTCCTTGTGTAGGATCTTCATATGTTCAGATCCGAATGCCTTAGTTGCTCTGTAACTGCGTGGTAACATGTGTAGACACAAACTACTCCGTGTACATTTGGAAGCAAACATTGGTACGGAGGCTGGACCGAAAACCGCAATGCACCATCTACTGTAAAATAATTCAAATAGTTTGTTTTTTTCGTTGGACCCCTGTAGCTTCTTGAACACAAATGTACCGCGTCCTTGGCACACATTCAAGGGAACTCCTTGAGTGCAGAACAGCAGAACCAGTGCCAACCACAAGCCGTTGATGCATACCCGCATAGCAAAAATCGGAAACACCTATTCTGTTCGGCATTTTCCCTAAAATTGCTGGGGGTTGCCTTGGTCAGGCCATAGCTTTAGTATCCCAACATATTCTAGCTTGCGGTGCCATAGACATTGTTCGATACGCGCGGTGCACGCGGCGACTAACGCGGCATGGAGGACGAGATGGAGGAGATGAACTGGGGGGTGAGCAACCATGCCTTAGCGTAGTAGCTGTGCTCGTTCTAATCGTTAGCTTGCTCTCTTAGTCGTTTGGAATGGCTTCGCTTTGCGCTCCGCGATTCGATATGTCGCTATCGATTAAGAGCTGATTTGTCTAATGGGATAGTAAGATACATCGCGGAATGGTTAAACATCCTATTCTCGTTCCTTCATTATATGTTTTCATCCCTTCAACTCGGTAGTGACAAGCGAAGTTATCGGTTGACTTTTCGCGCATCAGTCGTACGTCGTCCTGTCCCTTCCACTCTCGTTGACTCCAGTCGTCGTGCTCTTGTCGCGTGGCGATTCGCTGCTTGTAACCACAACAAAGCAGCGCTAGTCGAAAGAGAACACTGTGCCCGTGCCGGACACCTACTGTTTCACGGGAACGTTTCTCAAATCATGGCAGCGTTTTAACAGGGAAAAAGCTCGCACATTGCTTCGATTAAATAGAGCTGCACCTATTTTCCTTGACTGTATAGTGAAACCAGACCAGTCTGACATGTTTCCTCTGAACCATATTTTTGCGCTTCCTCTCCGTTCCTTTATCGAATTCTTCTGCGTTTTCGCCTTCCCCATTTACGCTCGTCTGTGTTCCGTTACCCTCGCCTCACCCTTCGACCCGCGCGGTGGAGCTTCGGCTGGATGGCACTAACAACGTCCCCATCTCATCCTATTCCCATGTGCTCCTATTCCCTCTTTCTCAGCCCATTTTCCCATTTCCTACCGTTTCCCACCTTTTCCCCCTTCCCCCTCTCCCATCCTTCTCTCCATCCCGCCGCCTCCCCTCAATCGCACATTTTCCCCTCGTTCCCCCCTTCCCCCCCCCCTCCGCTTTCGTGTTCAGGCGGTAGAGGACCGGCCGTCCGTACATTCAGGACGTGTGGAAGGAGCCACGATTAGACCCACCGTTTTTTCTTTGCCCGTGTCATTGTGACCAACCTTCGTTTCTCGCCTGAACTCCCACCCCACCCCACCCTCCCCTCCCCCCACCACCTGCTCCCCATATTTTCCTCTCCACTTTCCGCTAAGGACGTGGAGGACCAGCGACCGGGCATTCAAGAAGGGTGGAAGTGGAAGGGGCCAACCACGGTTCAACACACTTTGATTTCTATTTAAGGCAATTTCACCCAGCCTTGTTTCCTCTTGCATTCTTCACCCGCCTGCTTTCTTCCCCACCTCCCCCCAGGCCGTGGAGGACCAGCTATCGGGCATCCAGGACGTGTGGAAGGAGCCGCGGTTTGACACGCTGCCGCACGTGGTGGCGGTGCTGACGTCAGGGTATCCTCAAGATGACATGGCGAGCCTGGCGAAGCTGAGAGACACCATCGAGGTGCTCGTGGACGACGTCGTGCAGGCGTATCATCAGGGCTTCAACAAGGCCATTCACAACTACTCGCAGGTGGGTTGCTTGCTGTTGTAACTTGTAAGTACGTGTGTAGGTATGTGTTACTAGATCGAGGTGCTCGTGCATGATGTCGTGCAGGCGTACCACCAGGGCTTTAACAATGCCATTCACAACTACTCGCAGGTCGGTTGCTCGCTGTTGTATGTGAGTATGTGTGAACCTATGTTCTAGTGTTACCATCGAGGTGCTTGTGGACGACGTCGTGCAGGCTTACCACCAGGGCTTTAACAAGGCCATTCACAACTACTCGCAGGTCGGTTGCTGTTGCGCGAGTATATATGCTAAAACTATATAAATTTGGACATACATAATACGTATATGAGACTCCGCCTCCTCCCTCCCACCCCCAGATTTGGATCGGAAGCTGTTTGTCAAGTCAGCAGAGCAGACGAGCTTGCTGAAGGCGAGTCTGGTGGAGAGGCTGCCATGGCTATCATATCCGTGCGCATGACCATGCACCATTCACCACACACCGTCTCTCCGTCTCCTTCCACCGCTCGGCTTGTCTCCCCCACCCACCCGCTCCTCCCACCAGGTTCTGAAGCTGTTTAGCGAGTCAGCGGAGCAGATGAGCGAGCTGAAGGCGAGTCTGGCAGGGAGGCTGTCACGGCTGTCCACACTCATGACCATGCATGCACCATGTACCGTCCATGTCCCCTCCCCTCTCTGCCCCGCTCCCGCTACCTCCAGATTCTGAAGCTGTTCAGCGAGTCAGCGGAGCAGATGAGCGAGCTCAAGGCGAGTCTGGCGGAGGCGACAAAGCTATCCGCATGCGTGACCGTGCACCGTGTCTCTCCCTCCCTTCACCCCTCTGCTCCTCTCTCTTTTCCAGATTCTGAAGCTGTTCAGCGAGTCAGCGGAGCAGATGAGCGAGCTCAAGGCGAGTCTGGCGGAGGCGAGGCGGCTGCTGAGCAACCGACACAAGCAGCTGCAGCAGCTGTGGTGCCGATCAATCACGCTGCGCCACGTCATCTCCCTTATCGACCAGATCGACAGCGTCTCCAAGGCACGTGCATGCATACACATGTGATGCACAAGCACTAGTGACTTCTCAGCAGCGAGTTACGTCATATCTCATATCATATCGTATCTTATATCATATCATATTGCGTCGTGTCGTATCGCATCGTATCGTATCGTATCGTATCGTACTCGATTGTTCAATCCAACCACCACGCCATGCCAGCATCCATTCATGGACCACCAAATTGTCAGCCTCGTGAACTGCGGCAATGGCACCGCTCCGCGTTCTCCCACACTGCCATTTTTTGGCATCCAGTAGTATCTATCTGCACCGCACAGTGCCGTGCCACCAGGTCGACAGCCTCATGTCTTCTCTCCCCCCATTCTCCCCTGCAAACTCCCTTCTCTCCCCCCATTCTCCCCTGCAAACTCCCTTCTCTCCCCCCATTCTCCCCTGCAAACTCCCTTCTCTCCCCCCCGTTCGAATCCATCCAACTTCTCCGTCCCCTTCTGTGCAGGTGCCAGCGCGCATAGAACAGCTGGTGTCGGAGGGGCAGCTGTATGCTACCGTGCAAAATCTTCTCTCCCATTTTCCATTCTTTCCTGTATCCGCCCTATGAACCTCCCCCCTTCCTCCCACGCCCCCCTTCCACCCACACCCCTCCCCTCCCTCTTTCATTCCCTCCTGTGCAGGTGCCAGCGCGCATAGAACAGCTGGTGGCGGAGGGGCAGCTGTATGCTGCCGTGCAGATTCACCTGCAGTCCATCTCCACGCTCGACAGAGAGGGCATCTCCCAGGTGAAAACAACAGACAGCATGGTTGCCAGGTGAAAACCAGAGAAGCAACATCTGCCTGGCAAGGCTTCACTAACAAGCGCCTACCTTGATTGTGGTAGTCATATGATACGACAGTTCTTGATTGTGCCATGGCCCATGGGGTTGAGTGAGTGAATGAGCGCATGACATGTGGGTCCATGGGGGGACACATGCGGGGAGAGTTGGCGCATGACTCATGACATGTGGGTCCAGACTCCAGTGACTTGCAGCCTCTCATCCCAAGCTAGGGAGACACTGCTTCTGATTATTGGGGAGATCTTCAGTCTTTTCAAGATTTCAGTCTATTAAAAAAATTCAGTCTATTCTATGCTCAGAGTCCCCCCCACACTCCATATTCCACTCCACTCCATGCAGATCGGAGCGCTGAGGGACATTCGCAACGAACTGGCGAACACGAAGCTGCTGCTGTTCAACCGCGTGATAGAGGAGCTGCACGCGCACCTGTACAACAAGGGGGAACACAGGTGAGTGGTGGTGTGAACCGGTTTGTGTGTGTGCTTTGCATGTGCATGTGTGTATCTGTGCCACCAACCTGCTGCTGTTCAACCGTCCATGTGATAGAGGAGCTGCATGCACACCTGTACAACAAGGGGGAACACAGGTGGGTGGTTTGGTTTGTGTGCGTGCGTGGTGGGACCGTGGGGGTGCATTGCATACATAGGTACACGTGCATACACGCGCATGCATGTATGGACGCGCACATGCATGTGCGCATTTGTGCCTAGCTGCTGCCGTTCAACCCTATGACAGAGGAGCTGCATACGCACCTGTACAACAAAGGGGAGAACAGGTGTGAAAAGATAGGCAGAAGAGGGACTTGGACTTGGACCCCCAGCACATGGAGTTGTGTCCAAAAACTTAATCAATACCCGTTCCTTCCCGCAGGACAGATTCCCACTTTCACTAATGCTTTGCCTCGCCCCCCGTCCCTCTCCACCCCAATCCACTCGGCCGCGCAGTTTGACGAAGGAAGTTGCAACGGACGACGACGATGACATCAGCAGTGTTAGCTGTAACTCTTGTTCCTTCTCGTCCTCCTTATCTCCCCCAATCTTCTCCCACGTTCTCCCCTGCCCTCCCCCTCCCACCTCCCCCAACCCCTTCTTTCCCCCTCCGTCACCCTTCCATGATCCATCCATTCGACTTCGCAGTCTGAAAAAGGAAGCTGCAGCGGACAGCGATGAAAACGGACAGTGATGAAAACGGACAGTGATGAAAACGGACAGCGATGAAAACGGACAGTGATGAAAACGGACAGCGATGAAAACGGACAGCGATGAAAACGGACAGCGATGAAAACGAACAGCGATGATGACATCAGCAGCGAAGCGACAGCATTCCCTCTCCTTCACCCCTTCTCTTGGGTCCGTTCTCTCCGCACCGCTCCTTTCCCATTGACTGCGCAGTTTGAAGAAGGAAGCTGCAACGGACGACGATGATGACATCAGCAACCTCGTGCCTGTAACCGTGCCGCCCGCCGCCCCGCTACATCCGTCCCTTGCCGCCCAGGGCATCTCTCTGCCCGCCCCCTCCAAGCCCTCCCGCACCCGCGGCCGCAGCGCCAGGGCCCGCGGGGGGCTGAACGTGGAAACCGGGTAAGACGCGTGGTGTGGGGTGGGAAATGGGAGAAAGGGAGATGTTTAACACATCTGCATACAATCTTTGGGAGAAAGGGAGATGTTTAACACATCTGCATACAATCTTTGGGAGAAAGGGAGATGTTTAACACATCTGCATACAGTCTTTGGGAGAAAGGGAGATGTTTAACACATCTGCATACAATCTTTGGGAGAAAGGGAGATGTTTAACACATCTGCATACAAGCTTTGGGAGAAAGGGAGATGTTTAACACATCTGCATACAATCTTTGGGAGAACGCCACTGGGTCCGCAGCGCCAGGGCGCGCGGGGGGCTGAACGTGGAGACCGGGTAAGACGCGTGGTGTGGAGGATAGGAAACAGAAGATATTTACAAGCAATTAGCATGCATGCATTCCCTTGGAGATTCTTTTATTATTTGACCACTGTGGCCGCCACATGCGTGTTGCGTGGCGTGAGCATGGAGGCGCGGTAAGGCTAGAGGCGGGTGTGGGAAATGGGTGGGAGAACGGACCAACGAGTAATTCGCATGCATCCATGCAATGCAAGCATTTCGTGGGAGATGGAAAGGCACATGGGAGATCGGATGAGTCAGCATCACGAACCATGAGTGAGTGAGGAGGGTGGCGATGGCACTGTCAGTCAGCTCTCCTGCGCACAGCAACACCCTTTCCCAAGGGCTTACTCCCCCGTCCATTCCGCCACTTCTCCCTCTCCAACCTCCCTCTCCCCCAGGAGCGAATCTGTTTTTTGAGAATTCTCAAATTTGAGGGAGGGGAATTGTATGCCGAATCTGTTTTTTGAGATTTCTCAAAAAGCAGATTCAGCATACAATTTTCCGTCCAATACCCCACTTCTCCCTCTCAACCCCCCTCTTCCCCGTACAATCTGAGTTAGGATGGCGACGGCACTGTGAGCTCGGCTCCTCTTCCAGCCAATCATAATGACCCGTCAAACTCCATCCTCTTCCCCAATTTCTTCCCCCTTCCTGTCCCCCATTCTCACCTCTCTTGCCTCCCCCAGGAGCGCGGTGAGTGAGGACGATGACGGCACAGTGAGCTCTCCCACGCGCAGTGAGGCGTCCCTCTTCCCTTTCCTCACTGCCGCCCCCGCTTCTTCCCCTTACCGCTTCCCTCTCCAGGTGCGCTAAGAGTGAGATGATGATGGCACAGTGAGTGAGCTCACCTGCTCTCACCCAAAGGTAGTGAGACTTCATTCATCCGCTCCCTTCCCCACCTTCTCCATCCCCCAGGAGTGCGATGAGTGAGGACGATGATGGCACGGTGAGCTCGCCCACTTCCAGTGAGGTGTCGGGCACTCCGCATCCCCTTCCCCATCCTCCCCCTCCCTCCCCCTCCCTCCGCATCCCTCCGCCCCTCCTTCTCTCCACAGGAGCGCGGTGAGCGAGGATGATGACGGCACGGTGGGCTCGCCCACGCGCAGTGAGGCGTCGGGCACGTCTGCCCCGGGGGGAGAGATGGTGGTGAGGCGCGCCCACGTTCCCCCGCCCAAGTGGCTCACTGAAGCCACCTCCAACGAGTTTGTGGTGCGTGGTTGGTGGGGGATTGGGGATGGGATGGATGTTGGTGGTGATGGGGAGAGCGGGATGGGTGTCTGTGGTGGGTGGGTGTGGAGATGATTCTGATCTAAATTCGAGATGGTTTTGAGGGGCAGCACCATTGCCCACGGGCATTGAGGCATCATCAGGCATGTCAGCCCCGGGGGGGGAGATGGTGGTGAGGCGCGCGCACATTCCCCCGCCCAAGTGGCTCACTGAAGCCACCTCCAACGAGTTTGTGGTGCGTGGTTTGTGGGGGATTGGGGATGGGATGGATGTTGGTGGTGAATGGGGAGAGCAGGATGGGTGTTTGTGGTGGGTGGGTGTGGAGATGATTCTGATCTAAATTCGAGATGGTTTTGAGGGGCAGCACCATTGCCCACGGGCATTGAGGCATCATCAGGCATGTCAGCCTCGGGGGGGGGAGATGGTGGTGAGGCGCGCGCACATTCCCCCGCCCAAGTGGCTCACTGAAGCCACCTCCAACGAGTTCGTGGTGGGTAGTGGGTGGGGGATGGGGATGACTCGGATGAGTGTTGGAGCTAATAGGGTGCTAAGGGGACATTCGATTCAACACAAGGTGAACCTCGGAGGAGGTCGTGGTCAGGCGGCCCCACGTGGCCCCGCCCAAGTGGCTCACTGAAGCCACCTTCAACGAGTTCGTGGTGCGCGCTGGGTGGAAGGGGATGGGATGGGATGGGATGGGATGGGATGGGATGGGATGGGATGAGTGTCTGTGCCGAGTAAGAGAGCACTCAGAGGCCCCAGAGCATGAGAAGTATTTGCAGACGCTGGTCGATTGTATTGCACTTCCTACCCTTCTACATGCATTACCTGCACTGCACCCATGCACCCGTGTCCCATTACCCGCGCACACAGGAGTCATTAACCAAGAGGGAAGCCCCAGAGCATGACAAGTACATGCAGACGCGGGTGGAGTGTGTGGGACTGTGCTGTGTTCATTCCTGCATGCGTTCACTCACCCATGCACCCGTTCATTCATGTGCACCCCATGGCGTCTCACATAGGAGTCGCTAACCAAGAGGGAGGCCCCAGAGCACGACAAGTACATACAGACGCGGGTATTGTGCATTGCTCTGCATTCATTCACCCGTGCACCCACTCATGTTCACCCCACCCCGTGGCTCCTCTTACAGGAGTCTTTGACCAAGAGGGAGGCCCCAGAGCACGACAAGTACATGCAGACGCGGGTGGAGTGCATCGCTCTGCCCTCTCATGCATTCATGCACTCACCCATCCATGCACCCATTCACCCACCCATCCCACCCACACAGGAATCACTCACCAAGAGGGAGGCCCCAGAGCACGACAAGTACATGCAGACGCGGGTGGAGTGCATCGCTCTGCCCTCTCATGCATTCATGCACTCACCCATCCATGCACCCATTCACCCACCCATCCCACCCACACAGGAATCACTCACCAAGAGGGAGGCCCCAGAGCATGACAAGTACATGCAGACGCTGGTGGAGTGCATCGCTCTGCTGGGCAAGGTGGCTGCTGCTGGCGCTGTTCTCAGGTGGGCTGCTCCCGCCTCTCAGGTGGGCTGCTCCCGCCTCTCAGGTGGGCTGCTCCCGCCTCTCAGGTGGGCTGCTCGCCCCTCTCAGGTGGGCTGTTCGCCCCTGTCAGGTGGACTCTTTGTGCCTCCCAGGTGGAGCCCTGCCCCTTCCCAGGTGGTCTTTCCCCCTTCCCAGGTGATATTTCCCCCCTCCCAGGTGGTATTTCCCCCCTCCCAGGTGGTCTTTCCCCCCTCCCAGGTGGTATTTCCTCCACAGCTGTGATTCCGTCTCCTCTCAGTTGGGCTGCTCACCCATCCCTCTCTAATATTCTCCATACCTGGTGCTGCTCTGGCTTTTGCTCTGGTGCTGCTTTCCATGCATTGCCATTGCCTCATGCTGTGTTACGCCTCTTCGTGTGCGCACACGTGCGTGTGTGTGTGTGCGTGTGTATGTGTGCGTGTGTGTGTGTGTGTGTGCGTGTGTATGTGTGCGTGTGTGTGTGTGTGCGTGCGTGCGTGCGTGCGTGTGTGTGCGTGTGTGTGTATGTGTGTGTGTGTGTGTGTGTGTTCATGCATGTTGTGTGTGTGTGATTTCATGCATGTTGTGCATGTGCGTGCGTGTGTGTGTATGTGTGTGTGTGTGTGTGTGTGTTCATGCATGTTGTGTGTGTGTGATTTCATGCATGTTGTGCATGTGCGTGCGTGTGTGTGCACATGTGCGCATGTGATGTGAGCATGAGAGCAGTCAGCGTGTGCGGGGATCGGTGCGCGAAATCATCCTTCATGAGATCAAGGACTATGCAGCTGCAGCAGATGCAGCGCGGTGAGTCGGGGACTTTCGAGACTCAGGCCTGAATGCAGCTTGCTTCCAGATTGAATGGCCAGCAGTTTCCGTCTGCTGTCCGTAGCATTCCTGTTTCTGCCGGCATTCGTTGTTTATCGCTGCAAAGAGGACAAACGGCAGGCAAGTCCAGCTGTGAGCGTCTGTTGCGCATGCATCTAGGTGCAGTGCGGTCAGAATCGGTTGAGAGTAACCTTAGCAGCAGATTCCGCTTTTTCACTGCCAAGCCGTTCTTATGCGGAGCAAGCATGGAAGGTGGCACATTCATTCAGACATCTCTTCCTCGTCGTTCATTCCTGTGTCATTCTTGGGACATTCTGTTGGTGATTAATTGAGCCAGTAGTCGACCTTCTTTACCTATTCGCCCATCAACCCAACCTCCCTCTTCAACCCACCTCCTCCCCCCAGTCCCCGGGTGGAGCAGGTGAGCACGCACTCCCAAGCTACATCCATGCCTCACTCCCTTCCTTTCCTCTTTTTCCCCCGTCAACCCAACCTTCCTCCTCCACCCCCCCCCTCTGCGGCCCTGCCCCTTTTCCCCAGTCCCCGAGTGGAGCAGGTGAGCAAGCGCTCTCAGGTGGCCACCACGCCCCACTCAGCCGCCTCCACGCCCTCCTCCCACTCCACCGCCTCCTACTCCTCCACCTCCCGCGCCTCCTCCTATTCCTCCTACCCTCTCCGCTCCTCCAACCCCCGCGGCGGAGCAGTGGTGGTGGCGGGAGGGGGAGGCGCAGGCGGAGGGGTGGGGGGAGGGGCAGGGGCGGGGCTGCATGCTCCGAACGGGGTGGCGCAGGTGGTGGCTCAGGAGTTGCTGGAGTCGATTATGAAGAAACTCACCATCATTCTAGGTGGGTGTGAGTGTATTCAGGGTGTCTGTGTGTGTGGTGGGTGGGTGTGTGCTGGTAGGAGGGGGAAGGAGAGGGTGAGTTGCGGCGGGGGGAGGGGCAGGGGCAGGGCTGCATGCGCCAAACAGGGTGGCGCAGGTGGTGTCTCAGGAGTTGCTGGAGTCGATTATGAAGAAACTCACCGTCATTCTAGGTGTGTGTGCTTGTGCTGAGGGTGTTCCCTGTCTGTGGCTCTAGGCGGGTGTGCTTGTGCTGAGGGTGACTCTAAGTGGGTGTGGAAGCTCCTGCCGACCTCATGGAGGCCAAGGGGTGGAGCCGCTCGGCAAGCATGCCACACGCTTGTTCTCTTCACCCACTCCACTGCACCGTATCCAACCTCACTGCTGCGTGCAGAGAACCACATAGTGGTGGGCGGGCGACCTCATGGAGGCCAAGGCAAGGCGTTGAGCTGCCTCGTCGTTTCCTCAACTCTCCAACAAGCCCTACGCCACGCCCCACCCCCACCTTACCATCACCCTCACTGAGGAGAATCACATAGTGGTGGGCGGGCGACCTCATGGAGGCCAAGGCGTCGGACCCCTTGGGTCGGGGGACATTTGCCCGTTGCGTTGCTTCTCCTTCTCAGATGCCCTAATACATGCTCCCCACCTGCCGTTGCTGGGTTCTGCAGAGAGCCACACGTGGTAGGGGATCTCTTGGAGGCCAAGCCGTCGGACCGCTTGGCAAGCAGGCCACACATTTGTTCTCTTCTCCCACTCCACTCCACTGCACCCCATCCCACCGGACTGATACCGCAGAGAACCACATTGTGGTGGGCGATCTCATGGAAGCAAAGGCGTCGGACCGCTCGGGGGACGTGCGGCGCATTTCCTCTCCTCTCCAACTCCACTCCAATGTACCGCATCCCACCTGACTGTCACTGCAGAGAACCACATAGTGGTGGGAGACCTCATGGAGGCCAAGGCGTCTGACCGCTCGGGGGACGTGCGGCGCACGCCGGATGGGGACGAGGCGGTCAGCAAGTTCAGCGCCAGCACGGGCGGCTACAGCGTCGCTTTCGTCTGGTCCTGCATGCAGGTGGGCGGCAAGCTCTGGACTGTTCTGCACGGGTGCATGGAAAGGTTTGGCATGTGCCTCTTTCGCTTGGGGAGCGCTTTGTCCGATTGTGTGTGCACCTGGTGTGGCTGTTCGTCTGGTCTGATCCTCATGGTTAAGTACTCGTTTTGTCTGTTTCTGTGTGTGCGACATCCTGAGGGCCAAACCTTGTTGACTGTGTGCCTCTCGTTCTCTTGTATTCCTCCTCCCTCCCCACCCCTTCCCTCCCTCCCTGCTCCCCTCCCTCCTCCACTCCACACAGAGCGAGTGCCAGCAGTTCTGTGCGACATCCTCAGGGCCAACCCTTGTTGAATGGCCCCCCATCCCCCCCTTTCCCCCCATCCTCCCCCTTTCCCCTCCCTCCTCTTTCTTCCCAACCCCCCCACTTCCCCTCCCTCCTCCACTTCACACAGAGCGAGTGCCAGCAGTTGCTGTGCGACATTCTCAGGGCCAACCCTTGTTGAGTGTGTGCCTATCATCTCCCACACCCCCCCTCCACCCGTCCAACCCCCTCTTCCCCCACTTCTTCCACTCCACACAGAGCGAGTGCCAGCAGTTGCTGTGCGACATCCTGAGGGCCAACCCGGACGGCGGGTCCTCTGAGACGTCAGGGCGCACCGCCCAGCTCAAACTCGACTCCGGCGGGTACGATCCAATCCAATCTGATCGATCAGATCTGATCTGATCTAATCTGATCTGATTTTATATGTTCTGATCTGATCTGATCTGGTCTGGTCTGATTTATTCTGATCTGATCTGATCTGATGTATGTGATCTGATGTGATTTGATGTAACTTGATGTGATTTGTTCCGATTATAATGTATCTGATTCACTTTGCTGGTGTCATTGGTTGAGTGAAGAGTGATCAAGATTTGCTTGTTCTGTCTATCTGTTGGCTGCTTATCCCACCCCACCCCTTCTCACCCCAACCCACCCCAACCCACCCCAAACCCCCAAGTCCCCCCTATCTTCCACCCCCCACTCTACCTGCTGTTTGTTTTCCTGCTCTTTCTCTGCCCTGCTCTGCTCTGCTCTGCTCCTGACTCTCTTCTCTGTGGCGCAACTCCTAATGCCCTGTTCTCTGTCTTCCTGCTCTCATGCACAACAACGGCCTGTGTGCCTGGATGCTTCGACTGTTGCATGCTTACATGGGCGTGTAACCGATTGTGGATGCATGGATGCATCGATGGTGCATAGATGCATGGGTGCATGGGTGCATGGATGCATGGGTGCATGGGTGCATGGATGCGTGGGTGCATTGGTGCATGGCTGCATGGATGCATGCATGGATGAATGGGTGCATGGATGCATGGATGAATGGGTGCATGGCTGCACAACTGCATGGATGCATGGTTGCATGGGTGCATGGGTGGATGGGTGGATGGGTGGATGGGTTGGATGGGTAGATGGGTTGGATGGGTTGCACTGTTCTCTGCAATGCAGCACCAAGGGAGTCATGCTCACCTTCAGCTTCCGTTTCACCGACGCCAACACCGCCTCCGCTCCTGCCGCAGGTGGGTGGGTTGCTCCTACTCCTGCCTCAGGTTCCTGTCTCTCCCTGGCATGCATGGGTGCATGTGTACCCTGTTCTCTGCCACACATACATGATGGCAGCAGCACCAAGGGAGTCATGCTCACCTTCAGCTTCCGATTCACCGACGCCAACACCGCCTCCGCTCCTTCCGCAGGTGGGTGGGTTGCTCCTGCTGCAGGTGGGTTACTCCTGCCGCAGGTGGGTTACTCCTGCCGCAGGTGGGTTACTCCTGCCGCAGGTGGGTTACTCCTGCCGCAGGTGGGTTACTCCTGCCGCAGGTGGGTTACTCCTGCCGCAGGTGGGTTGCGCCTGCCGCAGGTATCTTGCTGCCACAGCTGCTGGTATCTTGCTCTCTTTCAGGTGTGCGGCCCTCTCCTTGCCTCTCTGCCACTTCAGGTGCGTTTCTGCTGCGTCCGTCCGGTCAGGCGCCACAGTGTTTCATGTTTCCCTATTCCACCATACCGTTTGCATTCTAACCCCCACTTGCATTTCACTTGCTTTCTCTTCCCTCCCGTTTTCCTGTCTCATCCAATTACGGACTTGCTGTGAGTTGCAAAGTTGCCACAGCCCTCACGAGTTTGAGTCGTCCCAAACTGACTCTCGCTTCCCTCCCAAGTTTCTGTCTCGTCCAACTACGAACCTACTGTGATTAGCTAAGTCCTCCCAGTCCTCCCAGTCCTCCCAGTCCTCCCAGTCCTCCCAGTCCTCCCAGTCCTCCCAGTCCTCCCTGTCCTCCCTGTCCTCTCAGTCCTCCCAGTCCTCCCAGTCCTCCCAGTCCTCCCAGTCCTCCCAGTCCTCCCTGTCCTCCCAGTCCTCCCAGTCCTCCCAGTCCTCCCAGTCCTCCCAGTCCTCCCTGTCCTCCCAGTCCTCCCTGTCCTCCCTGTCCTCCCAGTCCTCCCAGTCCTCCCAGTCCTCCCAGTCCTCCCTGTCCTCCCTGTCCTCCCTGTCCTCCCATTCCTCCCAGTCCTCCCTGTCCTCCCAGTCCTCCCAGTCCTCTCAGTCCTCCCAGTCCTCCCAGTCCTCCCTGTCCTCCCTGTCCTCCCAGTCCTCCCCACCCGCATGGAGCCTCCCTGTAGCCCCCCTCCCGAAATATTACCGGTGGCTTTTGAGAAGTGCCCACCTGCACCTGTATCTCCCCGCTCCCTACCCTCATTTGGGCGTGTCTTTACTGCTTCCCTGCTTCTCCCTATCACCCCTCTCCCTGCCGCTCTCCCACCGCCCCTCTCTTTGCTTCCCTTGACCCCTCTCCTACTTCCCTCCCCTCCCACCGTACGCACAGCAGAGGCTCTACCAAAGAGGCGGGTGGGGGGCATGGCGGGGGGCGCGGGCGCTCTGGAGGGGTACGGCACGGCACAGCTACTGCCAGAGCGAGGCATCTACCTCACCTCTGCCTGCTACCGCCCCACGCTGCAGGTGGGTTGATGTGTCTGTTGTGCGTTTAAGTCGACTCAGAACACGTTGCAGGTGGGTTGATTTGTCTGTTGTGCGTTTAAGTCGACTCAGAACACGTTGCAGGTGGGTTGGTTTGTCTGTTGTGCGTTTAAGTCGACTCAGAACACGTTGCAGGTGGGTTGGTTTGTCTGTTGTGCGTTTAAGTCGACTCAGAACACGTTGCAGGTGGGTTGATTTGTCTGTTGTGCGTTTAAGTCGACTCAGAACACGTTGCAGGTGGGTTGATTTGTCTGTTGTGCGTTTGAGTCGACTCAGAACACGTTGCAGGTGGGTTGATTTGTCTGTTGTGCGTTTAAGTCGACTCAGAACACGTTGCAGGTGTGTTGATTTGTCTGTTGTGCGTTTGAGTCAAAGGAGTTGCTCTGCTCTGCTGCTGCCAGAGCGAGGCATCTACCGAGGTGACTTTTGAGTCGACTCAAAAGGCATCTACCTCACCTCACCTCCGCCTGCTACCGCCCCACGCTGCAGGTGCGTCAAGCTTCACACAAGTTGACTAGACTCTTTTCTCTACTGCTTGTTTGGTCCTTGACCTGCGTTTTGCTGCTCTTTTGGGAATATGTCTCAAGGCATCGACCTCTACATCCCTCCCCTCCTCCATCCCCTCCCCCCCCCCTCTCCCTCTCCCCTGCTCTCGAATGGTCCTTCGTATTAATTCAACGGTGTACAACAAGGTATAGGCAGATACAGCAACAAACACTACAGGGTAAGTTCCCTCCTCTCCCCTCCTCTCCGCTGCTCTCTCTCCCTCCACTGCTCCCCTTTTACAGTTCACAGAGAAGGTTACGCAAATGCTGCCACGCAAGTACTCCGACCTGGGGTGAGTTGTCAGTTGCACACACGGGGTGAGTTGTCATTTGCACACACGGGGTGAGTTGTCATTTGCACACACGGGGTGAGTTGTCATTTGCACACACGGGGTGAGTTGTCATTTGCACACACGGGGTGAGTTGTCAGTTGCACACACGGGGTGAGTTGTCTGTTTCACACGGGGTGAGTGAGCTGTGAGTGGCACACAAGGTTTGAGTAGCGTGAGCTGTTTGTTAGCCACAAGGATGCCCTCTTTTTTATATATATACCATTGGAATCGCATACTGTCGGCACGGCAGTTAGTACCATGTACGGATCTGAATCGTATGCGCCTCACACAGCTGCCCTGCCATAGCTGTCCTCCCATCCCATCAACCCCGCTGGCCACTCTTTCTCTCCCGCTTTGCTGATGCTCCCACGTGCTTCCCTTGCAGCAGATGTGATTTTCCGGTCGACTAATAGTTTCACCGGACTCGCCACTCCTCTCTCCCGAGCTGACTTGACTTTTGAGTCGACTCAAGAGTCAGTTCAGTCGACTGATAATTTCACCGCACTCGCCACTCCTCTCTCCCGCTTTTGCTGCCCCTCTCCCTCCACTTTTTTCCTTCCCTCTGCCCCTGCTGCTGCAGCCGCTCTGGCCTGCGCCCCTTTATGGACAGCTTCGTTAAGGACCAGTTCCTGCCCTGCGTGCGCGACGACTACCGCAACCGCGTCGCTGAGGCCCTCTCCAGTGAGTGATCTCAACTCAAGCCATGGTAGCGCATTGTGGAGTCGGCTCACAAGTCAGAGATGGCACGCTGGAGATTTAATGAGTGAGCTATAGTTGTTTTTTTTTTGTTTTCTACTCAAAAGCGAGCTCTTTAGTGAGCTGATGCCACTTGTAGTTAGCCTTCTGTCCATTCGTCTGTCCAGCTGTCCATCCAAGCTCATCGATCGGCTCTGTAAATTCTCCCCCCCTTTCCCCGCTCCTCCCCCCTCACCTTTCAACCTGAAATACGGCTACCTGTGCTCGCTCCCTCTGCCCCCCCGCATTTCCCCCACTCCCAACGTCCCTGCAGGCCCATCTGCCTTCCGCCCACGAGCCAAGACCATCGGCATGTACGAGCCAGCAGCCGAGAAAGGCCGCCCACTGCTGCAGGGGCCGGTGGCGGTGGAGGGGGTGGTGGAGGAGGTGGTGGAGTGGGCCAAGGCCATGCCCGTGTATGCGGGGGAGTTCGTTGCTCTCGTGCACACCCTGCTTGATAGGACTCTGGAGCGCTGCCGGGGAGTCTACACTGAGGTAGGCTGTGTGCTGCAAGTCAGGCGTTGAGGGGGGTGGGGGGAAGTCTCCTATGGGAGGAGGTGGTGGAATGGGCCAAGGCCATGCCCGTGTATGCGGGGGAGTTTGCTGCTCTTGTTCACACCCTGCTTGACCGCACTCTCGAGCGCTGCCGAGGAGTCTACACCGAGGTGAGTGCTTGTGAGCTGCCTGAAATCGGGTGTGCAGGGGCTGCTGCAAGGGCTTTTGGAGGGAATGCTGCAGGGGCTGCTGCAGGGGCTGCTGCAGGGGCCGGTGGCGGTGGAGGGCGTGGTGGAGGAGGTGGTGGAGTGGGCCAAGGCCATGCTCGTGTATGCGGGGGAGTTCGTTGCTCTCGTGCACACCCTGCTTGACTCTCGAGCGTTGCCAGGGTGTTTATACCGAGGTAAGCTGTTTGGTCTGGGGGAGGGGGACGGGAGGGTGGGGAGAGTGAGAGGTTGAGGGAAAGCGAAGGGTGGGTGAGAGGAGTGATGGGGTGGTTGCTGTGGATGGGATGGGATGAGGGTTTTGCGTACTCTTACAGCAGGCAGTAGCCATTATTCTTCTTCCGTTTCCCTTCCACTCCTGTACCCCCCGCACCCAAAATCCACCCTTGTTCTTCTTTTCCTCCTCCCCGAGTCCGTTCTCGGCTCTCGTTGCAGCAACCTGCTGGGCTGCCCCGTTCTGAGGGGACTTTTGAGTCGACCTCATGCAGCAGCAGGCCGTCCCCTCCCCATAACCCCAACTTCCCTACTCCCTCAACTTCCCTATTCCCCTCCCTTTCCCCTGCTTCTCCTAGGCTGTGCTCGGCTCGCTCAGCAGCAGCCCAGTGGGCCACCCAGATATTGACAACCTCATGCAGCAGCAGGCGGCCTGCTCTTCCTCTTCCCTCTCCACTCCCTTTTTTCCCATTTCTACTCTACTGCACCCCCCCACCACCACCGCCCCGCCCCCTGCCCCCTTGCCTCCCCAAGGCTGTGCTCGGCTCTCTCAGCAGCAACCTGGTGGGCCGCCCGGATATCGACAACCTCATGCAGCAGCAGGTGGCAGCCAAGCTGCTAACGGACGGCGATCTGCCGCCCGCTGAGCTGGAGGCCGCCCGGGAGGACCCGCCTCTGGACAGCGAGGCGTACGAGCTGGACCTCGAGATCTACGGCAAGCTTCTGGCTTTAAGGCCTATTAAGGAGGTAGTTACTTTTGTGTGGGGGAGGGTGTGTGTGTGTGTGTGTGTGTGTGTGTGTGTGTGTGTGTGTGTGTGTGTGTGTGTGTGTGAGTGTGCGTGTGCGTGCGTGCGTGCGTGCGTGCGTGCGCGTGAGTGCGTGCGCGTGCGTGCGTGGGTGCGTGCGTGCGTGCGTGCGTGCGTGCGTGCGTGGGTGCGTGGGTGCGCGTGTGCGTGCGTGTGCGTGCGTGGGCGTGCGTGGGTGCGTGCGTGGGTGCGTGCGTGCGTGTGCGTGCGTGTGCGTGCGTGTGCGTGCGTGTGCGTGCGTGTGCGTGCGTGTGCGTGCGTGGGCGTGCGTGGGCGTGCGTGGGCGTGCGTGGGTGGGTGCGTGGGTGCGTGTGCGTGCGTGTGCGTGCGTGTGCGTGCGTGTGCGTGCGTGTGCGTGCGTGTGCGTGCGTGTGCGTGCGTGTGCGTGCGTGCGTGCGTGCGTGCGTGCGTGCGTGCGTGCGTGCGTGCGTGCGTGCGTGCGTGCGTGCGTGCGTGCGTGCGTGCGTGCGTGCGTGCGTGCGTGCGTGCGTGCGTGCGTGCGTGCGTGCGTGCGAGCGTGCGTGCGTGCGTGCGTGCGTGCGTGCGTGCGTGCGTGCGTGCGTGCGTGCGTGCGTGCGCGTGTGCGTGTGTGTGTCTGTGTGTGTGTGTGTGTGTGTGTGTGTGTGTGTGTGTGTGTGTGTGTGTGTGTGTGTGAGATGGCGGGTCTTCGATCGCACATAGCATGGCGGGTCTTCGATCGCACATAGCATGGCGGGTCTTCGATCGCACATAGCATGGCGTGCGATCGAAGACCCGCCTCTGGACAGCAAGGCGTGCGAGCTGGACCTCTCTGGACCCTCTCGCCTTCCTTTCCCTTTCTCCCCGGCGGGAGAAACTCGTTCTGGGCACCGTCGGTGACATTTTTCTTCTCCCTCCTCGTTGCCCCGCCTCTCATTCCCCCTCGCACCTTGCCGTTCATCCCGTTCTCCCCTGGCAGGCAGGAGCAACTGATTCTGGACACCGGCAAGCTGGTGCTGCTGGCTGCTCTCAGTGCCTCCCACTGTCCTCACACCTCACCTCTCATCCGACTGTGTGCTTGCCTGCCTTTCATCCCCGTTTCTCCCTCTCAGGAGCAACTGATTCTGGACACAGGCAAGCTGGTGCTGCTGGCCGCTCTCAGTGACACACTTGAGTACTTTGCCGATGCCATCCTGCGGTGAGTGCTGCTGATGCCATCCTGCGGTGAGTGCTTGGCTGTGGTGACTGTATGCACACATGCGCACATGCACGCATGCAGACATGCGCATACCGCCCTCTTCCCCCAACCCCTGCTTCTTCCCATGCCCAGTCTGGACCGCCCCAAGGTAGCAGGCAGTGCGAGGAAGAAGACAGCAGCGGCATCAGCGAGGCAGCAGCGGGCACCGGCTCTGACGCTCTTATAATGATCTCACTTCTCGCACTCTTCCCCTGTCCCAATTCCAGTCTGGGCCTGCCCAAGGTAGCAGGCAGTGCGAGGAAGAAGACAGCAGCAGCGTCGGCGAGGCAGCAGAGGGCACCGGCGCTGACGTTACTGCTAATGGTTCCTCTTCCCACCCTCTTCCCCCAAACCCCTGCTCCCTGCTCCCTCCCATTCTCAGGCTGGGTCGCCCCAAGACAGCAGGCAGTGCAAGGAAGAAGACTGCAGCGGCATCAGCGAGACAGCAGCGGGCACCGGCGCTGACGGCGTCGCTGCAGCAGCTGGCGGAGCGCTACCGGCTGCTGGCGAGAGAGGCTCTCAGGACACTGCGAGTGGAGATGCAGCTGCATTGTATCTTCCATCTGCAGGTACTCAAGTACACTAGAGTAGAGTTTGTGTACCCTAGAGTCTGCAGCAGCTGGCGGAGCGTCACTGCCTGTTGGCAAGGGCTTTTGAGGCGCCTCAAATGACGGAGCGTCACTGCCTGCTGGCGAGGGAGGCTCTCAGGACACTGCGAGTAGAGATGCAGCTGCACTGCATCTTCCACCTGCAGGTGCAGTTGTGTTGTGTATGTGAGTTGATGGATGCTACTGCACTTCCCATAGGCTGCAGCAGCTGGTGGAGCGCTACCGGCTGCTGGCACGGGAGGCTCTACACGCCCTGCGCGTGGAAATGCAGCTGCACTGCATCTTCCACCTGCAGGTACTCTAGACTGCACTGCACTGCACTGCATCTTCCACCTGCAGGTATACTTTTGCATGTGAGTGAGTGGACGCTGCGGCACTGCGCTACCTCGTTGCAGCAGCTGGCAGAGCGCTACCGCCTGCTGGCAAGGGAGGCCCAGCGCACGCTGCGCTGTTCCGGCCCCCTCTGTTCCGCCCCCCTCTGTTCCGGCCCCCTCTGTTCCGTCCCCCTCTGTTCCGGCCCCCTCTGTTCCGTCCCCCTCTGTTCCGGCCCCCTCTGTTCCGTCCCCCTCTGTTCCGCCCCCCTCTGTTCCGGCCCCCTCTGTTCCGCCCCCCTCTGTTCCGGCCCCCTCTGTTCCGCCCCCCTCTGTTCCGGCCCCCTCTGTTCCGGCCCCCTCTGTTCCGTCCCCCTCTGTTCCGCCCCCCTCTGTTCCGCCCCTCTCTGTTCCGCCCCCCTCTGTTCCGCCCCCCTCTGTTCCATCCCCCTCTGTTCCGCCCCCCTCTGTTCCGTCCCCCTCTGTTCCGTGGCCTGCTCTTTTCCCCCTGCTCGGTGCCCCTTCACTGCAGTTCACACCGAACCGTGAGTACAGAGGGGTTTCCTCATCCTTTGAAATCAATGGGAATATTGCTTTCCACTCGAATCAAAGTTCCTGATCCTCCATCCGTTCGTCCCTCCCTCCGTGCCTCTCTGCTGCAGTTCATGCCGACCCGGGGGTACGTGAACGAGATCGATGCAGAGGAGCCAGAGGACTTCATCGTGGCTCTCACTGCCCAGGTACAGTTCGAACAACAACCAACTCTATCTACAGGTGTTATGCATGAGCTGCAGCGACGTCATGTATCACACAATGGCAGGGCAGGCTCCCTTTTGGTGCTCTATTGGTACCCGCCCACCCCACTGGTACGCGGACGAGATAGACGCAGGGGAGGAGCCTTTTCAGGCCTTTCAGAAGATTGATGCGGAGGGGACCGAGGGTTCCATCGTCGCTCTCGCTGCTCAGGTACTGTTCCTGGCCTGGGGACTTGCACTCTTCGCTTGGACTTGTACTGTTTTCATTCAGACTCGCACTGTTCATGTGTACAGGACAGCATGCGGGGACTGTGTCATCTGCCCTCACCAGCCAACCACCCTGCAATGCAAGTGTGTCAAACCCACATTCCCCTCCCCTCTTCAACCTCCCTCCCTCCCCACCCCCCTTCTCTCCACTTACTCTCTTCCCCCTCTTTCCTTGGCCAGCTCACCCGAGTGGACGAGGAAATGACGGTCTTCATCGCCCCTGCTCGTTACTACTATGTCTTTGTTGGCGTCTGCAGCCTCGCCCTGAACCCCCCCACCTCCCCCTCCTCCTCTTCATCTCTCTCATCCCTCTCCCCGTCCCCACCCTCTCTCCTTGGCCAGCTCACCCGAGTGGACGAGGAAATGACGGTCTTCATCGCGCCTGCCCGCCGCTACTACGACAATGGGGGTGGTACCTGAGCCCCCACCCTATCCCCCCGCTTTCTTCCCCCCCTCTCTGCCCCCCTTCCTTCTCCAACCAGCTCACACGAGTGGACGAGGAAATGACGGTCTTCATCGCGCCTGCCCGCCGCTACTACGACAATGGGGGTGGTACCTGAGCCCCCACCCTATCCCCCCGCTTTCTTCCCCCCCTTTCTGCCCCCCTTCCTTCTCCAACCAGCTCACACGAGTGGACGAGGAAATGACGGTCTTCATAGCGCCTGCCCGCCGCTACTACGTCTTTGGGGGCGTCTGCAGCCTTGCTGCCACAGGCCTTATCCGGGTAAGCTCTTTCATCAAAACCACGCTGTTGCTATGTGTGTGTGCTGCTGATTGTACACCCATCATGCTAGTTAGTTGAGCTTACATGCAATTATGGGTGGGGGCGTCTGCAGCCTCGCCGCCATAAGCCTTATTAGGTATGCTCGCTGCTATGTGTGTGCTTACTGCTTGCGTGCTCTTTGGTCGTATGTCCATGTGCTGCTGGTCCGTGCACTCCAATTTCATATGATATTTGAGTTTTTTTTTTTTTTTTTTGTCGACGTCGACCTTCATTCAGACGTGTTTTGATGAGCTGAGGGTATGAAGCATGCAGCCTTCAGTTCGTCCTCTTCTCCTTCCGTCCTTCCGAAGTCCTGACAACATTGCATAGCAGCGATATACTCGCTCCTCGTCTTCTCAATCGTCCCCATTCACGCCCTTTCCTCTTTCTCTTTTGCTCCCTCAGCCCCCTTCCTCCTCTCAACTATCCGCTCGCCCATCCCCCATTCCTCCCCCTAAACCCAAATCCCCCATTTCCCCCCCCGGTAACCCCACCCACCACACCCCATTCCTCTGCTCTTCTCCCCACCACCAGGCTCTGGCGGAGCTGCCAGGGATCAACTCGCTGGGAGTGCGGCAGGTGCAGCGCAACTGCATCGCACTGCAACAGGTGACATTGACATGTTATTGCGCAGAACTGTTCCGTTCTAGGCATTCTTTTGTCAGATTGCCATCCTCATTGTAACCTACATCAATCCTATAAGCTTAGGCTAGAGATAGCACCCAAACTTAGTTTGGGTGTAGAACTAGGGCTAACCCTAGTTGGGGGTTGGAACTCCAACCTTGGCCCCAAGGTTGGGTTGGGAATTATTGGTCCCCCCAATAATCCCTCAACCCAACTTATTGGTGGGGGCCAATAATGTTGGCTTGGTTCCAACCAAACCCCCCCCCCCCCTAGCACTACTATGTATACCTCCATCTCTCCTAATCAATTCAATGGTTCTTCTTCCATTTTCTCACATCTTTTTCATCAGAAGATTGTCGTTCATCTCTCACATTCTACTCCCCCATCATCTACTTTCCCTCCCCGCTTGTCTCGATCCCCGCTCCACTCTCCACCTCTGCACTCTCACCCTTCCCCTTAATCTCATCTGCCCTGGATTCAGAGCATGCCAAGTCAGACCATGGTAAACCTCTCCCCACACCACACCTTCCCCACAATCCCATCACTCCCATTTTCTTCCTTCCCCACTCCCTCCATTCCCTCTGGCCGTCAGACCCTGGCAACACTCAACGCGAATGGCAGTCAGAGTGTGCAGCTGAGTCTGGACCGCGTGGGCGAGTACTACGAGCTGCTCAACCGGCCATATGAGGTGTGTGCTGCTGTGAGGTGATGGCTGCTGCTATTGTGAGGTGAGGCTGAGCGATTCATAGCACTCATAGGTGGGAGGTGCAATGCGCTGCACTCTCCACTGCAGCACGCACCTTCATAGGTGGGTGCTATGAATCGCTCAGCCTCCCTTGTAAAGTGCGCATTGCACTTTAGGGCTAATCAGTAGACATAATTTGGCAACAACCGCTCATTCCTTCCCTGCTCCTACTTCCCCTCCATTCCCCACATGAGTACCTCCGTTGCTGCAAGATTCCACTGATTCTTTCATTCTGCTCTGTCTGTTTATTTGTTCCTTCTCTCGGTCACAGGCGCTGCTGGCATACGTTAAGGACCGCAACTGCTACTCGTGTCTTATCTTCCCCTGTTTCTATCCTTCCGCAATCTCTCTTTTCGTCCCTCTTCCCACTCTCAGGCGCTGCTGACATACATCAAGGACCACAACCGCCACCTCCCTTTCCACTCCCCGCTTTTGCTGTTTCATGACAAATGACGCGTGCTCTACTCTCTGTTTCTATCTCTCGTTCTCTCAGGCGCTGCTCGCATACATCAAGGACCACAACCGCTACTTCTCCGTCGATGAGTAAGTCAAGTCCCGCCTGGCATCAAGTCCCGCCTGGTTACCGTATGACACACCAATAATCTCCTGTCTGTATCCCCGGTGCCCGTTTGTCAGTGCCCGTTTGTCAGTTGCACGGCCTAGACTAGCCGTTTCCTATTGTGGCCAGTCGTGCGTGCTTAGTCTGCCTCTTCTTGCCTCTCGGTATGGGTGTGACACTGTTTGAACGCTCACAAGCACGGCACCTGCAGGTTGACGGAACTGAGGAATGTCTGCTGGTTGACGGAACTGAGGGATGTCTGCTGGTTGACGGAACTAAGGGATGAACAGCTTGCGTCATTCTCACATCCCGCTCCTCTCTCTGCCACCCCCCTTGGCTTGCTGCCTCTAGGAACATTTCTACTCTCAATCGTTTAACTGGGTGGTTCTGCTTGTGTCACTGCCAGGTACCTCACCCTGATCAAGGTGCGTGTGCCTGGAAGGCACGTGCCAAAGGATGCGACAGAAACGATCAAGGAGCTTTTGCAAGAGGGCTGATATTAGCATTGCCTGTGATTGGTGCTTTGGATTGTCGGATTGGTGTCCCCTAGTCAAGAACTAAGTAGGTTAAACTGATATGTGTTTCAGATAATTTGCCCTCGTATCTTACAGCGTGCACTCTGGCTAGGTTTTGACAATGTAATGCCCCCTTAGGTTTTTCAAGTATTGTATGTATAATTTCTTTGCATTCTTTTTATCTATGCATATTATCGAATTCTGTAGCCAGTATGTTTATTTGAATCAGCCCTCGCGCTTATCGAGAACACGTTCCCTGGTGATGACATGCCAGCACGACAAACGCCGCGGTCTCCTTACAACGCGCTCCTGACATTGGGAGTTCCCGCGCGATGCTTTCCATGCCAACATCGTGCCATGTTTGGCTCGGTTCGGAGCAACAAGATTGCTTCCCCGAATGCTGCCCGTCTAGGTGTTACCGTGTTTGATCCATCCTCCTAAACTTTTTAACATGTATTCTTCACTCCTCAAGGCAGACTGCATAACTAGCTCTAGCGCTTAACTGTTGGTGTGCAACTTTGGCAGCTTTGGAACTCGTATGAAGCTTTTGGGGGAACTTGTTTCAAAAATACACAGGAGGCAAGGACGGCTGGATTCGTGCAGTTCGTGCATCCTCGAAACGCTGGTCGTTCCACCAGCAAACCAAAAAGTGTGCTTTCTTTGGCGAGCTTGCAAGAATGATCTTCCAAGTTGGTGCTTCCACCATGTCTTGACTAATGTCATCGATTTCATCGCAAGCACGTGCAAGAGCGTTTCCTCAGGGTCCGTCACGGCTCGCGACCATACGAGTGTTGTGTCTTGCGTGCCTGAGCGTCCCAGCGTTTTGCGTTAGCGCACGGGCAAGTCTTGTGAGCATACTGCTTCCTCCGCTGTCCACGATCTTGTCGGAGAGAAATCGCGAGGGTCGCACGATAGGAGGCTTGCGAAAACAGGGAAATGCGTCAATTGATTTGAACGAGAGGATCGAATTTACGAAACGTCGCAATCAAGCGACTGCCTGATTGGTAGACTCGTGTAGGTGGTATGTTCTTGACGACAGGGTATGCAATTGCGTCACATTGAATTCAAGACAAGACACACAGACATCCACCTTTCTTCCTGTCAGATAGAGACGTTCTGTCATCTTGACAATATTGTCTCGGTTCTAGCTCGCAACTTGTGAAGGCTCATCTGGTCCGGTAGACATCTTTGTCTCGCACAGTCTAGTTCATGCGAATACAGATTCTGGTTACAGCTTCTTAATTCAATTCGCCGCCAACGGCTCGTGAACGCTCTTCGCGAAACAGTCTTTAAAGCAATCAGCACAGCACCTGCCTCGTTCCATAGAAACTGCGTATCCTTGAGACTCGTTCCGTCGTGTATCATTGAGACTCGTTCCGTCGTGTATCCTTGATACTCGTTCCGTACGGCGGTCGATCCGAGAGCCTCTCTAAGCCCACTCCTCATAGCACCATATACTCATCTCATAATTTAGTACTCCAAGCTACTGCCTTTACCCGATTTCTACGACCCGATTCCTATCCTCCAGTCACGCCCTTTTGTTTCCCTCTCCCCACCCCCGCCATCACGGGCGCGCATCTCCTCCCCCGTTTCCTCGTCCGCCAACCCCTCAGCCCCCTCTGCAGCCCTCTGCTTCCGCCCGCGCACGGTTCCCCTTCCCCCCCGACTTCCGCCTCCCCGCCCCGCCCTTCCTCTTTTCCTGCATTGGCGCAAGCCGCCACGCTGGAGGCGGAGAGGTTGATCGGAGGGGAGGGGGAAGCGGGGGAAGGGTTAATTGGGAAAAAGGAGGGGGAACCGGGAGAAGGAGCGGGGGCTTATGCGGAAGTTGCTGGCGGCGAGGAAAGGGGGGATGGGAAAGGCGGAAGGGAAAGGTCTGAGGACGGTATGGATGGCGACCGCGCGAGCGGGGAGCGGGAGCCCTTGACGGGAGGGGGAAACGGGGAAGATGGGAGAGAGGGGGAAGAGGGAGTGGCGGAGGCTGTGGGGGGAGGGGTGCAAGCGAGCAATCTAAATATAGGGGTTTCCAAGGAAAGCGTTAGCGTGAGTGAGAGCAGTGAGGTGGAGAGAGAAAAGAGGGACGAGATGAGCCCGATGGAAGGAGGAATGGGGCAAGCAGGCACGGAAGTAGCTGCAGCAGCCGCTGCTGATTTTGCTGCAGCAAGGGCAGCAGAAGGGGCGGGAGACGGGACAGGAGAAGGGGCAGGAGATTCGGGTAAAGTAGTGAGTGGAGGCGGAGAAAAAGTACCAGGGACGACTGGAGAAGAGCAGTCAAAAGCCTCACCGCAAGCAGACCCCTCGCTCACACCCGCAGCAGCAGCAGAGGGAGCAGGAGCAGCAGGATCAGCAGCAGCCGGAGCAAGAGCAGGAGCGAGGGGAACAACAACAGCGGATGGAGGGCGCACGTGGGGCGGGGGAATCCGCGCCAACACCACCCCCTACTGGCGCTTCGTGCAGATCCTCTCCGCGGTGGGCGCGGGGGTGATATTCATCCCCGCGCTCGCCTTCACCGTCATTATATTCATCCGCAGCCTCTTCCTGCAGGCCTGGTACCACCTCTGCTACTCTGGCGCCATGCGCCGGCGAAATCGGCGAGTGGTAACCCCATCGTGCCTGTCCGTGCTGCCTTCGCCGTGCATGCGGGGGACTCTGGATCTGGAGCAGCGGCTGGAGGTGGTCTCGTGGGAGGGCGGGCGGGTGGTGACGTGGCGCAAGTCGGACGAGGCGGCGAGAGGAAGTGGTGGTGCCGCTGCTGATGCTGCTGCTGGTGATGGTGACGGTGATGGTGATGGTGGTGCAGGTGCTGCCGGTGTGAGTGCTGGAAGTTCGAGCAGCGAACCGCTGCGAGGAGAGAAGGCGAGCGAGGGCGGGGAAGGAGAGGTTCGGATCGACGTGGGCGGAGGCTCGGGAGCCGAGCCTGCGGGAGGGCGCGGAAGCGGCAGAGGAGGCGCGGGCGCGGGCGGAGCAGGCGGAGCAGGCGGAGGGGAGGGCGGGGGGGACAACTCAGTAGCGGGGATAGAGATCCGGCCCGCGTCCCCCATGGCGTGCGTGGCGGAGAACAGCTACCAGCGCGGCATCCCGCGGCGGCTGTCCCTGAGCTTCGTGCACGCGTGGACGTTCACGTACACGCACGTGGTGAACCGCACGGCTGTTATGAATGCGGACACGCTGCTGGAGCTGGTCAGGCGGCGGCCTGCTGGCACGCCATTGATTACCATCAGCAACCACATGTCCACGTGCGTGGGGTAGTGGGTTGGGGATGCATGGGGTTGCGTGGGGTCGCATGGGGTCGCCTGGGGTCGCCTGGGGTCGCATGGGGTTGCATGCAGTCGCACGCGTGGACGTTCCCGTACACACATGTGGTGAACCGCACGGCTGTTATGAATGAGGACACGCTGCTGGAGCTGGTCAGGCGGAGACCTGCTGGCACACCACTCATTACCATCAGCAACCACATGTCCACGTGCGTGTTGTGTTAGGCTGCGGATGCATGGGGTCGCATGGGGTCGCATGGGATCGCCTGGGGTCGCATGGGGTCGCATGGCGTTGCGTGGGGATTCAGGAGGTCGCATGACCAGTGGCGCCTGCGCTGCGCTGGCCTGTCTCTCGCCCTTGTTCTCATTCCGCACTCTCCCCCCCACCAGTCTCGACGACCCGCTCCTATGGAACCAGTGGCGCCTGTGCTTCTCCTCCGCATCTGTGCCGCTGGACGCTCATAGTGTGGGGCATCTGCTTTGTGACAAGTCTCAAAATTCTCCACCCCCTTCCCCCTCCCCACACCAGTCTCGACGACCCGCTCCTCTGGAACCAGTGGCGCCTGCGCTTCTCCGACCCGCATAAGTGCCGCTGGACGCTCACAGCGCGCGACATCTGCTTCACACACCCCTTCACCGCCTACCTCTTCCGCCTGGGTGAGTCAAGTTCATGCAAACACAATGTCCCCATGCCCATCCCTTCACGCACATCTGCTTCACACACCACTTCACCTCCTACCTCTTCCGCCTGGGTGGGTGTTGTCTCCACGGACAAGACGTGGTGGGTCACAGTAAGAGTATGGAGAGAGCAGGTATCAGTGTCAGGCTCTCTCACTACCCATGCTCACTCACAGCGCGCGACATCTTCTTCACACACCCCTTCACCTCCTACCTCTTCCGCCTGGGTGGGTCACAGTGGCAGTTTATAAATGTGGTAATCCGTCGAGTAGTGCTAGGACCATGTCGCTATGCCAAACTCTTTCGCCTTGGTCAGTAGTGGTTGCGTTTTTTACTCCAATGCGCGCTTGAGCGATGGGAAGACCAAGCTTCCATGCCTACTCCTTCACCGCCTACTTCTTCCGCCACGGTCAGTGTCTTTGCCAGTCAGTGATGGGACAAGATAGCCAGTGATGGGACAAGATAGCCAGTGATGGGACAAAATAGCCAGTGAGCTCGTGGCCCCACTTTTCCCTCTCCCTCCCGCTCACGTTCCCGCTCCTGCTCTCGCCCCCGCTCCCCCTCCCCCTCCTGCTGCTCCCCTGCCGTTGCTCCGACTCCCCTCGTTATCTCCCTCACCTCTCACCAGCCAAGTGCATCCCCATTGACCGCTACGGAGGCATTTACCAGCCGGGCATGACAGAGGCCGTTCAGCGACTCAGTGCGGGCGGATGGGTGAGTGCGGTGTGAGGGGGGATTCGGGGGAAGGGGGGGAGAGGAGGTGAAGGGGGGAAAGAGGGAAGTGGAAAGTGTCTCAGAGCGTCTACCCGCCGGGCATGACTAATGCCATTCAGTGGCTCAGTGCGGGTGGATGGGTGAGTGGAAAATCTCGTGAATTAGCAAGCCTGTGCTATCAATCAACCCACACACCACTCACCCTCCTCCGCCCCTTCTCCCTCCTTCCCCCCCGCGTCCTCCCCTTGCCCTTCCCTCCCCGTTAAAACCGCCCACTCTCTCCATTCACACCCCACCCACCCCACTCTACCTTATTCCACTCCATCTGCACATCTTCTTCCCAGAGGGGCGCATTGTCGCACAGGACCACGTGGGCTTGGCACAACTCAGATTTCTCTTAGAGCTCTTCCCAAGTACCTCCCACCCCATTCCACCGTATTCCACTCCTTCCTGATGCCCGCTTCCAACCCCGCTCCACCCCATTCCAGTCGACACCCCACTCCACCTTACTCCACCGCAGCTGCACGTCTTCCCAGAGGGGCGTATCACCCAGGAGCATGTGGCAATGGCGCGCCTCAAGGGTCCTTCAGATCATTACAAATACTTCCCACACATTCCACCCCATCCCGCCCCTCCACCCCATTCCACCCCATTCCACCCCGTTCCACCCTGCTAGACGCCGTTCCACTGGATTACACTTCCCCCTCCCCAGCTGCACATCTGTCCAGAGGGGCGCATCAACCAGGAGCACATCGCCTTGTCGCATCTCAAGTGTTTCTTCAGCTCTTTCCAAATACCTCCCACCCCATTCCACCGCATTCCTCTGCCTTCCACCGCATTCCACCCCTCCCCAGCTGCACATCTTCCAAGAAAAACACATCACCCAGGAGCACGTGGCATTGGCGCGCCTCATTTTGTTGCTTCATCTCCTCCTTCCCAATTCCCGCTTGCAACCCCATTCCACCGCATCCCACTCCCCTCTCCAGCTGCACATCTTCCCAGAGGGGCGCATCACCCAGGAGCATGTGGCATTGGCGCGCCTCAAGTGTTTCCTTCAGCTTTTTCCAAATACCTCCCACCCATCCCACCCCACCGCATTCCACCGCATCCCACTCCCCTCTCCAGCTGCACATCTTCCCAGAGGGGCGCATCACCCAGGAGCACGCATTGGCACGCCTCAAGTGTTTCCTTCAGATTTTTCCAAATACCTCCCACCCATCCCACCCCACCGCATTCCACCACATTCCACCCCTCCCCAGCTGCACATCTTCCCAGAGGGCCGTATCACCCAGGAGCACGTGGCATTGGCGCGCCTCAAGTGGGGGCTGGCATCAGTCATCGACCGTTGCACCTCCCCTGTCCCCCCCATCATCCTATGCGTCGCACACAGCGGCTTCGAGAATGTGAGTGCCGTGTGACCCAGCAGCTTTGATATATGTGCATCCATCCACTCCCCATGTGCCCAGCGGTTCTCCTCTGTGTGCCTCACAAAGCAGCGCGCTTGAGAATGCGAGTAGTATGTGCCTGCATCCACTCTTCGTGTGCTTGTTGTGAGCATCATGTGCCCGTCTGCCCGGCTGGGCCATTGTGGAAAGTTGCGCGTCCTGCTCCGTTGCCGGTTCTTCTCTTAGCAGCTCACTGCAGGTTTTTTTGGTCGACTCAACACCCGGTTCTTCTCGTACAGCTCACTGCAGGTTTGAGAATGCAAGTGTGGTGGTTGAGGGGGACCTTTCGCTTCCACATCGTGACACACCCTCTCTTACTTCCTCTCTCATTCCCTCGCTCCATCACTCACTCACTCCCATCTCTCCCACACCGCCAGGTCATGCCTGAGCCACGGGCGTTCGGCCACAGGGCCATAGCGCCGCTGTGGGGGCAGCGCATAGCGGTGGTGGTGGGGGAGCCGTTTCAATTCAACATGCCAGCGCTCAGAGCAGCTGCCGCCCACGCTGCCGACCACCCAGACGACTCACCCTTCGGGGTCGAACCCACTCCGCCTGCTCCCGCTCCCCCCACTGCTGCTGCTGGTGATGCTGCTAGTGATGCTGCTGGTGTTGGTGGTGCTGGTGCTGCTGCTGCTGGTGGTGGTGGTTCTGATTCCACTGCTGCTCCTGCTGGTTCTGCTGATGCTGCTGCTCCGAACGCTCCTGCTGGTCCAGCAGCAGGTAGGGAAGCAACGGTGGTGGAAGTGGGAGGGGGCAGCAGTGCAGTGAAGGACGAGGCAACGAGGCGGCTGTATGCGTTCATCACAGGGGAGGTGCGGCAGCGGCTGCAGGGTGCAGTGGATGAAGCACACCTGAGGCAAGCAGACGGGTGCTGCCGATGAGTGCTGCTGAGTGCTGCTGAGTGCTGCCGATGAGTGCTGCTCGTGAGTGCATGCCTGCTGCATGCTGCACTCCAGACATAGGGTTATGCTTCAGCTTTTCTGGCTCATCACGGGGGAGGTGCGGCAGCGACTGCAGGGTGCAGTGGATGAGGCACACCGGCGCCAGGCGGATGGGTGCTGGTGATAACTGGTGCTCATGGGTACAGGCTGCAGGCTGTAGCAAATGAAGCACGGGGGAGGTGCGGCAGCGACTGCAGGGTGCAGTGGATGAGGCACACCGGCGCCAGGCGGATGGGTGCTGCATGGGTGCATGCTTGCTGATTTTATCATGCAGCAGTTGCTTCTGCTTTTCACATGAGAGGTGCGGCACAGGCTGCAGGCTGTAGCAAATGAAGCACACCAAGCGGTAGGCAGATGGGTGCTGCTGACTGCTGCTTGCGTTTGCACACATGCTCTCAAGTTCATACCTACTGCCGTGTTACCCGCCTAACGCCACAACACCATGCAACAGACACGGAGCACATTTCCCCTCGTACTATAGGAGTTTTAAAGGCTTTACATTTGAGCCGATATGAAATCGACAACTGCATGACGCATGTCGTGTTTCTTGCACTGCATGGTACTCCAATTTTCTACAAGCTTCTGTATTTCCTTATTAAATACGTGCTTTGTAATTGGTTGATTCCTTATTTTATGTTTGTGTTGATAAATGTCCGCGCACTAGTCCGGGCGGCTTGATCTCATCTTAAACCAACATATATATGAGATTTGCTGACACTCATACCACACTTGCGTTTCGAGGAAAACCATGTAAGACTTACCTTACTGGTATCAATAAAGCCTTCACACTATACACAAATTACAAAGTTGCACACACTGCACCTACCTACAAGACATACTACCGTACCATATACTGCGGATATAGCACAAATGCAGGATACCAGTAAGTTTTCTCTACCCCTCAAGTACTATATGAGTCTTCCATGCGTCCAGTATTTGCTCCAAGGTGAGTCGATCTTCCCACTCAGTCAGAATGGCCCCGCGCACCACCCCCACCAGGAACCTCGCCTGCTCCTCCGTCCACTGCCCCTCAAGGCTTTTATCAACCACTTCGCTGTAATCTGTGAAGTCTGGGTCGTTCAGCTTCTCCCTGGGCTCTTGAAAGGACTCGTCCAACGCGGGGTATCCGGTTACAAGCTCTAGCAGGAAGATTCCAAAGGCGAACGTGTCGCAGTGCGTGGATAGGTATCCTGATGAGGGGGGAAATGGAAGAAGAGCAGTCGTATAAATGAAAGGAGTCCTGACTCTAATGCAGGGTATCCTGTCATGAGCTCTAGTAGGAAAATTCCGAAGGCGTACGTGTCGCAGTGCGTGGAGAGGTATCCTGAGGGGGGAAAGGAGGAAAAGAGAGCCGGGTGATATACGGAGTGGTCCGACGCAAGGTACCCTGTCACGAGCTGAAGGCGTACGTGTCACAGTGCGCGGAGAGGTATCCTGATGAGGGGGGAAAGGGGAGCAGAGCAGTAGGATGGTGAAATGATTCATCTAATGCGGGATAACCAGTAACAAGCTCCAAAAGGAAGTGTACGAAAGTGTGTGTATGTGTGGCAGTGAGCGGATAGATATCCTGAGGGGAAGAAGGAGTAATAGGGCAGCGGTATGATAAAAGTCGTAACAGTAGGTATCCGGTTGAGGGGTTTATGGTAGTTCTTTGTGTGGTTCCAATAAGCGTTCAGATGCGTCGTTAGCTTCTGAGTCGACTCAACAGTCACACGGCAGCTCACCTCTCTCGCAGTGTGAAGGGTCCATTTAGCCCATCATCGACCCGACCATTCTTTAAACCGACTACCAAGTTGCCCAATCACAAAGGGACAGCCAACCAACTCCAAAGCTCACCTCTCTCAAAGTAAGCAGGGTCCATGTAGCCCATCGACCCAGCCAGCCAGCATCTGCAGCGTGTGAGCTTACCCTTCTCATAGACTCGTACTAGCTGGCAGAACAAGTATTGCCGGCTCACCTCGCTCAAAGTAAGCAGGGTCCATGTAGCCCATCGACCCAGCCACTCGCGTCGTGACATGTGACTTGTCCCCGGATGACTTGGCCAATCCGAAATCCGCCACCTTGGGAACGAGTGTCTGGAGACATGTGGATACCGAGAACAGAGAGTTGGAAGGGAGAAATCAGTTCACGTCGCTTTTAGCGGCGCAGCAGATTCAGAATAAAGGCATGTATAATTTGCCTTCGCTAGAATCACATTGGTGTGACCCACATTCGTTAGAAGCACATTGGTGTGACCCACCTTGGTTAGAAGCACGTTGGCGCCCTTAAAGTCGCGATGAATGAAGCCTGCCTTTTGAATCGCAGCCAGCCCCTCAAGACTCCCCTCTGCCACACGCAGTCGCTCCTGCCAGGGGAAGGGCTTTTCTCCATCCCTTGCTGCTTGGAATAAGAGGGGTGAGAGAAATCACATAGATATTGGGCCTTCCTAGAGAAGGGTTGTTCACCACACCTTACTGCTTGGACGGGAAGGGGTGAGAGAGAGAGAGAGACAAGAGAGCCATGCCGGGGTGCGTGCGAAGGGGACATGACATGCACCGGTCCCCTTCGCACCCCAGCACATGTCATGTCCAGCACATGTCATGTCCAGCACATGCAAGGAAGGAACTATGAGCCGGTCAAGCCGGTGCTGCCTTCCACAGGAGATGCTGTTCATTCCAGCCCATTCCACTGCATTACACCCCATTTTATTGCATTCTGCTGCATCACAACCCCCCCTACCTTTTTCTAGCCGCTGTGAAACATCGCCCCCAGGGACGAATTCAGAGACCATTGAGATGTTTCTTCCCATCACGGCCATTCCCAGCAGCCGCAGCACATTGGGATGGCGCAGAGCCGTCATCACCATGATCTCCGTCTGCCACGGGGGGAGGAGAGGAGGAGGAGGGGGTGAGGGGGGACTAGAGAAATATATATTTATATATATAAAGTACGATGAAGGTAAGTATATATAAATAGAAAAGGCTATAAAAAAAATGGAAAGAGGAAAGAAAGAAATTTCCTCTAGATCAGCAATTTCCTCTTTCTTTTAAAAGCTGCATCTGCATCTACAAGTACTATATATATGTATATATATATGTATATATATGGTGCTAATACGTTGGGACCATGATATCTGTTTGGCAAGAAAAAGGGAGGAGAGGGTGAGAGGGTTTGAGACTAAACACATCAGGTTAATTGGTGGAAAGCTGTCATTGCCAAGAGTGACTCACCATCAGCTGCTCCCTTCCCCCCAAGTCTTCCTCCTCCTCCATATGGCACATCTTCACCGCCACCGGAAGAAACCGCTTCCCATCCACTTCCGCCACTTCCAACCCCTCCAGTGTCTCCTCGAGTCCCTCCTCCGCCTCCTCCTCCTCATCCCCCCCGTTCTCCCCGTCCCCTTCCCCGCGCGCTCCCCCACCCGGCAGCAGCAGCATGCCCTTGTAGACGGCGCCGAAGCCGCCTTCCCCCAGCTTGGTGCGCCAGTCGCCCGTCGCCCGCCGCAGCTCCTCCTGCGAGTACCGCGGCAGCGCGCCGTCCGCGCCCACCGCGCGCATCACCACCGGCTTTAGGTCATTGCTTTCTGCGGGAGAGGTAAGGGGAGGGGGGGCGGAAGGGAGGGGGGAAGGGGGAAGGGGCGGGAAGGGAGGGCAAGGAAATTGAGAGGGTCCCTCCGCCCCCACCGCGCGCATCACCACAGGCTCTAGCGGACCGTCCTCTGAGGGAAGGGGGGAGGGAGGGGGAAAGTCGGATGGTTGGGAGAATATGGTCCTGCCGATACTGCTCCCAAAAGCATATGCGGGGGGAAGTGGGATGTGCGTGCGTGCGTGCGTTCGTGCATATGTGCGCATGTTTGCTGCGCGGACGCGCGCATTACCTGAAGATTGACCAATAAGAGAAGGCGGGGGTGCGGTCAACCCAACCCAATCCGAATCAACCAGCAACCCTTTATATTACATTATCAAGCCGAGCATTGCGCGTTCGAGCCGTTGCTCGTGCGTGACTCACCCGTGCCTTTGCTTATGAGTCAACTCAAAAGGCTACTACATTATCAAGCCGAACATGCCGCGTTCGAGCCGTTGCTCGTAACTCACTCGTGCCTTTGCTTTCACGGGCGCGTGGAGATGACGGCCCTCCTCCGAAGCAGCAGAAGACCATACTCGAGGCTCGGAGCAATTAAGAAAAACTCGGGATTTTGAAGCTTGACCTCAGAAAGGGGCGATCACGCTGGCAGGTGGTGTTGATACGGTATGCTACAAGAGTGGTCAAGTTTTGAGTCGACTCAAAAGCATATGCTGACACTTGAGCTCAAAAAGCGACCTTCGCAGGTGGTGCCGATACGGTATGCTAAGAATGGTCAATATAACTACTGTGTGGTGCTCCGTGGGTGTTTCTCCCTCGTTTGGTGGCGTGTTTTTTCAAGTAGATAAAGCACGGCGTCCTCAACCCCCAATATTCGCTAACTACGAGACGATCGAAGCCGCAATATAGTGCGCACGATGACAACCGACAAACTAAGTAAGAGAAGTACGAGATAATAGGTACTCCTGGTGCTCCTCAAGTACCCTACTAGCTAGAGATGAGATACGTGCTCTTGTTTTCTTGACAAAAGAGTGCTGTTCCGGTGTGGCACCCGGACGACAGCCACTCGAATCTTGGGATTGGAAGTTGGAACGTATACAGTGTACATGAAGAAGAAATATAATTGGCGGACGTTTTGTAGCGAAGTCGGTGATTGGATGAGCACGACAAGCCACGACTAGAGGCGCGGAAACTTCGGTTGGGGAGATCGCTGGAACTGTCGCTCGCGAAGTTTCTGAAATTGTCAAGGTCAAGGTACCGTGCAAAACAGAACCAGTATGCGGAAGTTCAGCTGGAGATTGATGACAACCAAGCTATGCAAAACCTGCCCGCACGGTCTGTAAGCTGGCGAATCATCACCTGCAGAGTTTCCCGCCTTCAAGAAAATGCGCTCCCTTGAAAGTTGTAAGGGACCAAACGATGGGTGTGTGCCCTTGCCCAGCAGGGAGGAATTGGGAAGCATACACACCTGAACTGCCTCGTTACTGCGGTGGCACGAAACATGCGTCAGCCCAGACCCCACCAAGTGATGAACCTCTCACAAGAGAGCGGTTGAGTACGATATTGTGCACTCTGGAGCTATCGTTGACCACTCTGAACCTCTCGCTACTCACCAGCCTGAACCCTTCTCGTACAGTATACGAATTGCAAAGCAAACAAACGTGCGCGTGAGTGGTTGGAATTGGTCGCTTGTGTGCAAGCGTCAAATCGAATTGCGTTGGAAGTGATTTTTAATTACTGTTAGGAGTGCAATTGAGTGAACGAACGAGAATTGCACTATCGAAGCAAGAGTACAATGAGCGAAGAATATATAGCGAAACTACAGTGGTAACGGTAATGGACTGTGGTTGTCGCGCGACGGGCCTGGGACTGAGGTTGGGAAAAAGTGTCGAAGCGGAGGCCCGGAGCGCGGGTTACCCGCCGAGCCGTGAGGTCGGGGTGCGATGTGCGAAGGTGGCGGGCGGATTGTCGATGCGAGGGTTGTGAGTGGTAACGGTGCTGACTGTGGTGCTACAGTGATGTACGCGTTGAGCAGGGATGCGAAGTAAGGAAAAGGAATTTTCCTTACAATTACACTGCTGTGCAACCAAATCGCGTGGGGAAACTTTTGTTTGTGGGATCCTGAGAATGCTACCTGAGCTGCATTTCAACGGATACTTTGACTTGCCGTCCTCAAACATCCGTCAGAACTAGCATTTCAACCAGGACAAACGCATTCGAAGTATTAGAGCAGCTAATAATCGTCTGAAAATCGACGCCGAAGTGCAGCAACACCTTGAGTAATGAAAAACGGTTGTGGTCGTCTCGTACGCAATTGGTCGATTCTCAGCATGGTCTTGATTTTTTCGAATGCTAGATAGATTAACGCGTGGCATAACGAGTGCGCGGGTTGAGTATGTCGTGTCGTTTATGAACTTGAGCTAGGCTCGGCAATCGAACGAGCGACAGCCGTAACATACCGCATCCTCACAGCTTCCCAACGCGATCGTCCCTTCTCGAGCCCCCGTTATAAATTCCCAGGATTCTCCTAAACGCACCGCGCCTCGTTATGCCAACCTTTTTCTCCTGCTTCGGCGGCCCAATCCCGACTGATGAGACGGCAGAACGGCCGACCCACGAGACGGCAGAAAGACCGTTCGTCTCATCCTGCTTCGGGGGAGTGCCGACCCATGGGATGGCACAACGGCCGTCCTTCTCTTCCTATTTTGGGGGCTTTCCGTCGTCTTCCTGTGCAACCATGGGTGAGTCCGCGAGTCGCGGAGAAGAGATGTCACACGGTGTCCTGCTGCCGTCCATGTGTGCAGCTGCCGTCCACACGGGTGAGTCACTCAACGGTCGAGGTGGGGATGCGGGTGGTGTTGGCGGACGACCCACTTCCCCCAACACTTCCCCGCCCCCCCCCCCCCCCCCCCCCCCCAGAGGACCGTGCGTTGATGCCCGTGGCGATGTGGCCGGTGGGGAGGGTATTCGCATGACCAACCCCGCCCCCCCAACACCTGCCATTCCCCTTCCCCCTCCCCCCCCCCGGTTCAGACCATGAATTGAAGCCCCGGAGCCCAGAGTGGGGAACCTGCGACGCTGAGTGTGTGTCCTTTCTTTCAGATCTCCCACGAACGGCATCGAAGCCATGGGTTTGAAACGTGCCACGGTGGCCCGTGCGATGTTTCCCAGTCGTACGATACCGTCTTGACGTTTTCTGTTACCGTCAGGTCCGACAACGCAAGGACGGCAATACAGAACGTGGCAACTTGGCGCTGAGCTGGATATTGAAAACCAACGAATGCAGAATCTTCCCGCAAGCCACGGCCAGTGGGTCGATCACTTCGACTTTGCCACTGAGAATCCCCCAAAATCCCGCGGAACGCAAGAACGCTTTGACGGCTGCGTATGCACGCACAAAACAAGCGTCATAATTGACGTGAACCGAGCAACTCATTCGCGAAGGTAGAGTCGTAAGTGACGTGCCTCCCAGACCGAGCAACTCACTCGTGAAGGTAGCGTCATAAGTAGCGTGCCTTCGAAACCGAGCAACTCACTCGTGAAGGTAGCGTTATGAGGAGTGTGCCTTCGAAACCGAGCAACTCACTCGTGAAGGTCGCAGACAGGTTGTTTGGCTAGAACAGACATGTGGCTGGTTTTACTGTGTTTGTAGACATCGAGCCGCGAGAAATGCACAAGTTCCGATCGCGCGGGAAAAGACCGATTTGTGCTTTCGAGACAAGGCAGTACAGTGCACCAACGGATGTTCTCAAGGCGGGTCGTCCCGCCCGAAAGTTTCACCACGTTCAGTTCAGCTCAAGCGGTTGGGAAGGTGTAAACATTTCACCACTCTGAACCGCTACGCACCAGCCCGAACATCTATGCATGAGTTGTGAACAAATTTTCTGGACCTGCTTGGAGGCACAAATTGGTCGCAACTGACAAATGCCTTCTAGGTTACCAGAACAGGTAAAATAGGTCTGGATATATCGTCTCCGCACTTACGAAGTCGCGGTTTCAGAACGTCATGTCGATTTTAACTTGAGCTAGGCTTGACAATTGAATCAGCAACAACGCCAACCGTAGCATACCGTATCCACACCAATTACCACCACAATCTTCCATTTCCGAACCTGAGCCTCAGTATGCCGAACTTCTGTTCCTGCTTCGGAGGAACCCCGACCCACGAGACGGGACGACGGCCGGCCCACGAGACGGCAGAGAGGCCGTCCATTTCCTCCTGGTTCGGGGGCATGGCGTCATCTCTCGGTGGAGCCGCGGGTGAGTCACCCTCAGGGGACGTTTGCTCTTTGACGTGCGCCCACGCTCCACTTACTCCCCGCCTCCCGTACCTTCCCCCTTCCCCCCTTCCCCCTTCTCCCTTCCCCCTTCCCCCTTCCCCCTTCCCCCCTTCCACCTTCCCCTTTCCCCTTTTTCCTCTTCTTGTACCGTCCATTTCCTCCTGGCTCGGGGGCGTGGCGTCATCTCTCGGTGGAGCCGCGGGTGAGTCACCCTCAAGAGATGCGGCGGTGGGGGCGGGGGGCGGAGGGCGCGGTGGGGGCGGGGGCGGAGGGCGTGGTGGGGGCGGAGGGCGTGGTGGGGGCGGAGGGCGCGCTGCAGTGGGACTCACAGGAGGAGCTGTGGTGGGCAACGGGCAACTGGCGCACCAAGCTGGGAGAAGCCTGGAAGGCGTTCCCCCACGCACCGCACTTCCCTCCAAGAACCCCTTCCCTCCACAAACCCCCTCCCTCCTCCCTCCCTGCTTCCCTTGGCCCCATCCCCTTCCCCTCCCCGGCCTTATCTCCTCTTTCCCCCCACAACCTTTTCGTCTCCCCCAACAAAAGATCATGATTTAAAGCCTGTGGAAATGAAGGCGGTGGGCGCGGAGGGCGCGCTGCCGCGGTACTCGCAGGAGGAGCTGCGGCGGGCGACGGGCGACTGGCGCACCAAGCTGGGGGAAGGCGGCTTCGGCGCCGTCTACAAGGGCATGCTGCTGCTGCCCCAAGGGGGCGAAGGGGACGGGGACGGGGGAGATGGCAGGGGAGGGGATAGGGAAGGGGATGGGGAGGATGGGGAGGGGGGGGAGGGGGTTGAGGAGGGATTGGAGGGGTTGGAAGTGGTGGAGGTGGATGGGAAGCGGTTTGTTGCGGTGGCGGTGAAGATGTGCTTGACAGAGGGCGATGTGCACGGGGGGAGAGAGCAGCTGCTGGTGAGTATAGGCCATGCTGCTGTTGAGCTTATGCCATGCTTCTGTTGGTGAGCCTTTGCCTGCCATGCTGGTGCGATAAGCCAGTTCCTCCTGACACTTTCGGGTGCACGTTTCATGTGCAACTGCTCTGCTCCTCATGCTTCACATCACACACACTTTTGGGGATTCACGAAAGTGACTCGCTTCATGTACACCAGCTCTGCTCCTCATGCTTCACACTCACCTCCTTCTGCCCAAGTTAACTTGACCTGCTTTCTCAGCCATTCATTGTCCCTTCCATTGCCTTTTCCACCCCCCTGACCCCCCACCCCTCTCCCCCTATTCTCAGACGGAGATCATGGTCATCACGGCTCTCTGCCATTGTCCCTTTCCCTTCCCCTTCCCCTCTCCCCCTCCTCTCTTCTCCTCCCCAACTCCCCTCCTCCCTACCTTCTCAGACAGAAATCATGGTGATGACGACTCTCCGGCTATTAACCTGATGTGTTATTGCTACCCGATTTACCCGCCCCTCTCCACTACTCTCTCCTCCCTCCCCCCTCAGACGGAGATCATGGTGATGACGGCTCTCCGCCATCCCAACGTGCTGCGGCTGCTGGGGATTGCCATGTGGGGGCAAACCATCTCCATGGTCTCTGAGTTCGTCCCGGGCGGGGATGTTTCTCAGCGGTTAGAGAAAGGTAGGGTGGGGTGGAATGCGGTGGAATGGGGTGGTCATGTGCGCACATGATAGGCAAACCATCTCCATGGTCTCTGAGTTCGTCCCGGGTGGGGGTGGGGATGTTTCTCAGCGGCTAGGGGAAGGTACAGAGGGGTGCGGTGGAATGGAGTGCAGTGTGGTGGAATGGGCAGAGCATGTGCACACATGATGGGGCAAACCATTCCAATGGTCTCTGAGTTCGTCCCGGGTGGATGTTTCTCAGCAGTTAGGGAAAGGTACAGAGGGGTGGAAAGTGGTGGAATGGGGTGTAATACGGTGGAATGGGGTGAGCATGTGCACACACACGTTATGGGGCAAACCATGTCAGTGGTCTTTGAATTCTTCCCGAGCAGGAGTGTTTCTCAGTGTCTTTTGAAAGGTAATGCGTGCGATGTTGTGTTGTGAGGTGACGTGTCGTCATGATGCAAAGGGTTCTAAGAAAAAGGGCGTCCCATGTGTTGCACCCATCATGCGATGCTGCACCCATCATGCGATGCTGCACCCATCATGCGATGCTGCACCCATCATGCGATGCTGCACCCATCATGCGATGCTGCACGGCACTTCACAACATATGTGTTGCACCCATGTGTTGTGAGGTGTCGTGTCGTCCCATGTGTTGCACACATCATGCGATGCTGCACCTACCTGTCTCCAAACTTGTTTTTCTTTTTTCAACTCGATGGAAGTTTCGCACTGCCTCTCGGCTGTGTCGTAGGAGATTGAGAAGGAGCGCCAGGTGCGATGTTGTGAGGTGTGGTGTGGCATGGTGTGATGCGGTGCACATACTCTCTTTCCCCCCACCCTTTTCTGTCTCTCTCCTTCTCCCACCCCCCTCCCTTCTCTTTTGTCTGTTGGGTGTGCAAGCAGCAGCCAAGGGCATAGAGCCCTTTCCCTGGAAGGACCGGCTGAGCATAGCGGTGGGGAGTGTGGCGGGGCTAGCAGCGATCCACAAGGAGGGCTTTATCCACCGTGATTTCAAAGCTGCCAACGTGCTTCTAACGAAGGTGGGTCATGCCAAAATGAGTCACTCAATGTGCGTCTAACGAATATCCTTTGAATGAGCTTCTAAGGCAGTGGAGTCCTGGTAATGTGCATCAAACCAAGGTGACTCATGCCAACGTGCTTCTCACCAAGCTCTGACTCCCTCCCAGATGGCAAAATATCCTCTCTTTTTTTCCTTTTCGACCTTTTGTGTCACTCTATTGCATGTGCCCTCCCAGGACCTCGTGCCAAAGGTGGCGGATTTTGGGTTAGCCAAGACATGCCAGGACAGGACACATGTCACGACACGAGTGGCCGGCTCGCAGGGCTACATCGACCCCTCATACTTTGAGACAGGTGGGGTGCTTTTCCGCCCGCCGATGCATCTGTGTTTCTTGAGACGTCTCAAAACCCGACTTTTATCACGTCGCCGGCTCCCAGGGCTACATCAACCCTTCGTATTTTGAGACAGGTGGGGTGCCTTCCAGTTTACCAATGCATCTGTCTTTCATCCTCTGGTGCCGTTACTACTTTTTTGAGACGTCTCAAAGATCGCAGGGCTACATCGAACCTTCGTATTTTGAGACAGGTGAGGTCCTTTTCAGCCCACCGGTGCATCTGTGTTTCTTCTTCGGGTGCCTTTACTACTGCCACCGCTGGTGCTGGCACTTCTTGACTCGTAATTGAAGGGCAGCAGTACGTGAAGGCGACGCTTGAGCAACAGGATCAACCGTGAGAAAATAGTGGTAAAAAAGCAGATCTCAAAAACGCCTTGTCTCGAAAAGAGCCTTCTTGCGTAAAAGGCCTACTGCCACCGCTGGAGCTGGCACTGGTGCTGTCACCATCATCTTCCAACCTCCCACCTCCAACCCTCCCCTCCCCTCCTGTTCCGTCCCCTACCCTCCGCTATCCTCCCCTCCCCTCCCCTCCCCTTCCCCCCACCTCACCACCTATCAGGCTTACTAACAGAGCACTGTAACATCTTCGCGTGGGGCATTTTCCTGCTAGAACTCCTCTTGAGCTGCTGCGACCTTTGAGTCGACTTGAAAATCCCCCTACCCTCCCCTCCTTTCCCCTACTCACCACCCACCAGGCTTACTGACAGAGCACTGTGACACCTTTGCGTGGGGCATCTTCTTGCTGGAACTCCTCTCGGGCTGCTGTGTAAATGACCGACCGTTTTCACAACTGCAAAACCTCGCCACCGATCCCAATCTCTCAGACTACTCCCAAGTGGTGGACAAGAGTCTGGAGGGGCAGTGGAGCGAGGAGGAGGTGCGAGTGGTGGTGTTTGCGATATGTGATGCGATTCAGCCTGATTGGGGAAGCCGACCCACCACAAAGCAATTGCTAGAAAGATTAAGAAAGATTGCACCAGAGTAGTAGCAACTAGGAAGTGTAGATGTAAATATTGAATCTTAGTATTGTAAGTGCTGCTCGAAGCCACAGAATGCGTGTACACGTTTATTTCAAGATTTTGCATGCGCTGCAAACTCCCTTCGGTCAAGCCAGCCAATTGGAGAGCATGCTTTTGCCTCGCCTTGCAGCAAGCACCGCCCACCGATTTCTCCAGCGCGCCCCGCCACAAGCCGCTTCCAAGCTGAGGAAGGTGGCTACGAGCCACGTCTGCCTAGCCGGAGCTCCGTCTCTGGTTGCCTTTTCCGAGCCAACTGCTCTGCGCACTCACCTCACCAAGGCTGTGTAGATATCTCACCCACAACATCCCGAACCTAATCGTCCAGCCGCCAAAGAATCTCGGCTGGTGAGGGGAGAGGCTAGTGTGTTACGTTCGGTGTGTGGAGCCCAGGCGCCAAAGCTAGTCAGTTCGGTTCGGACGTGGCTGGTCTCATCAGCGACACGTCAATCTCTAGGAATCGGGGGACCAGGATTCGGAAGATCAAGACCAAAATGGGTGCGCCTGTGGGGGAATGAAAGCAGCCATATGAAAAGCACAGGCGTGTGGGAAAGGAAGGTTTGCCTGATCCTTCAGACAAGGACACTCGAGGTCCTCGCCCGTGCCTCTCACAATCCCCTACATAGCCATTGTTCCCATATTTTCAGCTCAAAATCCTTATGTTCAGCTGGTTCAGGTTCGCGCCTTCGTAGCTCTCAGATTAAAAATTGAGCTGTACCGGTTTTGAACACTTTGTATTGCTTGTTTCCCCCTGCACCTGCGGAACCATGACCCGCGCCGTGCCTCGCGGCATTCTGTCGTTCGCCATCCCGTTACTCCTACTCGCAGTCGTTGCGTCCGCGCAGCAGATCTGTCCGTTCACAGGCAAGCCGCCAACGAAGCCCGCGAAGCCGCTGTACCGATGCGTGGCTGAGAGCGAGCTCGCGTGCTGCTCCGCGTGCGACGACTGGGTCACCGCGGCGACGGTGCTCGGACAGAACGGAACGAGAATCCTGTCCACGCTCTTCTCTCCAGGCACCACATTTGAAGCGCTGGACAAGTTCAAGGCCACGCCGGTAAGCTTGAACCAGCGTGCGCCTTTTTCCTATTTCATTAAATTTCGCAAATATTATATATTAAATTAATATATCGAGAACATTTGAAGTTCTGGACAAATTTAAGGCCACGCCAGTAAGCTTGAATCATCGTGTTCGTCTTTTGATCCTTTTGTACCAGCGTTACATTGCCCAGCTTTCTGGCCACTCAATGGCGTCTTGCTATGATGGTTCCGAGCCAATTTAAACGGAGCATTACAATGAATTTGGTACCCTTTTTTTTAATGTAAATAAAGGATCGGTTTTGTAGGCGGTTTTGTAAAATTTTCAAAATCCGCGTTAACGCGTTTCATCCTATACCTGGTTCATCGCATGCATCATCCTCCTCTCCCCCCTCCCTCCCCGCCCCCAACCCACAACCCCCCCCCCCCCCTCCCCCATCCCCGCCTCTTCTTCCCCTTCCCCCCCTCCCCCAACCCCCTCCCCTTCCCCCCCCCTCCTCCCCCCCTCCCCCTCCCCCTCCCCCTCCCCCCTCCACCCGAGTTCAAAGGGCTTTACTGCGCGATACTGTTTGACGGCACGTGGAAGTACCAACTTCTCAGAATCACCCCCCTCTCTCTCCCCCCTACCCTCACCTCGTTCTTCGCCTCTTCCAGTTTTGCGGGTTCCTCGCAGGCGGGAGCGACACGTGTCTGCAGCTGATTGAGGGACTCTACTGCGCCATCACGTGCGATGCAGGCGCGAGCAAGTACCTCCCGATCGACCTCTCAGAAAAAAACCCTTCTCTGCGCCCTCCCCCCGCGCCCTTCCCCCCACCAGTTCTGCGGATTCTTGGCGGGCGGAAGCGACACGTGTCTGCAGCTGATTGAGGGGCTCTACTGCGCCATCATGTGCGACCCGGGCGCGAGCAAGTACCTCTCGTTCGAGCTCGCGCCGTCGGGGAAGCTCGCGGACAGCAACGGCACGATCCGCATCTGCAACGACTTCTCGAACCGCGTGTACGACGCGTGCCAGTCGCTCGCGTTCCCCGGCGTCGCGCTCACCATCGCCAGCTTGATTAAAAACCCCGCGGTATGTGTATTTGTGCCGCCTAAAAAGTCGTCTCTTTACCAGCCGCTCACCATCGCGAGCTTGCTTAAGAACCCTTCGGTACGTGCTGCAGCTACCAATTGTAGTTTCACCCGAACCGAACCAACTTTCCCCACAAATGTAACTGCGAATTCGTTGTCCAGCTATCCGATTTCTCCTTTCTGGCTGCGATACGCGGTTCCGTTACCCGTCTATGTCCTCCCAACGATCACTCTAGAGAGTCGTGGACCCCTCTTACTGGCGCTACATCCCCTTCACATTCCCCAACACCCCCCCTCCTCCCCCCACTCCCCCCAACTACCCTTCCTCCCCCCTTCCCCATTTCCCCTGCCCGCCTCCTCCTTTCCCCTCCCTCAGCCTCTGTTGTTCTGACCATTTCTCTCCCTTCAAGCCTACACTCTGTGCCTTCTTCTGCCGTCACTTCATTTTCCATCACATTTCCTTCTCACTAATGATTTTCTGACCATTTGCTTTCGCCCTCCGTTGCCGCTTCCTCTTCCCCTCTGCTGTCCAATTTTATACCCACATAATTTTATTCTCTGCAAACCCCCACGCATTTCTCAACACCTCTCAACTATAACTATCTCTCTTTCCCCCTTACCCCAGCCAGTCCTCCACCTCCATCTCCCCTTTATCCCCTTCCCTCTCCCTGAAATAAATCGTACGCACTCTGTCTTCCCAAAGATCCCTGTCACTCATTGTGACCCCGCTTGCTGGTACTGTATCTATTACAGGACATGTCCTGCCACACATTCGCCAACACCTTCCAATCATGTTTTTCTTACCATTCCCTTCCCCCCTCCCCTTATACTCCTCCCCGTCCCCTCAAACCCTCACCCCTTCCCCCCCCACCCTCTCCCCTTCCCTCACTCTTCAAAATCCTGCACATGCTGTCCTCCCAGAAATTTATGTCACTGGTTGTCACTCCGCTTGCTGGTGCGGCAACACCCCTTGCATACGTTCAAATCCCCCGTCCTGTAGCTTTCTGACCCATTCCCATTTCCTTTCCCCCTGCCTCCCCCTCCCTCCCCCATTCCCTTCCCCCCGCCTCCCCCCTCTCTGCCTGCGAATCCTTGCACATTCTTTTCAGAAATTTCTGTCACTCGTCGTGACTCCGCTTGCCGGCACCGCAACCCCCCTAAACACCCTCAACACCGAGCTAGTTCCCGCCGAAAACGGAACGGACAGTTGCTTCCTGACAGCGCCAGGGGATAAATACGCGCAAACCCCCCTCTGCTGCGATAAACTAACGGGTTTCCCCATGGAGTGCCCGAAAAACCCGAAATTCTCTAACGTGTCAGAAGTGCTTCCGTGGGTGGTGGACCGGGCTGTGCCTGCCACGTGTGCTGCGACTTCAAACAATCCTGGAAATACCGTGCCTGAGCCAATACCCTCTGTTCCGGCGCCCAACGGGACCAATGCCAATGGTTCGGCAACCAATGGTTCGACGCCCAGTGGTTCGGCACCCACTGGTTCGGCAGCACCCACTGGTTCGGCAGCACCCACTGGTTCGGCAGCACCCACTGGTTCAACTCCCACTGGTTCAACATCAAACACTACAGGCTCTGGGGAAAAGAGCGCGGGGTTGAGTTTGGTGCTTAGGGGTGGAGCGTGGTGGGGATGGTGGCCTGCTGCGCTTGCTGCGGTGGCGCTCCATGTGGTTTTGTTCCATTGATTTTTGGAGTCGATTTCTGGCAGGTTGCTACTCGAGCCTGAATTGGGTTGGGTTGGATTAGACACTTGCCTGAAGCATGGAACGATTTGCTAGGGTTTGACTGTAGAGTCAATCTGAATCGGAACATCAGTTGCAGTGTTTTCTTATAAGGATATCAACTGTGGGTTGATGAAGCCTCGAAAGTGTTCTCTCGAAAGTGTAGCCTCCACAGCGTAGCCTCGAGAGTGCATGACGCTAAGGTAAGGACGCGTCAACTCCCGCTGAATTTGGCGATCGATCGTGCAATTTCAATCAGACACCGCACTGGAAACCTGCTACCGTACTAGAGTTCAAAACTTTCCAGACCGTTTTAAAAGCCATCAAAATTCGATCCTGCGCAGGATGGATCGTGCCAACCTGATGGGAGTTGACGCGTCCTAATTGTGTAGGCCCTCAGAGTGTAGCTCGAAAGGTGTAGCCCCTGAGAGTGATGTAGCCCCAAGAGTGTAGCCCCAAGAGTGTAGCCCCAAGAGTGTAGCCCCAAGATTGTAGCCCCAAGAGTGTAGCCCCAAGATTGTAGCCCCAAGAGTGTAGCCCAGCGTTAGACTAGTATAGTGTCTTGAAAAGACGAGGACCCATTGTTGGGTGCAGGCTGAATCTCCAAGATGCTTGTTATCACATTGTACAGCTGCATGGGGCAGTAAGATGGGTAGAGAGAGATGAAGGAAAGAGAAATAAAGAATCCATTGTTGGGTGCAGGCTCAATCTCCAAGATGCTTCTTATCACATTGTACAGCTGGACGGGGCGGTAGGATGTATAGAGAGAAATGCATGATGGCGAGATACCAAGGGTAGAGAGCGATGAAGGAAAATGAAGGGTCCATTGTTGGGTGCGGGGCAGGCTCATCGCTTAGAATGCTTGTTATCACATTCGAGTCGACCTCTTGAGTCGACTAAAAAGAGAGCGATGAAGGAAAATGAAGGGTCCATTATTGGGTGCGGGGCAGGCTCAATGCTTAAGATGCTTGTTATCACGCTGTACAGCTGCAGGGATGCAGGCGATGGATATGGGGAGGAGATGATGGTAGAGAGGATGAAGGGTTGAGAGGATGAAGGGTAGAGAGGATGAAGGGTTGAGAGGATGAAGGGTAGAGAGGATGAAGGGTTGAGAGGATGAAGGGTTGAGAGGATGAAGGGTTGAGAGGATGAAGGGTTGAGAGGATGAAGGGTTGAGAGGATGAAGGGTTGAGAGGATGAAGGGTTGAGAGGATGAAGGGTTGAGAGGATGAAGAGTTGAGAGGATGAAGGGTTGAGAGGATGAAGGGTAGAGAGGATGAAGAGTTGAGAGGATGAAGGGTTGAGAGGATGAAGGGTAGAGAGGATGAAGAGTTGAGAGGATGAAGGGTTGAGAGGATGAAGGGTAGAGAGGATGAAGGGTTGAGAGGATGAAGGGTAGAGAGGATGAAGAGTTGAGAGGATGAAGGGTTGAGAGGATGAAGGGTAGAGAGGATGAAGAGTTGAGAGGATGAAGGGTTGAGAGGATGAAGGGTAGAGAGGATGAAGGGTTGAGAGGATGAAGGGTTGAGAGGATGAAGGGTTGAGAGGATGAAGGGTAGAGAGGATGAAGGGTTGAGAGGATGAAGGGTTGAGAGGATGAAGGGTAGAGAGGATGAAGGGTAGAGAGAGATGAAGGTTGGGGAAAATGAAGACTCATATTCATCGTTGAACAATCACCGAAGATTCGTCCACGCATGTGTGCATCCTCCTGAAGATTGAACCCACGTTTCAACATTCTCTGGCAACTCATAGTCACCTATAGATTTTCCAATCACCTAAAAGATTTAACCTGTTGTTGCGCTGTCTAGCCACCCTAAGAACATTCTCTGAAATCTCACCTCTGTGTTCCTGAAGGTGGGTATTCTGCGGTGGGAGGCGAAGCGCGGCCCTCGGGCCATGAAGATGGAGCGCATGGAGGGAAGGCGGTTGTCGTAGCCGTGCATGCCGCCATCCCATGCTGACGAGTGGTGGTATACCACCGAGTAGCCCTCGTCTGCCAGTGCCAAGATAGCCTGGCAAAAGCGGAAATGGTTAAGGGTGAGAGGCGTTGTAGAGAGATTATGAGGAGCTTGGGTAGATACAACATGCAGCTCGGACAAAAGATGTGACTTATCACACACAATAAGAAGATGGTTCGATACGTTACGCAGATTGTCACTCTGACCAGACAACGAGCTGTGAAGAATCGTTAAGGAGTCATGCAAGATCAACACGAATCAATGCTCCCCCACTCCATCGCCTTCCTGATCGCCCCCACCTCCACCACCACCACCTTTTGAGACGCCCTAGAACTTACTGGTATTCTGTCGCTTCCCGAAAACTCAAACTCCGCAGGAAATTCCTCCCTCAGATACACCTTCAGCGCCTCTCCATTCACAATGCCCCCCCCTTCAATCGCCCTCCTCATAGCCCCCACGACTGCTGCCGCATCCATCCGAAAGTCCTGGCCGGCAGACCCCGGGCGGCGTTGCGCGTCTGTTTGCGGGAGGAAGATGCCGAGAAGCGGGTAGCTGAAGTCGATCCAAGCGGGGGAGAGGCCGGGGATGAATGGCTCGAACTGCTCCAGGGAGATGACTCGCGATTTGCATGTGGCCAGCATGCCATGGTCGCTCACTAGCAGCAGATTCACATCGTTGGTCATGCTCCTATAAGGAAGTTGAGGGGGAGGGAATAAATTTGGGAAACGGGAAAGGATGGTGGGAGGGGGGCCTCAGAGGCAGGTGGAAGGGACGGAAGCTGCTGCCACATGCTTCTCAAAGGTGCTGAGAGAGGGGAGAGGCCCGGGATGAACGGCTCGAATTGCTCCAGGGAGATGACGCACGACTTGCATGTTGCCAGCATGCCGTGGTCGCTCACTAGCAGCAGATTCACATCGTTGGTCATGCTCCTGGGGAGGGGATAGGGGGGTTGGGGGGGAGGGGATGGATTGGTTGGGTGGGGAAAGGATGGGAGAAGGAGGTGTTGAGTGACAGGTGGAAGGGATGAAAGCTGATGCAACATGCTTGTCGTGAGAGAAGGGAGAGGCCCGGAATGAACGGCTCGAACAGTTCCAGGAAAATAGATCGTGACTTGCATGTGGCCAGCATGCCATGGTCGCTCACTCGCAGCACATTCACGTCGTTGGTCATGCTCCTGGGGAGGGGATAGGGAGGTTGGGGGAGAGGGGATGGATTGGTTGGGTGGGGAAAGGACGGGAGAAGGAGGAGTTGAGTGACAGGTGGAAGGGATGAAAGCTGATGCAACATGCTTGTCGTGAGAGAAGGGAGAGGCCCGGAATGAACTTCTCGAACTGTTCCAGGAAAATAGATCGTGACTTGCATGTGGCCAGCATGCCATGGTCGCTCACTCGCAGCACATTCACATCGTTCATGGGGGAGGAGATGGACGGAAAGGAGGGGGGAGGGTTGGATGGGAGGGAGTGGATGGAGGAGAGTTGACAGGGATGGGGGTCCATCGGATCGGCCACGTGTCTGAAGGGCACTCAAAGGTTTCAAGAGCATTGTGCCCACTCTCCTCTCCCTCTCTCACCTCTCCCCGCTCCCACTCTCTCACCTCTCCCCGCTCCCACTCTCTCACCTCTCCCCGCTCCCACTCTCTCACCTCTCCCCGCTCCCACTCTCTCACCTCTCCCCACTCCCACTCTCACCTCTCCCCACTCCCACTCTCACCTCTCCCCGCTCCCAACTGCTGACCTATAATCCAGCCCAGTGAAGAGGCACCGCCATCGACCCTCGCCACAGCACAGCAGCAGCAACCAGGGGCGTGCTGGGTCCTTTCAGAAAAGTGTTCCCCAAAGTAACCGTAAAATACCATCGAGAAAAACAATCGCTTGTCTCGACAATCAATAATTTCCACCTGGAGTTCGTCTTGTTCGTGCTACCTGCTTGTGCACAAGACTCAAACATAAGCAGCTTGTTCGTCTTGTTTGTGCTACCTGCTTGTGCACAAGACTCAAACACACAGCACATGCAGCTCGATCAAACTGCTCCAGGGAGATGAGTGAATCGCCCACTCTCCCACTCATTCACCTGCGATCCAGCCCAGGTAGGCAAAGGCAAAGTGCGCCTCATCTAAGTGACTTTTGAGTCGACTCAAAAGTCACCCCACTCTCCCGCTCATTCACCTGCGATCCAGCCCAGGTAGGCAAAGGCAAAGTGCGCCTCATCTGGCAAGCATGCCATCAACGCGCTTCACAGCAGCAGCAAGCAACGAGGCGTGTGCTTCGTTCCCCCAATCTCGTGCCCCCTCTCCCACTTCCAATCTGCCCACTCGCGCCTTCCCAATCCCACCAGCTCACCTGATTACTCAATCTCTTGTGGTCGTTCAGTCCAGTCCAGCCAAGTAAAGAGGTGTTCATACCATGCGATGAATTTTGAGGCGCCTCAAAATTCTGCCCACTCGCGCCTTCCCAATCCCACCAGCTCACCTGTTTACTCAATCTCTTCTCTTGTGGTCGTCCAGTCCAGTCCAGCCAAGTCAAGAGGTGTTCATACCATGCGCTCACCCCGCGCCACAGCAGCACCGACCCACTCTCTTCTCCCACTCTGCTGGTTGTTCAAAAGGTGTTCCTACTACCAGGGGCCTGTTGGTTGCTTTGCTCCTACGTGCCCCATCCCCCCCCCCCAACTCTCCTCTCCCACTCCGCTCTCCCATTCTTGCTCCCACTTGCTCACCTTTGATCCAGCCCAGTCAACAGGCGCCCCAACATGCCATCAACCCGCGCCACAGCAGCAGCAACCAGGGGCGTGTCCGGGCCTCCCAGGTGCCCACTCTCATCGGGCTCCTCCAGGTAGAGTGAGAGGAAGGAGGGGCGGCGGGGCGCAGGCAGGTCCAGCCATGCCAGCACCTGGTCCACTCGCTGTGTGTGGGGAGGGGGGGGATGAGACGGCCAGGAGGAGACGTGAGTGGAAGAAAGGACCTCTCTTGTACAGGTCACTCTCATCGGGCTCCTCGAGGCAGAGCGCGAGGAAGGAGGCCCGCCCAGGTGCCCACTCTCATCGGGCTCCTCCAGGTAGAGCGAGAGAAAGGAGGGGCGGAGAGGAGAGGGCAGGTCCAGCCATGCCAGCACCTGGTCCACTCGCTGTGTGAGGGGGAGGGAGGGGGGGGGAGAGTGGGGGTGAGGGGGCCAGGAGGAGACGTGAGTGGACGAAAGGACCTCTCTTGTGGCCACTTTCATCGGGCTTGTCTAGGTAGAGCGATTTTTGAGTCGACTCAAAAATCGCCTCATCACTTTCATCGCCTCATCACTTTCATCGCCTCATCACTTTCATCGCCTCATCACTTTCATCTCCTCATCACTTTCATCGCCTCATCACTTTCATCGCCTCATCACTTTCATCGCCTCATCACTTTCATCGCCTCATCACTTTCATCGCCTCATCACTTTCATCGCCTCATCACTTTCATCGCCTCATCACTTTCATCGCCTCATCACTTTCATCGCCTCATCACTTTCATCGCCTCATCACTTTCATCGCCTCATCACTTTCATCGCCTCATCACTTTCATCGCCTCATCACTTTCATCGCCTCATCACTTTCATCGGGCTCGTCGAGGTAGAGTGATGATGGCGCGAGGGAGGGGGGACAGAGGGAAGAGGGAAGGTCCGGCCACAGCAATCCCTGGTCTACTTGCTGTGCGGGGAGGTGCCAACAAGTTAGCTAACCAGCAGGCAACAGTCAGATCAGACACGCATGGTCGTCAGACCTGCCGTCTGTTTTGATTCGACTCAAAACACAACAAGTTAGCTAACCAGCAGGCAATAGTCAGACACGCATGGTCAGACATGCACCCTTCCCTCCCCCCCATCTCTCCATCTTCCCCCTCTTGGTCCCCCCCTCCTCACGCCTTCCACCCCCACCAACCTGTTCAAATGGCATCGACTCGTTGTATTGCAGGCAGTACTCTGACGGGCACGGCAAAACATGTCCCCTCCCCGCCCCCCTCATTCTCTCCCTCTCCACCCTCTTCTCCCCACCCCCACATGCCTTTTACTCCCGCCTACCTGTTCAAATGGCATCGACTCGTTGTATTGCAGGCAGTACTCTGACGGGCATGGCCAATCAGGTCGCGACACGTCAGAACCCGGCCAAAACACTGTTGCCGCCTGCAAGCCCTGCAAAGGTAACAACCAGAAAAGCAGAAAGCCAAAGGCCGACAGGGGAGAGGGGAAGAAGGGGGGATGGGCGAAGGGGAAAGGGGGAAAAAGGGGGAAAAGGGAAGGGGAGACGGGTGAAAGGGGGGAAGGGGAGAAGGGGCATTGGGGAAGGGAGGACGGGGAGAAGGAGGCAATGGGGAAAGGGGGAAGGGAGAAGGGGAGAAGAGGGGAGGGGAGGAAAATTGAGAGGAAGTAGGGAAGGCGGGAAAGGGGGAAGGTGTGAACAAGTGAGAGTAGTCTAAAAAAATCCTCTTATTGCTCTCCGGCTAGAACAAGTGGCTGTGGGACCAGTTGACATCGCACCTGGTCCGAACCCCTTCAACCCCCTCACCTGCCGGTTCACTGTGGCCCAGATGGGTTCGCCCAGCCATGAAATGGAGAGAACACGATGGCCCACGCCCCTTACATCTCCCTCTCCTGTTGCTCCCTTCTTCAACGCCCTTCCCCTTCCCCTCACCTGTCGGTTCACTGTGGCCCAGATGGGTTCGCCCAGCCATGAAATGGAGAGAACACGATGGCCCACGCCCCTTACATCTCCCTCTCCTGTTGCTCCCTTCTTCAACGCCCTTCCCCTTCCCCTCACCTGTCGGTTCACTGTGGCCCAGATGGGTTCGCCCAGCCATGAAATGGAGAGAACACGATGGCCCACGCCCCTTACATCTCCCTCTCCTGTTGCTCCCTTCTTCAACGCCCTTCCCCTTCCCCTCACCTGTTGATTCACTGTGGTCCAGATGGGTTCACCCAGCCACCACGTGGAGAGAAACAGGTGCAGTGGCTGGCAGGAAGGGGGAAGGAGTTGGCAACTATGACTACTTTTGAGGCGTCTCAAAATCCCTTCCCCTCACCTGTTGATTCACTATGGCCCAGATGGGTTCCCCCAGCCACCATCTCAGGTCGACATTCCCAGGCGAGAACACGTCGCTGTGGTTGGAGGGGAGGCGGAACTCTGTTTGCCAGAATACCCCACACCCCTTGCCTTTCCCTCTCCTGTTTCATCCCTCTTCAACGCCCTTCCCCTTCCCCTTACCTGCCGGTTCACGGTGGCCCAGATGGGCTCACCCAGCCACCATCTGGGTTCAACATTCCCCGGCGAGAACACGTCGCTGTGGTTGGAGGGGTTGTGGAGCTTGTTGGTGTTGATTCCCCACACCCCTGACCTTTCCCCCTGCCCTCCCCACCCCCTCACCTGCCGGTTCACAGTGGTCCAGATGGGTTCGCCCAGCCACCATCTCGGGTCGACATTCCCAGGCGAGAACACGTCGCTGTGGTTGGAGGGGAGGCGGAACTTGTTGGCGATGATGCCATGCGATGAAGGCAGGAGGCCCGTTGCCATGGAGTGGTGCGAGGGGAAGGTGAGCGAGGGGAATACTGGCAGCATGCCATGCTCTGCGAATGTCCCTTCTGCTAGCATCCTGAGGGACAGGACAGTGCAGATGAGGGAGAGTGCGAAAGGGGGTTGTTAGGGAGGAGCAGGCCCGTTGCCATGGAGTGGTGCGAGGGGAAGGTGAGCAAGGGGAAGGTGAGCGAGGGGAAGACTGGCAACATGCCATGCTCTGCGAATGTTCCCTCTGCCAGCATCCTGTTGGGTGGGATGGATAAGAGGGGGGAAAGAAGGAAGGAACGGAAAGAGAACCTGTCAGTATTTTCAAGGGTGGTTCTAAGCACGGATGGGCAGATCTAAGCACGGATGGGCAGATCTAAGCACGAATGGGCAGATCTAAGCACGAATGGGCAGATCTAAGCACGGATGGGCAGATCTAAGCACGAATGGGCAGATCTAAGCACGGATGGGCAGATCTAAGCACGGATGGGCAGATCTAAGCACGGATGGGCAGATCTAAGGGTGGTGGGGTAAGGAGGAGGGGGGGAGAGGAGGAGGAAGGAAGCGGTTGTGCTACCTCCCATGCTTGAAAACGGAAGGCTGGCACTGTACTGTGCTCTGCAGACTATTTTTGAGTCGACTCAAAAACTGGCACTGTACTGTGCTCTGCAGACTGGAGCATACCTCTCATGCCCTTCCATACCTGCCTTTCCATGCCTTCCCTCCCATGCCTTCCCTCCCATGCCTTCCGACCTATTCAGATTTGGTGTGTCGGCTTTCAGGTGGTACCCGTGTCTGAACTCATCAAAGGACACTAGGACCACCGTGGGCTGCCCTCCAATGCCTGCCCGCCCATGCTTCCCCCCCACGCCACTGCTTCTGTACCTATTTAGATTTGGCGTGTCAGCTTTCAGGTGGTACACGTGCCTGAACCCGTCAAACGACACGAGGATCACTGTGGGCTGCCCTCCCAGCGCGCACCTTCCCTGCCTGCCTGGCCAATCCTATGCCACACACCGTCTTCCTACCTGTTCAGGTGTGGACTGTCGGATTTCAGGTGGTACCCGTGCCTGAACCCGTCAAAAGACACGAGGATCAACGTGGGCTGCCCGCCCAGCGCGCCTGACCACCCATGCTTGCCCTTCCACACACCCACGCCTACCTGTTCAGACTCGGAGTCTCGGCTTTGAGGTGGTACCCATGTCTGAACCCGTCAAAGGACACGACAATCACCGTGGGCTGGACCCCCATGCCTGCCCTCCCATGCCTGCCCTCGCACACTTACCACACTTCCCAGACGTGGCCCTGTACCTTCGGAGAGTCAGCCTTGAGGTGGTACCCGTGTCTGAACCCATCAAACGACACAAGGATCACCGTGGGCTGCCCTCCCATGTCTGCCCTCCCACACTTGCTACACTTCCCACACGTGCCCCCTTACCTATTCAAATTCGGTGTGTCAGCTTTCAGGTGGTACCCGTGTCTGAACCCGTCAAACGACACGAGGATCACCGTGGGCCGCCCGTCCAGCGCGCCTGTGGGGGAGGGCGGAGGGCCCCCGCCCCCGTCAAACGCGGAGGAGCAGGAGGCGTGCGAGTGGGACGTGAGGAAGATGGCGAGGGCGAACCCCAGGACCACTGGAGGGCGGGGTGGAGAGGGGTGGGATGGGATGGGATGGGATGGGATGGGATGGGATGGGATGGGATGGGATGGGATGGGATGGGATGGGATGGGATGGGATGGGGTGGGATGGGATGGGATGGGATGAGATGGGATGGGATGAGAGGAGTGGAACAGCGTGAGAGGCAAGGATTGGGGGGAGGGCTTTCCTCGTACGTCCAGCACGGGGGAGCGGGAGCGGACAGGTATCAGACGCGGACTTGAGAAGAACGCGGCGGCCATGGCCATCGTGGCGAACGGCCAGGTCGGGCTTGCAGGCATGTGCTGTGCGCGAGGAAGTCCGCTCCCGGCATCATGGATTAGTGGTCGTTGCTAAAAGAGCAGGTTAATCAGGCTGGCAAGCTGGCAAGAAGCTGACCTGAGAAGAACGCGACGGCCATGACCATCGCAGCGAACGTCCCGAGCCGTCCCGAAAGGATCGAACGACGAGACTGTTTATGGCGGTGACCGACATACACGTCATCCTCCACGCTTTCCACGTCATCATCGCTGCCACTGCAGTCGCCATCGGCCTCCCGCTTCTCCTCGTTTGGAATTAAGCTGTGCTCCACCGGACTAGGAGACGGGCTGGATCCCGATAATCCCGCCGGCATTTGCGCTTTGCTTAGCATAGCTAGCTGCTCGGAACTTTTCGGTGTGGACATGATTTTTCTAATATATTGTACAATGAATATGTATGAAACAGATGCTGTGGAACGTATGATACCGAGTCAGCTGTTTTGTTTAGAAAATCGTAGTGGCGATGGTCACAGTGAGTTTTGAGGCGTCTCGAAACCGTTGTGACAGCTATAGTCTCAATGACGTAATATTTTACAGCTACACGAGAGACAAGCTAGGTGAAGCCTTCGAGACGTCTCGGAACCCGCAATAATATGCAGATTTACGGGAGGTGGAGATATCACTTCGAGTCTTGCCACACCATCAGACACAATTCAGCCTTGGCACGGATCCACCATGGACCCAGCGGAGGGGAAAGAGAGGCCAAGAAACGAGGAGCCAAGTCAGCCGAGTTGTTGTAACCAATCAGGTCAAAGAGAATCTAAAGTCGCATCAAGGGGACGGTGTTACCTTGGTTTCGGACCTTTGGGATCTCCAACAGAGGCGAACACCATAGACGAACTCAGCGAAGCACTCTCCAGGCTTCCATCACGAACTCCTGCCGTCTGTCACGAAAGCCGAGGCGAGCACGGACGAATCATTTCATAAAAGCGACGTCCAACGACTGCGTGCAAAGCAAAGTAACGCTTGGCATTCACTCGCAGGGCTAGCAGAGCCACAAAAGTCAACCTGAAGGCGGACCAGGTTGTTTCGACGAAAAGCTTTCCAATCCTTTGACGAAACAAAGTACCCAGTTAACTCACTCGTTAACAAAAAATTCTCGCCAAACATTCTTCTCTTCGAACACTGCTCGTCTCTCGTCTAACTACACAACTGTTTCCTGGTGGTACAGTACTTCAACAATTCACATATGTATTTGCTCCACATCAGATACGTGTCCTGGCATCACTGCTTTCATACCGACGCACTCACTATCGCGAATAGTCAATCCAGCGAGTAATCAGCAGATGATGCCGGCAGCTAAGAGCACTACCTATCGGCGATCGCGACTCGGCCAGCAGGCGTCTGACGTCAGCACTCAACCGATCGCCGAGGGCAGCAGCAAGAGCAAGAGCGCTGATGTCAGCACGAGCGCGAGAGCGAGGGACAGCGATGGCACCGCGGCGAAAGTGGCGGAGTACGAGCGATTTGTGGAGGAACGATTGAAAGTGGACTTACAGGCAGCGATGGAAGACAGGTGCGTGAGTGTGTGGGTATTATTGAGGCAGCTTGTAAAGGGGAACCGGTGGCGAAGGTAGCGGAGTACGAGCGGTTCGTGGAGGAGCGGTTGAAAGTGGATTTACAAGCAGCGATGGAAGATAGGTGCGTGTGTTATACTGAGACAGCTTGTAACGGGGATATGGGGGCGGAGGTGGCGGAGTACGAGCGGTTCGTGGAGGAGCGGCTGAAGGTCGATTTTCAGGCAGCGATGGAGGACAGGTGCGTGTGCGCGTGTTTGTATGCCATTGCTGCCGCTTATCGAAATGTATGACTGGGAAGGTAGGGAGGGAAAAAAAAGGGGGGAGGAGCTGCTACGCAGCGAGGGAGCAAGTCGAATTTGACGAGCATCCTTGTATGACGCTGGAGGGAGCTTGCGTGCAACGAGGTCCTGATTTGCTCCTGTTCTGCCTATACGCTGCTTGGTCGACTCCTGGGAGTCTGATTCGCTGGCTGGCCCTCGCCAAGTTCAGATGCCACCCCGCGTCTTTGGATCAGAGTTCGCATGGGAGTTCACATCAGAACAAGACTAGGCTACTTTGTGGTGATTGTGATGAAGGAGACATGAATAGGCATCCGTGTGTGATTGTGCTTCTTCTATTCACGCTGAGACCTCACGGGCCATTCATGTCTCCTTCTATGCCGATTCTGGTGCCTTTGTGTGCTGTGACAATGCATGTGGGTTTGTGAAGGCATGTGCGCTGTGACGTATGTGTGTGTGTGCATGTGTGCACGTGTGAGTGATCGTGTGCGTGTGAGAATGTGTGTGCGTGTTCGAGTGCTTGTACGTGTGTGTATATGTGTGTGTGTGTGTGCGCGCGCGCGCGTGTGTGCGTGCGTGCGTGCGTGCGTGCGTGTGTGTGTGAGTGTGTGTGCGTGCGTGCGTGCGTGCGTGTGTGTGTGTGTGAGTGTGCGTGTGCGTGCCCGTGCGAGAGTGCATGGCGGTATCTGCAGGCACAAGGTCCAAGAAGAAATCCAAGTCTTGTACGCTCTTTCTTCCCCTCAAATTCTCTCGCCTCTCCTTGGAGTTGCAGGGTGTTTCTGAGAATTCTCAAAAACACCCTGCAAGTACAATTCAAGTCTAGTGTGCTCTCGCTTTCCCTCCCCTCCCCGTTCCATCTACCCCCTCCCCGTTCCATCTACCCCCTCCCCCTTCTCCCCCACCCTCTCTCCTGCCCTCCCCTTTTCCACCGATCCCTGCCTTGCCAGTTTTTTCCCTTGCTAGGGTTGCGTTGTCTACTGCATATACATCATAGCATGGCAAATTGTATTTTCTAGACTGCCTCAAGCCCGATTCTTGCAATTTTCGCACGTATTGCAATCCCATATATTGTCCCATCATACTCGATTCGCTCTCAGTACTTCCTTCATTCATCCTCAATGTGTGCTATCCATGTCACACACAATACATGATCCATTCAGCATCATACATAATGTTTTATCCTCGTTACAGTGAGGAGCTGGTGCGCAATATCGAGGCGCAGGAGGAGAATGGAGTGGAGGAGATGAGGGCGATGGTCAACCTGGGGGGAGAGGTGTTCGTGCAGGCAGACGTGTGAGTGGGTGGGTGTGGGGATGAGAGGTGCGCAGATGGGTTGGGAGAGGTGTAGCGCTAGTTCCAGGAGTGGAGGAGATGAGGGAGATGGTCAACTGGAGGGGGAGCGGTGTTTGTGCATGCTGACGTGTGAGTGGGTGGGTGTATGTGCGGGGGTGGGGGGTTGGAGGTGTACAGTTGGGTTGAAAGAGGTGCTTAGCAGTATTTCCAGAGAGTGGAGGAGATGAGAGCGATGGTCAACTGGGGGGAAGCGGTGTTTGTGCAGGCAGACGTGTGAGTGGATGGGTGTGTGGGTGTGTGAGGGAGGGGAATTGGGGGGACGTGTGGTGATGGTCGAGGAGGGGGAGAGAAATTCATTACTGTGCTGGGGAATGGGGGGGACATGCATTTGTGTCAGTGAGGCTGGGGTTTCATGTAGAGTTCACTGGCTTGACTCTGAAGATGCTGTTGACCCTGTTGACCCTGTTGACCTTGTTGACCCCGTTGACGACTCCCAGATACGATCACAGATTTGTCTCAGTGCGCCTGGGCTTCCACGTGGTGTTTTACTGGCTTAACTCCAGAGATGCTGTGACTCTGTTGACCCTGTTGACCTGTTGACTCTCGTTGACTCGCATCCACCACAGGCCAGACACGTCGCACATGTTCATCTCAGTGGCGCTGGGCTTCCCAAGTAGATTACACCCAGTTTATCCTTGACTTTATTGACTCCCATTGACCACAGGCCAGACACGTCGTACATATTTGTCTCACTATTTGTACATATTCGTACATATTCTGTTGACTCTGTTGACCCTGTCAACTCCCGTTGACTCCCATTGACCACAGGCCGGACACGTCACACATATTCGTGGCAGTGGGTCTGGGCTTCCACGTGGAGTTCACCCGCCTTGACTCTTGACTCTGAAGATGCTGTTGACGCTGTTCACCTTGGTGACTCCCGTTGATTCCCATGATCACAGCCCGGACACGTCACACATATTCGTGGCAGTAGGGCTGGGCTTCCACGTGGAGTTCACCCGTCTTGACTCTGAAGATTCTGTTGACTCTGTTGACCCTGTCAACTCCCGTTGACTCCCATTGACCACAGGCCGGACACGTCACACATATTCGTGGCAGTGGGTCTGGGCTTCCACGTGGAGTTCACCCGCCTTGAAGCCAAGGAGTTTGCCGCCTCCAAGATCGAGCACTTGAGAAAGTGAGTGGCGGTGATGGTGCTTCACGCAGCAACGGGACGTGATGTATGTATCATGACAAGCGTGTGATTCTATTCTTACGTTTTGTTGAATTCTGCCCAGTTTTCTTTACCCTTCTTAACATCCCTCTTTTCATGTATAGTAAATTTTATTCTCTCCTCTATTCTTCTCCATACCTCCCCGCCCCCACTCCCCAACCCCCATCCTGCTCCCACTTCATGCTTCAGCCCCCAAACCCCATTGCTTATAGTGGAAAGAACTAGTAACCCCCTGCCATCCCCCTCCCCACTTACTCAGTTCCCCTCCCCATACCCGTTCCTCCCTTGACGAGTCAAAGATCCCCAATTTTGCATGGTGACTATGTGCATGGTGACTATGTGCATGCAGGCAAGTTGCACGGCACACAGAGAGAATATCATCCATTAAAGCCCACATTAAGCTGGTGAGCATTGGGCTGGGCGGGGCTGCTTACGGTACTCAAACTGGGTTGGTTGGTGTGGTGACTGTTGGGTCGATTGATTAAAGCAGGGTGCATGGTATCATCCATTAAAGCCCACATCAAGCTGGTGAGCATTGGTCTGGGCTGGGCTGCTTTATGGTACTCAAACTGGGGTGTTTGGGTGATGTGAATGTTGGGTCGTTTTAAAAAAACAGGGTGGATGGTACACGGAAAGAATATCATCCATTGAAGCCCACATCAAGCTGGTGAGCAATGACTAGGCTTGGAGGGGCTGGTTTATCGTACTCAAACTAGGGTGGTTGGGTGGTGTGACTGTTGGGTCGACTAAAAAAGGCGGGGTGCGTGGCACAGAAAGAATATCATCCATTAAAGCCCACATTAAGCTGGTGATCACAGGGTGGCTGCTGATGAACAGACATGAGGTCCCGGGGTGTCCTCCCTTGGGTGAGGCCCTGGGCGGTCCTTGCTTCGTTCAAGTCTTGATGTGCGTGTTGAGGCCCCTTCGGTCCTCGCCTTTTCTTGTGATTCGTCTCTTGGCGTTTCGTCTCTTGTGGCATTTGATTTCAAGTCTTTCTGATGTTTCGCCTTTTTTTCCGCTCATGGCTGTGGGCAGGTGGTTGAAGGCGTTCGAGAGCTTCTCAACATTTCAGCTGAAGATTCGTGAATGCTGACCACCAGACCAGATGATGTATGGTAGTAGTTCCTTGGTATTCTCAAGAATAGTCCACCAGAGGTGACTTCGAGACGCATCAGAAGCTGCTCTGCTCACCATACGGGACTCATCATGGCAATCGGCCATATTGACTAGACAGGCAGCAGGTTGGGTTGAAAGAGTTCTAAGGCTTGGAGTGGAGTAAGGAGTTGTGCTGACTGAGAGATGCAGCTGGGATGATGGTGCAACGGTAGTGGGTGAATGGGGTGTAATGGTGAATGGGCTGTAATGGGGTGGTGGATGGATGTTCGAATGCAGCTTGCACTAGATTCTGCTGTACATAAAATGCATAGGCGCGATAGCAACAAGGGATAGTTACCGGCACCCCCTAAGGGGCAACTCACTACAGGCTAAACTAAGGAATATGAAGTATAACTCTGACACCCCGGTAAGGAATAAGGAAAAATTCCTTACCGTACATTTGTGCTCGCAAATGTTACACGGAAAATTATTGTTGTGTAATTTATTTAGTACCCAAATGCTCTGCAAAGAGACTTACAGATCAATCAAGGGGGAAGGGGCAATAAGGTTTTTTCGTATAACTAGCCCCTATTCAAATCGTGGAGATTATGGCTATTGAAAAACATGATAAAAGTGTGATGTTTTCATGATGGAGAAAAGCATAATTTAGTAAATCAATATGGCTAGGGGCAATAACAAAGGAATCAGAACAAAATTCAGGGGCGTATGGTAGGATTGTCCAGTAATGGTGTTCAAAGAATTTGCACTCACCACCATGCACACACAACGAATTTGGAAACTGAGTTGCAACAAGCGTAGTCCAAATACATTGATTCGGAAGGAGAGCAGTTAAAAGAGCTGTGGACCTGGGTTACTGCCCCTAAAGCACGGACATATAGAAAAGTTTCGAATAGGGACAAAAATGGGTGGAGAAAAACCCTGCTATGCTAGGAGGTGACGAAAGGTGAAAGAGAATCAAATAGACACTGCGTAAATGACATTTCTAGTCTTGTCAGTAGCAAATATAGAAATATGATGCTGGGTGCTGGAAGGATACGGACGAGGATACCGCCATGGTCTTCGCATCAATGGTTCATTTGAGCCTTACGCATTCGTAAGTGCATGTGTATGCGCGAGCCATAGCCATTGCTTGTTGGCGAGGGGTATGAACGAGAACCTGGCTACTAGTTTCAGTAACAGATGCTTACAAATGTAGGGCACCTATACACCAAAGCTAGAAACACGCTTAAGCGCCGGGGGTGAAGTTGGTGGCATAGGCCCAGGCGTTGTTGACGGTGGGGTCAGCCAGGTGGTCTGACAGGTTCTCCAGGGGGCCCTTGCCGGTGACGATGGCCTGCACGAAGAAGCCGAACATCGACACCATGGCGAGGCGGCCGTTCTTGAGCTCCTTCACCTTGAGCTCAGCGAGGGCCTCGGGGTCGTCAGCCAGACCCAGGGGGTCGAAGGCACCGCCGGGGTACAGGGGGTCCTCAACCTCTTGGAAGCCCTCAAGGCCACCCACGCGGTAGCTCTCGACGGCACCCATGAGGATGACCTGGGTGGCCCAGATGGCCAGGATGGACTGCGCGTGGATCAGGCTGGGGTTGCCGAGGTAGTCAAGGCCACCCTCGGAGAAGATCTGGGCACCGGCCTTGAACCACACAGCCTCGCCGAACTCGACGCCGTTGTTGGCGAGGAGCTCGGGGGTCAGGCAGCCGAGGGCACCGAGAAGAGCCCAGCGAGCGTGGATCACCTGATGACAAACAAAGCAGCAAAGGAGTACGAATCAGGTAAGGAACATATTTCGAAATGGTGATACATGCATAGATCGAAGACACAATTTTTGCATGCGTTTAAATCGCAACAAGCAACGCACCTCGAGCTCGCGGTTCTTGGCGAAGGTCTCGGGGTCAGCGGACAGACCCGCGGTGTCCCAGCCGTAGTCACCGGGGTACTCGCCGGTCAGGTACGACGGGGGGGAGGAGAACGGGCCCAGGAACAGGTTGCGGTCGGGGCCGTAGAAGGCGCTGCTGGAAGCCGCCTTGGCGGTCTTCCTCATCGTCACACGGGCCTCGACATTGTTCACCTTGGCGGCGAGCTCAGCGCTCTGACCGACGAAGGTGGACGGGAGCACAGCGGCGTTGGCGAGAGCGGCCATTGTCGACTGCGTAAAAGTGTGCAACTAAAGTTGTGTAGGAACCTGGGATGTTCTGTCGCTGACTTGGTAATCGTGAGAAAACCATCAACATTTGAAGATTTGCGAATTTGGAACTGACCAGGGGGGTGACTGACTGAGATTTGCGGTTGGATGCGGTGAGGTGGGGTGTTCAATGGGAGGAGGAAAGCAGGTGGATGAGGTTGGTGCTTGGCTGGGCGCTGAAAGGTTGGGGACTGCGTGTAGTCCCGAATCCTGATTGGCCGAAAATCGCCATAGGGAACCGCTGGTTGCTTCAGGGTTGGATGGCTTCGATCCGAATCACGAGCGCTATGCGTGCACGACGCGCCAGGCTCATCCTGTCGCCTGATCGCGCATCTGGATAATCAAATTCCACCAATGGCGGAGGTTGACGTGGTCCCAACCCAATAAGGTTGGGCAATGTACACCCTCATCTGGCTGGGAAATCAGGGGCTACCAATGGCTAATGTTGATTTGGTTTGGTCCCATCCCAACGAGGCTGAAGACATTGCCCTTCCTATTACATGCGCCGTTTATAATCGAGATAAACTCTGTCACTTAATTCGAACACTTCCATTCGGGGAAATAAGGTACCGTATGTGGGATTCATAGTTGGTTATTAAGAAAAGCCATGCACTGCTCCAAATGATTCATCACATCTCATCATGAAATTGAATGGTATCACCAATTGCCCTCCTCGTCGCCCCCACAACGGCCGCCGCATCCACCTCTTGAGACGTCACACCAAACTCACCGGTATTCTGTCGCTTCCCGGAAACTCAAACTCCGCAGGAAACTCCTCCCTCGGGTACACCTTCAGCGCCTCCCCATTCATAGTGCCCCCGCCCTCTATCGCAACACGATGGTTGTTGAGAGGCATGGCAACACCAGTGTCACTCAGTGACCTGCTGAATGAGTGAACAACTACTTCACTCTGTGATACAATTGTTTCTTTCAAGAGCCCCATGATTACATCGATGGGTTTAGGAGGAGCTTATTGTCGTTGTCATGACGTGACTTGGGCAATGAGTGCCACGGTTGTCTCTTTGGACAGCCCCATGACTGCATCGATACCCCCCACCTGGAGAAACAGCACAGGGAATGATTGGCAGAAAGAGGAAAATACAGGGAAGAACATTGAAGCCGTACCAAAAAAGAGGAAGAAACGGGAAAGTGGGGTTGGGAGACACACCCAACTTCAAAGCATAAAAACTAGGGCCATTTTTAAATGCATTCCACATCCCTGCATCTCCTCTCATCACCTTCTTCATTAATGCGCCCATTCCTTCTTCGTGTAACCCATCTTAAAATGGTTCTCGATGCTGCAGGGTGTTTTTGAGAATTCTCAAAAACACCCTGCTTCTTCATTCATGCGCCCATTCCTTCTTCGTGTAACTCGTCTTAGAATGGTTCTCCATTCCTCACCCGTTCACCTCTCCCCCCTCTCCTACCCCCTCCTTCCCCCCTCCCCCCTCCTTGTTCCCCACTGCCTTCTGCCCCCTCTTCCTGTCATCAACAGCACTAGAATGCTGTCAGAATGTGATGTTTGTCTAGCCTGCAGTGGGGTACTCTATAGCGAGTACAACCCAATTAGAGTTTCCTATATGTATCTCAACTGCTGCTAGTGAAAACTCTTCTTTCGTGTTTCTGATTCTTGCCTAGTCTTACGACATGCTATGAGAGCAGGTCGACCCTCCTGGGTCGATCCTGTGGGTGGGCCCCACCCGATGCTTCCGCTGCTCTACTGCCTGTAGCGCGCCCCGGGCGCGTGCTGTTTCCTGCCTGCCGCGCGCTCCGGGCGCGCAGCGGTTTTTCTTCCCGCCGCGCGCTCGGGGCGCGCGGCGGTTTTCTGCCCCGTCGAACCGCGCGTCGCCCCCTGTCGACCGTCGCGTCGCCCCCCCGTCGCCCGACGCGGCCCGCGCGACCTGCGCCAGGCCCGCGCGCGGCCCGTACGGGCTGCGCCAGGCCCGCGCGCGACCCGTACGGGCTGCGCCAGGCCCGCGCGCGGCCCGGGCAGCCCGCGTGCGGTTCGTCCCGAGCTTCTGACCGCGCCCCACCCCCGCTGCTGCCCGCGCTCCTGTGTTAGGGTTTCGGGGTGGAGAGTATGGGGGTGCCGGGTGTGTGAGCCGTCCCCTGCTCCTCCTCCTCCTCCGTCTCCCACTGCTGCAGCTGCCGCTGAGGGGGGTGAAAACTCTTCTTTCGTGTTTCTGATTCTTGCCTAGTCTTACGACAAATGCTCCCATGGCCCATCATCGCACCCCCTCTCCCCTCCCTTCTCTCTCCCTCCCCCTCACCCCCCTCACCATCTTCTCCACCAGCGGCGCCAGCAGGGGACGCTCCACCACCACCCCTCTGGCATGAGCCGTCACTCTCAAGTGCTCGCCAGACTCACCATTGCACCTCTCCCATCTCCTCCTCCCACCTCTTCCCACTCCCCTAACCTCTTCCCCATCACCCCCCTCACCATCTTCTCCACCAGCGGCGCCACCTGAAAATGCTCCACCACGTGCCCTCCGGGATGAGGTAAGAGTCACTGAAAAATGCTCCATCACACCTCTACTCTCCCGACCCTCCCCCGTCATCCCTTGAGCCTCTCTCCTCTATCCGCTCCCCCCTCACCCATCTCACCATCTTCTCCACCAGCGGCGCCACCAAGGGATGCTCCACCATGAGCCATCACATAGAAGTTTCAATGCAATGACCCATCATTTGCATCATAGTCCTCTCTCTCTCCCTTCCCCCAATCTCCCTCACCATCTTCCCCACCAGCGGCGCCACCAGGGAATGCTCCACCATGAGCCCTCCGGCATGAGGCATCACTCATTTCCCCACTCCACTTCTCCCTCTCCCCTCTCCCCTTTCCCCTCTTCCCTTCCCCCAATCCCCCTCACCATCTTCTCCACCAGCGGCGCCACCAGGGGATGCTCTACCATGAGCCCTCCAGCGCAGTAGAAAATGTCGCCCTCTGCCACCTGGTGGGCATGTGGCACGGTGCAGAAGGATGCAGGGTGGTACAGTGAGGTGCGAGGTGCAGTGAAGTGGTGCAGCGGCGTACAGTGCGGTGGAGGGGGGCGACATGGCATGGCATGTCGAGCAGGAATTATTTTTTCTCTTCTCTTCATCAGCAGCGCCACCCGGCGCACTCAGAAACGCCTCCCTTTGACATGCGGGGTGATAGATCCAGAGCGGTGCAAAAGGGTGCATTGCAGAGCGGTCCAAAAGGGTGCACTGCAAAAGGGAAGTGTTGCAGAGGCACTGAGAGGTTTGGTGAGTTTGGGAAATCAGTGGGGAACTGTTGCATCTTTCTAATAGACCGCAGCAATGACATGTCCACTCACCACCTGGTCAAGCACAGAATCAGGAATGGGCCGGATGTGAACATCTGGCACCACCTCTGCAACGTCTACTCCAGTGCTGCCGTCTGCCTGCCACCCAACACCTCACCAAACTCATCCCTTTCCTCACACAATCAACCCGGACCCCTCTCGCATGTGACACACACTCCCACTCAATGAGTGGCACTCACCAGCTGGTCGATCACTGAGTCAGGAATGGCCCGAAAGTAAACCTCTGCAACATCCACTGCTGCTGCCTGCTTGCCCGAGTTCAGATTCGTTACGAGAACTGCCCCTACAGTGCGGGCAGGCGCGCACGAATAGCCTCGGATGAACTCCCGAGCCTCAGCTTCGGACAGGGGCTTCTCCAGAATCCGACCCTCATGCACCACCACCTGTGAAACGAACAAGAAAGTACATACATACATGCATCATCACAGACTTAAGCATCCCCACCAGGAACCATCAACCGTCAACGGGCTCCTCGAGAATCCGACCCTCGTGCACCACCACCACCTGTGCAACGAACAAGGACGTACATACAACATCACAGACACAGGCACCATCACCATCAACCATCAACACCACCTTCAGTCATTTTGGGGCCGGAAGCTTGCAGATTTTTGTTTGTTTTTTTCCAATATTCGTGCACCACCGCCTATGGAACGAATGAAGGGCATACATCATCACATGCCAAGGCATGAGCTGACTGCGCCCCAAGCCCACACTGCGCCACTGTCCAGTTTGACCCTTATGCCGCCCACCCCAGCTTTGCTGAAGGGTTGGCTGACTTTACAGCCTTTGCACGAAGGTTTCGAGTGAGGATTTGGGGAAGAAGAGAACGAGAAACGTGTTGAATACTACTCAATCGCACACACACGCGCGCACGCGCACACAGAGTCACTCGCTCGCACTCACCCTTTCACTCTCTCGCACACACGCTCGCACAAACTCTCTCACTTACTCTCTCGCAACTCACTCTATTGTCACTTCACTCCACCATACCTGGTCGGCAGTTATTAACAGAGTTGGCACATCTGCAGTTTCCGGAAAGGTTCGCCCATCGGCCTTAAGTTTGGCTAGGAGGGCGTCTGCCTGATGGGGAGAGACACGCGGCACAAGATTATTGAATGGCACACACCGGGTAACATTCTTGAACAATAAAATGTATTTAAGAAAAAACGCTGGACAGAAGAGGTTAAGAAGCGTGGACCCTTCAGGTGCAAGAAACGGGGAGAAGCTTGGCGAGGGGAGGGAGGGCTGTTGAAGGGTCGTGCAATACAGAAACTTCAACCCTGCGTTTTACAGCATAATTGTATTCATACTTAAAATACGAGCAGCAATGTAGACACGTGGATGTCACCTTGGCGCGAGAAAGGAGAGAAACGAGCTCGTTGGGGTCTGCACTCCGAATAGCCTCCTCATCTATCCCTGGCTTCTGCATGCAGTGGCGTGATCACCATGGGCAGAGTAGGATGTGCAGCGCAGAAAGCACGTAGCAGTGTGAATGAGGAGAGAGTAACATGGGATGAGAGGAAAGACCACACGAGAACCCTCCCCTTCCTCTTTTCCACACCATCTCACCCCTTCCATTCCATCCCTTCCTTCTTTCCCAGCCTCTCCTCTTTCCCATTCATCTCCTTCAATTACATGAAATGCCGATTTTTCTGTTCTCAAAATGGTTTAAAATAACAATCTGCTGGTATCACATTCAAGAAATCTAAAAAAAACAAAAAAAAACAGCAGTGATCTCTCTACCTGTTCACCCCGCCTTCTGACGATCAACGATAGGCACGCAAGCCCTAATACCACCAACCATCTCATAAAGCACTGTGCAAGCCACCAGTGTTCCCGTCTTCGTGCGAAACTTTTTATAATTCTCAAAAGTAGGCTCCGCTCCTACTTCTATACGCGTTTCAGGCATCCTCGTTTCCGACCTTCAGTGTGATGAAAGCACCCACCATGATCTCAAACGGCACGCCTATCTCCCGGAGCACCTGCTCCTGGGTCTGGTCCTCCTACTATACGCGTTTCAAGCATCCCCGTTTGCAACAGTTAGTGTGATGAAAGCACCCACCATGATCTCAAAAGGCACGCCTATTTCCCGCAGCACCTGCTGCCGGCTTTGTGATGACGATCCCAGAATAATCTGCCACGACATGGAAGCACGGAGCGTGGAGGGGTAATAGAGGACCAGAAATACATCTGATTGATTCCCAGCGTTCCCGCAGCACCTGCTGCTGGGTGTGTGACGACGATCCCAGGATGATCTGTCACCAGACAGATGGCGGGGCATGTAGGGGTGGTGGATGGAGCGAGGGAGAGCCTTTCAGTTTGCTCAGAACCTTCCTGCAGGATCTGCTTCCGGCTCTGTGACGACGATCCCAGAATGATCTGTCAACATGTGGAAACACGGGGCGAGGAGGGACGGCTTGGGGGAGGTGGAGAGCGAGGGAGGACCAGAAGAACATTCGGTTGACTCCCAGCTTTCCTACAGCACCTGCTGTCGGCTCTGCGACGACAATCCCAGGATGATCTGCCAACACGTGGACGCACGCATGGATATGGAGGCGTGGTGGGGGGGAGGTGGAGAGCGAGTGAGAGCTTTTCCGAACCTTCCCGCAGCACCTGCTGCCGGCTCTGTGACGACAATCCTAGAATGATCTGAAACCAGACGGATGGCGGAGCGTGGAGGGTGATGGAGTTCGAAACGTTGGCCTGCATTGCTCTGAAAATTTGCATGTAATATCGACAGAACCTACAGAGAATCGAGGCGTCAAAGCATGAGAGGAACGCTTCACGAAAGAAAACGACATCAACAGTTACTATCAACGGAATTCATCAGCTACCAAAAAGTTTCTTGTGTCACGTTTGAGTCGACTCAAAAGCCAATTCGTCAAATATCAAGAGTGACACAAGCAAGTACCAACCAAAAATTGTTTCCTTCCCAACAACTCCTACTCAAAGCGCGTTCTACCTGGCAGTTCTACCTGGCAGTTCTTCATGGTTTCCTCCCACTTGAACGCACGCGGCTCGATATCAATACCCGTGGCCCTAACACGAATTCGTCTCGTGGCGCTGCGAGCCTGAGAATTGTCACGAGTATTGACACCGTCTGTGGTTGAGATTGCAATGACCGAAGCGCGAGAGAACCAACCGGGAGACGGAATGTGACAGCGGCCGGTGCGGGTAGCAGGGTAGATAGCTACGGGACACTGCAATTGGGCAGGAAAATGGCGGGAAAACGGTTGGAAGAACCTACATACCGCCATGGACCAAGTGATGGTAGCTGATCGGAACTGTGGGCTCGGCTTTGTTGTTGATCAGGGGTTTGGTTCCGCTGAAGCTTATTCAACCGTTGCAACATGCAGTAGATCTCACCCAACCGCAATTCCGGCTTACACGCTCGGAGAAAGCAGGATTCTTTCGCGACAACGTGCGAGGAGGGTTACCTGCATGTCGTTAGGAGTTAGAGTGAACGGACCGTTACACATCCATCTTCATTAACGTCCATTCACACTAGGGTACGTTTGGCAAGCACATCAAGACTTGGAGCTGATGCCATTAACACTTAGGCATGGATGGCACTTAAGAGTGAACCCCAATAAAAGGCACCCTCTTCCAAATTCCATGTTTAATCTTGAGACAAAAATCCTGATATACTCTACGAAAATGCCCTCTTAACTTCCTGCAAAAGTGGCAAGTGTTTATTCCCAGAAGCTCAAGCCATATCCTCATGCATAAGTCAATCCTCTAGACAGTCAACCCTCTCGTGCAGGTACAATTCCCTGGCACAAGCATCAAGCCTCTTCCTTGGGTCGCCAAAAGCCCTTCTGAAACGCCAGCAGCACCTCTCCGCCCTCGGTCTGGTTGAACTTGAGGCGCCAGTGGAAGGAGGCTGCGATGCTGAGAATAGACCCCCCCATGCGCGCATGGTCGCGGAACACTGCCCAGCCCTCAGGGCGCAGCAGACGATCCATCTCGAGTAGGACAGCAGTGATGTCACACCTGGTGGGGATGGGAGTGGTGGGAGTGGTGGGGTTAGTGGGGGTTGCAGGGGGTGGAGGGGAATGAACAAGGCATGGATGGATCCCTGTATATGAGCATGGTCGCGGAACACTGCCCATCCCTCTGGGCGCAGCAGACGGTCCGTCTCGAGCAGGACAGAGGTGATGTCACACCTGGTGAGGATGGGTGGAAGTGGGACAGACGGACAATGTCAAACATGCATCCTGACATGTCTCAATACTGCCCCCCCCCTCTGGGCGCAGCAAACGGTGCATCTCGAGTAGGACAGAGGTGATTGAGAACCTGGTGGGGATGGTGGGGGTGGGAGTGGTGGGGTTAGTGGGGAAGGTGCGATGCGAGTGGAGGGACAAGGTGCATACACCTCTCAAGCGACTATGGTTACGGGAAACAGTGCCCATCCGTCAGGGGAAGCAGACATCAGCCGATCTCAAGCAGCACAGAGGCGATGCCATACCACACCACTAAAAGTGGAGTACCGTTTTGTGAGTTCACTGATGTCGTCTGTGAGAGAGAGTGTGTCCCATCCCATCCATCCTGCTGCAGGGTGTTTTTGAGAATTCTCAAAAACACCCTGCAACACCATGCCACACCACACCACTATAAGCGGAGTACCGTTCTGTGAGTTCACTGATGTCTGTGAGAGTGTGCCCCATCCCATCCCATCCCATCCATCCCCTGACTTGCTCACCCCATCCCAACATGCTGCTCTCACCTGCCAACTTCCTGTGAGACCGTGTGGTCAGCGTGAAGCAGGTCGTAGGAGCGCGGGTACGAGTTGAATGACTCGCACCAGTCGTGGTAGATGCCCACCAGGCCGCGCTCAAACACGATTGGCAGCGAGTCGGGTCCACTCGTTGGCACCACGTTCAGCACCCACAGAGGCTTCTTTGACACTGCTAGCTCTGCTGCAAACCTGGGAAGGGTGGAGAGGGTGGGCGGCAGATTTTGGACGTAGTGGAGAGAGCAAGCATGCCTCGCACAAGTCGGGTCCCCTCGTTGGCACCGCGTTGAGTACCCACAGAGGCTTCTTTGACACTGCTAGCTCTGCTGCGAAGCTGGGAGGGGTGGAGAGTGGTGAGGACGGGTGGGAAGGGTTGGAGGGTGGGCAAACTGCTCTCATTCCTCACTGTGCCTCAATCAATCTATACTGAGTGTGGCAAGTTCAATCACTGAAAATCTCCTGCTCCAATATCCAAAACAATCATGCTCACCCTCCACACAATCACGCTCACCTGCAATCTTGTACATTCATGTCTATTGAGTGTGCTCCTTAATGCACTCCCAGGCCAAATGCTTGAATCGGTGCATGGGGATAATATACGACATGCAGCCATGTAGTATCCTCCACACAATCACACTCACCCGTTCATGTCCATCACGTTCCGCACTGTGCTCCAATCAACATTCATTATGCCTCCACGGGCAACCAATTCAGTACAATCACACTCTCCCGCCCTGCCCTTGTGTCACATCTCACCCGCCATAGTGCGCGTCATGTCCATCACGTTCCGCACTGTGCTCCAATCAACATTCATTATGCCTCCACAGGCAATCAATTCAGTACAATCACACTCTCCCGCCCTGCCCTTGTGTCACATCTCACCCGCCATAGTGCGCGTTCATGTCCATCACGTTCCTCACAGTGCTCCAGTCGATGCCAAACGACGCATCGTAGAAAGCAACCACCTTCTTCCAGTGGATCTGGGAGGGGTGTGGGGGAGAGGGGACTTTTGAGACGTCTCAAAAGTGCTCCAGTCGATGCCAAACGACGCATCGTAGAACGCAACCACCTTCTTCCAGTGGATCTGGGAGGAAGGGAAGGAGAGGGGGGAAGGAGAGGGGGGAGGAGAGAGAGGGGGGGGGGGAAGGGGGGAAGGAATGGGGGGAGGGTAAGCACAAAGGTAATAATCTAGGTGTAATCACATGTCGATGCCACACGACGCATCGTAGAAAGCAACCACCTTTTTCCAGTGGATCTGGGAGGGGTGTGGGGGGGAAGGGGGAGGGGGGAGGGTGGAGGGGGACGATGAGGAAACGAAGAGCAGGCACAAAGGTCATGACCAAGGCGAACTTCACTGCTCGCATTCAAAGGTTATAACCCACCTAACCCCATTCAATTTCACTAGTCCCATTTCATCCTACCCAATTCCAACATCGCATCTACACTCGTTCGATTTACGGCTTGTTTCACCTCATCTCACACCTTATCTCGTTTCACCTCATCCCAATTGCTCTCGTTTCATCTCATCTCACCTGGTCGCGTTTCATCTCAGCAACAGCGGGGCCCCCGAACACCCCTCGTTTGAGCATCTGCAGCCACACAGGCACGGCCCTCAGCCTCGCTCTGCCCATGGCTGGCCACTGCGCCGCCCGCATGCCCTTGAATGCTGGGACAGGATTCAGACACGCCTTCATGGGGACGTACCTGGGGAGGAGGAGTGGGGTGGGTAAGTGGTGGGGGTAATAGAAGGTGAAGAGGAGGATAGGGGAACGTTAAGAAGAAATCACTAGGCCACACCGGCACGGCCCTCAGCCTCGCCCTGCCCATGGCTGGCCACTGCGCCGCCCGCATGCCCTTGAACGCCGGGACAGGATTCAGACACGCCTTCATTGGCACATACCTGGGGGGCGGGAGGAGTGGGTGGGGATGGTGGGGGAATAGAAAGAGCGAGGCGGTCAGACAGCAGGCACGGCCCTCAGCCTAGCCCTGCCCATGGCTGGCCACTGCGCCGCCCGCATGCCTTTAAAGGCCGGGACAGGATTCAGGCACGCCTTCATGGGGACATACCTGGGGAGACGGGGAGAAAGGGGTGAGGGGGGGGTGAAAAGAGAGGTGAAGAGGGAACGTCGAGGAGAATCATTCTGCCACACACAGGCATGGCCCTCAGCTGCCCAGGCCTGCCAAACACCCCTCGTTTGAGCATCTGCAGCCACACCAGCACGGCCCTCAGCCTAGCCCTGCCCATGGGTGGCCACTGTGCCGCCCGCATGCCCTTGAATGCAGGCACTGGGTTCAGTCACGCTTTCATCGGCAAAGCATCCCTGTTTTGAGTTGACTCAAAGCACTGCGCTCGCTGTAGGCTCTAGCACCGGTTGTCACTAGGCTTCGGTCACACGGCGTGCTCACACCTCCCTGCTCCCCTACCTCCCCCCTCCTTGAAACCCCCTCTCCACTCAGCATGCAGCATCAGGATTGTCGTCCGATTCACACATCGGAGGCGGCATCCCCGCACTGCGCTCGCTGTAACAGCGGTTGTCAGAGGGCTTTTGCCACAACAGCTGCAAACACCCTCTCGTCAGGATTACCTGCTTTTACCTGGAGGGGGGCAGGGAGGAGGGGCAGGTAAGGTGGGTCTTGTCTCTGTTGTCCCCCTCCTGACCCACCTTACCTGCCCCTCCTCCCTGCCCCCCTCCATACGCCCCCCTCCTGGCCCCAATCTGCTCCCGCCCTCCCTCCCCACCTCCCTCCTCCCCCCCCCCCTCCCCCACTCCCTCCCCCATCCCTGCCCCCCGCACCACTCAACATGCAGCATCGGGATTGTCATCTGATTCACACATGGAAGGCACGGTCCCTGCACTGCACTCGCTGTAGCAGCGGTTATCAGAGGGCTTTTGTCACAAGAGCTGCAAACACCTCTCATCTTTGTCGTCCCGCTACTGCCCCACCCCCTTACCTGCCCCTCCTCCCTGCCCCCCTCCATGCCCCGCCTCCTGACCCCAATCTCCTCCCCTCCTCCTCTCCCCTTCCCTTCTGTCTCCCTGCACTCATCACCACTCACCACGCAGCATCGGGGTTATCATCTGATTCACACATGGGAGGCGGGGAGCTAAACCCTACACCACGTTCGCTGTAGCAGCGGTTGTCAGCGGGCTTCTGCCACAACAGATGCAAACACCCTCCCGTCTCTGTTGTCCCCCTCCCTGCTCCCCTCACCACTCACCAGGCAGCATCGGGGTTATCATCTGATTCACACATGGGGGGCGGGGTGCCAGCACTGCGTTCGCTGTAGCAGCGGTTGTCAGCGGGCTTCTGCCACACGGCCACACCCACGTTGTCCAGCCCGTCCTCCTTCTCCCTCACCTTCAGCGTCCAGCACATGCGCTCCGCCAGGTCAGTCATTGCTGTGGAGTGGAAGAATGGGGGTGGGGAAGGCAGGGAAATGATGAATGGGGTGCAGGTGAATAGGCTCGTCGACTCGTCGGTCACACTGCAGGCTTCTGCCACACGGCCACACCCACGTTGTCCAGCCCGTCCTCCTTCTCCCGCACTTTCAACGTCCAACACATGCGCTCCGCCAGGTCAGTCATTGCTGCAGGAGGGGGGGAAGGGTGGTGGTTGTGTAAGGGGGTAGTGGTGGTGGTGGTGGTGGTGGTGATACACAGGCGTGGTCGACCAGATGAAGCACCCCCCTGGCCACAGCACTCAGTAACGGGCATGCATGCAATCGTACCTCCACCCATTCACCACATGCGCTCACCACTCCATACCCATACTCACATCTCCAGATCTCCTCATCATCCCCCTTGTGGCGGTACACAGGCGTGGCCGACCAGATGAAGAAGCCCCCTGGTCGCAGCACACGGTTCAGCTCCAATAGCAGCATGCCACCTGGCAGCATACATGAGGAATTCGGGAGCAAGAAAAAAAAAAAAAAAAAAAAAAAAAATGAAATCCAGGTTTTCCCAGTGACAAGAAGTTGTAGTGAGTTGCTCTCAATATCAGCGAGCGCGCATGCATATGTGAGTGCCCATATGCATGCACGAGGCATGTGCTGCGAGAAAGCTGTGTGCATGCATGGGGATGTGTGTATGTGTGTGTGTGTGTGTGTGTGTGTGTGTGTGTGTGTGTGTGTGTGTGTGTGTGTGTGTGTGTGTGTGTGTGTAAGGGATGCATCACGCATGCATCAGAGCACCCACCATCAATGTGCCATGGCACACGGCAGCGAGCGCAGTGAACGGCATCAAAGGAGTTGGAGGAGAATGGCAGGCGCTGCGTGCCCATCACCCCCACCACTGCCAGCACTCCCCGCTCTAGAGCCAACTGGATCTGAAGTGGGAAAAAACAATGAAGTGGGGGGAGGGGTGGTAAAGGTAGAAACAGGGTACTTGTAGCGAAGCACAACGCGCAGGCGCTGCGTGCCCATCACCCCCACCACTGCCAGCACTCCCCGCTCTAGAGCCAACTGGATCTGAAGTGGGAAAAAACAATGAAGTGGGGGGAGGGGTGGTAAAGGTAGAAACAGGGTACTTGTAGCGAAGCACAACGCGCAGGCGCTGCGTGCCCATCACCCCCACCACTGCCAGCACTCCCCGCTCTAGAGCCAACTGGATCTGAAGTAGGAAGACCAGCGGACAGAAGGAAGGGAGTTAGCAGCCGTTCAAACAGCTGTAGAGTGGGATGAGCTGGTGAAGAGAGTCCTGAGATACCAACCCGTACAGAACCATCAACGACCCATCACAGCCTACAGAACCATCAACGACCCATCACAGCCCATCACAGCCCATCACAGCCCATCACAGCCCATCACAGCCCATCACAGCCCATCACAGCCCATCACAGCCCATCACAGCCCATTACAGCCCATCACAGCCCATCGCAGCCCATCGCAGCCCACCACAGCCCATCACAGCCCATCACAGCCCATCACAGCCCATCATCACAGCCCATCACAGCCCATCGCAGCCCATCACAGCCCATCATCACAGCCCATCACAACCCATTACAGCCCACCACAGCCCATCACAGCCCATCACAGCCCATCACAGCCCATCACAGCCCATCATCACAGCCCATCGCAGCCCATCACAGCCCATCACAGCCCATCGCAGCCCATCGCAGCCCATCGCAGCCCATCGCAGCCCATCACAGCCCATCGCAGCCCATCACAGCCCACCACAGCCCATCACAGCCCATCACAGCCCATAGCAGCCCATCGCGACCCATCACAGCCAATCACAGCCCATCACAGCCCACCACAGCCCATCACAGCCCATCACAGCCCATCACAGCCCACCACAGCCCATCACAGCCCATCACAGCCCATCGCAGCCCATCACAGCCCATCACAGCCCATCACAGCCCACCACAGCCCATCACAGCCCATCACAGCCCATCGCAGCCCATCGCGACCCATCACAGCCCATCACAGCCCATCACAACCCATCACAGCCCATCACAACCCATCACAGCCCATCACAGCCCATCACAGCCCATCACAGCCCATCACAGCCCATCACAGCCCATCATCACAGCCCATCACAGCCCATCACAGCCCTACGTCATGCACTTTCTTTCCTCACCTGCGCCTCGTGCTCGTCTTTGGGCGCCATGGACATGACTCTCACGTCAAATGCCTCCAGGCACGCTGATTGGCTCGCCTCGCCGCCCTTAAGACATCAACTCTTTCCCCACCCCAGGTTCATAACCCGTGAACTCAGCTCGTCCCACATGCGCTAGTCCCACCTGTGCCAACCCACCTGCGCCTCGTGCTCGTCTTTGGGCGCCATGGACATGACTCGCACGTCAAACGCCTCCAGGTATGCAGACAGGTTTGAAACCTTCACCACAACTCTAAACCAAACACCCAACCGCCAATGGGAGAAAGGGAGAAAACACTTTCACCACGACCTTTGAACTCTCCGCCCTGTCCTCACCTGCGCCTCGTGCTCGTCTGTGGGTGCCATGGACATGACTCGCACGTCAAACGCCTCCAGGTACGCTGACAGGCTCGCCACGCTCGGGGCTGACAGGTTCATTTTCACCATGATGACCTTGACCTCAGTGCCGGTGCCACCATCAGCCTCATAACGCGCTCTCTCTCTCTCCTCACCTGTGCCTCGTGCTCGTCCTTGGGAGCCATGGACATGACTCGCACGTCAAACGCGTCCAAATACGCTGATAGGCTCGCCACGCCACAGCCCATGTCCAGCATCACGCGCACTCGCCTGCCCCACGCCACATCAGCGAACGCCTGAAGTGGTTGGAGAGGGTGTGCGGGGTTGTGGAGGGGTGTGGTGTGGGGGGGTGTGAGGGATTCGTTACCCCAGGCCGCATCACAGCCCAAGTCCAGCATCACTCGCACTCGCTTGCCCCATGCCACATCGGAGAAGGCCTGGCGGGTGGGGTGTGCGAACTGGGGGGAAGGGGGGACGGGATGGGAACCACATACATATGCCACCACAGCCCATGTCCTGCATCACCCGCACTCGCTTGCCCCACGCCACATCGGAGAAGGCCTGGCGGGGGTAGAGGAAATGTGGTTATGTGTTGGGGCATCGCAGAGTTGGTTAGTCCAGGCCACGCCACAGCCCATATCCAGCACGACCCACATGCGCTTGCCGTATGCCACATTGGACAGGGCACATACCAGAGGCCACGATTTTTTTAGGTGACTAAAAAAGTGGACAGGGCAGGGGTGAAAAATACATAAACCACCATAGGGTGGTAAAAGTGCTGTTTTGAGACATCTCAAAACAACACTTTTATCACATAAACCACCACAGGGTGGATACCACAGGGGACACGACACGACCGCCCACTCGACGACGTCTCAAGAGCACGACAGTCTAACGCACCGCACCATACCGCACTGTCCCTCATCACACCATACCTTTTGAACGAAGTTGATGCATCATGTGGCTTCATGCCGCACTGCATCACACTGTACCACTTTGCACCACATCGCACCGTACCTTCTGAATGAAATTGACGGCGGAACCACATAACTCCACTCATGAACTGTGTGCCCGCACATCAAAAGGCACCCCATTCCACCGCATAACACCCCATTGCACCAACTCTCACCTTCTGGACGAAGTTGATGTACCCCGTGGCGCCATGGGTGAACTGTGTGGCGCCCCCTGGAAACACGAGCTTGACACCCTCCATCGCCACCCAAACTCCTTCCTGAAGCTCGCCAGGCCTGGGTGGCGCACCTTGTTTTACCACACCATACCGCACCTCACTGCACTGCATCACACCGCATCGCACCGCATGCCACCGTACCACGCTGGATCACTTCACACCATACCGCGCTGCGCCGTACCTTTTGGACGAAGTTGATGTACCCCGTGGCGCCATGGGTGAACTGTGTGCCACCCCCCGGGAACACGAGCTTGTCACCCTCCATCGCCACCCAGTTCTGATCCTTCTTGTAACTCACCAGGCCCCATACCACACTGCACTGCATCACACCGTATCGCGCTGCACCGCATTGCACCGTACCTTCTGGACGAAGTTGATGTACCCCGTGGCGCCATGGGTGAACTGCGTTCCACCCCCCGGGAACACGAGCTTGTCTCCCTCCATCGCCACCCAGTTCTGGTCCTTCTTGTAGCTCGCCAGGCCCGGGTGCGGCACGTTGTTGTACCACACCTGTTAAGAGCGGAAAGGATGGGCGAATGACACCAAATGTGGAACGCCTTCAGATTCTTATTGAAGCTCGCCAGGCCTGGGTGCGGCACGTTGTTGTACCACACCTGTTAAGAGCGGAAAGGATGGGCGAATGACACCAAATGTGGAACGCCTTCAGATTCTTATTGAAGCTCGCCAGGCCTGGGTGCGGCACGTTGTTGTACCACACCTGTTAAGAGCGGAAGGAAAAAGTGTGGCGAGGCAGTTGGGAAAGGGAGAGACGAGTGATCCGAAATAAATGCGGTGCACCTTCGAACCCAGCTTGTAGCTCGCCAGGCTTGCACGGGGCATGTTGCTGTACCACACACGAAGAGGCGGTGGCAGGGAAGAAGAAGAGGCAGTTAGGGAAAGAGGAGGAGAGGGCGGGTGGGGGATAAAACGAATTATGGCATACTTTAGAGCCGGGCTTGTAGCTCGCCAGGCCAGGCCCAGTGTGTCAGGCATGTAACTTGCCTCTCCCGGTGCTCATACTGCTTGCTCGCCCCAATTCACCCCATTCTACCCCGACGCACCGTCCGTTTCACCGCATTTCACCCCTCTCCACCGCATCTCACCTGGTCTCTGCTCTCAGGCCACGGCACATGCGCCTTGTACCCCTTGGGCAGCGGCACCAGGCACTTCTCCATCTCGCCAGGCAGCGGGCAGTGCCTCTCGCGGTGCTCATAGTGCTTGTTCGTCCTCAGCGCCTTGATCGCCTTCTCATTGTCCAGACACGGCACCCAGTCCGTGCGGTTACCACCGCACGACGGCCACCGGAACTTGGCGTTTTCAAGGTCCAGGGAGGGCAGGGCGCCGCCCCCCTCCTCCCCGGTGCCCTGCCCCACCGGCCCTGCCATGAGCGGCGGCTCTTTGCTCTCGGGACTGTTCTGGATGATCGTTGCTCCCCCCTCCACCTCCCCAAAGTCGTCCTGACAGGGCGAGCAGGGCTTGCAGGGGAGGGCGAGAGGGGGAGGGGAGAGGGGAAAAAACGGAGGCAGGGAGACAGTTTAATCCGTACGGTTACCACCACCACGCGAGGGCCACCGGAACTTGGCGTGTTCGAGGTCCAGGGAGGGCAAAACCCCGCCCCCCTCCTCCCCGGTGCCCTGCCCCACCGGCCCTGCCATAAGCGGCGGCTCTTTGCTCTCTGGACTGTTCTGGATGATCGTCGCTCCCCCCTCCACCTCCCCAAAGTCGTCCTGACAGGGCGAGCAGGGTTTGCGGGGGAGAGCGAGAGGGGGAGGGGACAGAGGAAAAAGCGGAGGCAAGTAAACAGTTAAGTCCGTCCGGTTACCACCACCACACGACGGCCACCGGAACTTGGTACGTTCGAGGTCCAGGGAGGGCAAAACCCCGCCCCCCTCCTCCCCTGTGCCCTGCCCCACCGGCCCTGCCATAAGCGGCGGCTCTTTGCTCTCTGGACTGTTCTGGATGATCGTCGCTCCCCCCTCCACCTCCCCAAAGTCGTCCTGACAGGATGGGTAGGGATCGCGCGTGAGGAAGGGAGAGAGAAGGAAAAGGAGGCAGGGCATTGGTTCAGAGCATGCAGTTACCACTGGACGACGGTCAGAGGAACTTGGTGCGTTTGAGGTCGAGGGTAGAAGGATGAGAACAGCACAAACACTGCCCGCCAGCTATGTGCTCCCTGGCCGACAGACCCGGCCATCAGCAGTGGCTCTGTGTAATCTAGCTGCTACTAATCAGGTCTTCCCCTCCTCCACACTCCTCCTCTCTCAACCCCTATGTCTTTCAACTCCTACCACTCGGTTCTTCACTATCCCTCTCGACCTTCACACATCGCCTCTGCATCACTCTCCACGCCTCCCAACCTCTACCTCCGTCTGCTTGCTCTCCTGCTTCTTTGTGGCAGCGGATGGCAGCCTTTCGAATGTCCAGCCTCGCTTTCTCCTCAGACTCCTGCGCCTGAGAATTGACCCCACTGCCTGCCTCCGAGCTGCTGCCTCCACCGTTCCCTGCACATCTCAACCGCACTCCATCCAAACCGAAGCCCCCTACCTCCGTCTGCTTGCTCTCCCGCTTCTTGTTGGCAGCCTCACGAATGCCGAACCTCGCCTGCTCCTCAGACTCCCTCGCCTGAGACTCGAGCACAATGCCGGCCTCCCTTATTCGGCACCTAAAAGCACTGAACAGCACGCTAACACACCGTTTTCAAGCCCTACCTCCGTCTGCTTGCTCTCCTGCTTCTTGTTGGCAGCCTCTCGAATATCCAGCCTCGCCTCCTCCTCAGACTCCCTCACCTGGACTTCAGCCCACTGCCTCCCCCCGAGCTGCTGCTGTACCGTTCCCAGCCCATCTTAACCGCACTCCATCCAGACCAAAGCCCTACCTCCGTCTGCTTGCTCTCCTGCTTCTTGGTGGCAGCCTCTCGAATGTCCAGCCTCGCTTCCTCCTCAGATTCCCTCGCCTGAGACTCAAGCCCACTGCCTGCCTCAGAGCTCGTGCTCTCTGTGCGCAGGTCTGCTGCAGGCACGTTCGGGTCTGCTGCTGCTGCGTCCTCCGAGTCCCACGCTGCTTCCACCGCTGCCAGGTCGGCGGAAAAGAACTGGGCAGGGGGAGTGACGGACGGAGTAAGGGAGAGGGAGAGGTTGGGATGAGAGAGAGGAAGAGGTTAGGATAGGGGCGGGGAAGAGGTTGGTATGAGCGAAGGGAAGAGGCTGAAATCAGAGAGAAGGAGAAGAGGGGCTCTGCGCTGCTGCTCTCTGTGCGCAGGTCTGCTGCTGCACGTTGGGGCCTGCTGCTGCTACGTTTATGAGTCCCACGCAGCTTCCATTGGTGCCGGGTCAAAAGAAAAATTGGGCAAGGGGAGGGAGAGTTAGAGATGAGAGAGAGAGGGAGAAAGAGGTTAAGACGTGGAACCTCTGATTCAGATTTCATGTTGGTATCAGATTCAAACGAGTTGACTCTAAAACCCTCACCCTCTCAGGCATTACCTTGGAGTTTCCATCAGCCTTTCCCTCCTTGCCCACCGCTGCCCCTTCCTCCGCACTGCCTTCTCCCTCTGCTCCCTCCTCGCTTGCTTCCTCAGCCTCCTCTTCCTCTCCACCCTTCTTCCTCTGCACAACCTTCCCCCCTCCCTCTCCTTCCTCGCCTTCAGACTCCCCTTCCTCCTCACTTGCAGCTCCCTTCTTCCCTCCTCCTCTTCCGTCACCCCTTCCCTCTTCTTCCTCCTCCTCACTGCCCTCTTCAGCGCTCGCCTTCCCTCCACTTCCTCCCCTTCCCCCTTTTCCTCCTCCCCTTCCAGCATCAGCGCCCTCTTCCTCTTCCCCGCCTCCCTCCTCCTCCTCCCCTCCCTTCCCCGCTTCCTTCCCTCCCCCCTCTTCACCTCCGCCTTCCTCACTCCCCCCCTCCTCGCCTCCCGCCACTTCAACCCCCTGCTCGTCCTCCTCCCCTGCGCCTTCAGCGCCCGTCTCTTCTGCCAGCCCGCTGCTCGACTCTGCCTCTACTGCCACGTCCTGACAAGGGAAGGATATTGAAGTGAGGGGTGGGAAGAGGTGGGCTTCGGTTCAGTGGATCTCTTCTGCCAGCCCACTGCTCGCCTCTGCCTCTACTGCCACGTCCTGACGAGGGAGGGAGAGTAAGAGAGGCAAAGAATGAGGTGGGTTTCGGTTCTAAGGGTTCACTCTGCCAGCCCATTGCTCGCCTCTGCCTCTATTGCCACGTCCTGACGAGGGAGGGAGAGTAAGAGAGGCAAAAATTGAGGTGGGTTTCGGTTCTAAGGGTTCACTCTGCCAGCCCATTGCTCGCCTCTGCCTCTACTGCCACGTCCTGACGAGGGAGGGAGAGTAAGAGAGGCAAAAAATGAGGTGGGTTTCGGTTCTAAGGGTTCACTCTGCCAGCCCATTGCTGACCTCTGTCTCTATTTCCACGTCCTGAGAGTGAAAAGAAGGCATGGAGAAAGGGGCGAATTTCGTTTCCAGAGGTTTCCAGCCAGACTCACATGAGACGTCTCAGAACACTCACCTTGGCCTTGGCTCGGTTCTTGGCCCTCTGAATCGCCTCCGCCACTTTCACATCAGCTTCCAGCCGCTGCTCTGACTCGCCCACCACATCCTCCACCTCCTCCTCCGCCAATGCCTCCACGGCCTAGGCGGGGGAGAGGGAAAGCGGGGGGAGGGTGAGGAGAAGAGAACAAAGGGACGTCCGAAAAAGAGTTACTGACGGTTCTTACTCGCCCACCACGTCCTCCACCTCCTCCTCCGCCAATGCCTCCACGGCCTGGGGGGGGAAGAGGGGGGTGGGGTGAGGAGAGAAAATTACATGGTGAGATGAGACACAGCATATGCTGTTGTCAACCGTGGGGACCGACTGCTTATGCCCACCACGGCATCCACCCCCTCCTCTGCCAATGCCTCCACGGCCTGGGGGAGAAGGGGGGGAGGGGAGGGAGAAGGGGGGAAAACGAGGAGAGCAAAATACAGGGTGAGACTTTTGTCAACGGTGGGGACCGATTCGCCTATCTCGTCCTCCATCTCCTCCGCCGCCAATGGAGACGGTGTTGTCGGCTATCCGGTGGCATTGCCTTTTGAGTCGACTCAAAAGTTATCTCGTCCTCCACTCCACCTCCTCCGCCGCCAACGGAGACGGTGTTGTCGCCTATCCGTTGGCATTGCCTCCACGAGCTGGTGGCGAGGAGAAGAGAACAAATTAGGTCACTTGGTTTCAGGCGTGTAGAGGAACTCACTGCGTTGTTGGTGGGGGAGAAGATGGCCCACGCGCCGAAGAAGACGAGGACGACGGCGATGGTGACCATGATCCACACGTTCCATGACGCCGAGAACGTGCCCGACGACCGCGCGCCGTGCCGCATGGCTGGCTGCCTGACGGAATCTGGTTAGTGACGTCAAGTCGGAACCGGCCTTGAGACAGTTGAGAAACGACTGGACGAGTCTGAGATGCTTGCTGCTAGCGGATCCCTGCTACGTCGGTCGATCGTTGTTGGAAAAAGGGGATCAGGAGTCGGTGACACGGCACTACGCGAACCTGAAACAAGGATGGAAGAAAGGTGTGCGGAGAATGAGATACAGAAGGTAAATAATAGCAGCACGAATTTGGCGACAAGCGCGTCGTATAGAAGCAAAAATGTGCATTGACGAGGCAACATTGTCACTGTGCTAGTAATGAAGCTCCAACGAGTTGGCGCTAGTTGTAGCTGCACGGAGCTTGGCAACGCGTTCAACAGCTGGACTCGTTGAATCGACTTCTTATCAACGCCTACTCCCGTTGCTGCTGGATGTTATCGATTTTAAGCTATGGCTTTCAAGCAATGCATGCGTGAATTCCCGTCAGGCCGAATCTACACTTTCAGAGACTCTCAAGCCCGATCCTACCACTTTAGCGAGATTTGAATCCGCTTTTTAATTCTGATTTACGTATCAAGTGCAATCTTTTTAACAAGGGAACTTCGCGGATTCAAACCGAACTGGTGTTCGATCGAGCTCTCAGAGCCCCTCGAGCTTGTCCCTACCTCAACTGCGAGACAGTCTGGCAGAACGTCGACCGAATGAACGGCAACGAGCGTAAGTTCAGACTTAGGAGTAGCTTGCTGGCTTATGAGAACTATTTCGCTGACATCATGGGAATGTTCCGCTGTGCAGCTGATTACTCACCGGTGCTGTGAAAAAAGACTCAGCTTGGCTGGTCCCGCACAAGCTCGAAAGCAGAGAGATTAGGAGGATTCTGGCGGCAAAATGAGTAACAAAACGGAACGGATTCTGTTGAGGGCGACGGATCGGACGGCCCTGACCGCACTGTATTGTCCAGTGACAGAATCGAGGCCGTTTCTCAGCAAATACAAGTTGCGGAGACTGATCCTAGGATCTCGGCGGCAGTTTTTGGGGACAGGTTTGTGATCTTCTGTGAGGATTGTGCTAAAAACGCGCGGGGATCTCATGTTCGCTGTGAACAACCGCGTTTGTGTAGCCGATCGTTAGCCAAATTAGACACTGTCATGCAAGCCGAGAAATGAGCATATGAAACAGGCTTGCTGTCATAATCTTGTTACTTTGATTCCCCAAATCTAAGCCCTACGCGGGTATAGTTAAATTTTGCCGGCTTTTATTTGGGGGGGGGGGGGGGGGGGGGGGTGGCTAAATAAAAAAGAACATAAGTATAGCGTCAATTGTAAGTAGAGATAAAGTATCTAGTGCAAGTACATTAGGTATACAGTCTGGCTGAGTGACTCTCGTTTTACCTGATTGTTCAGATGACATGGCATGCGAGCAACATGCAAGACCCGGACTCTAATATTCACCTGGCTTCACGAACTCTCCGTCCCTTCCGTCCCTTACACACCGCGCGAGAGGGTAACCCGTCGTCATCACTTCAGCCGCCCTCATTTCTCGAGCCGCGTGTCGGAGCGGAAATATATGTCAAACTGCAATTGTATGCTCTAGGCTGTAGTGGGGCATACTCTAGTGAGTACAACCCCTTACGGTTTCCTACTTGTACTCTCATCCTACTCAATGCACACATCACTTCTTGACATGGTTTCAGAGTAGGTCCCGGTTAGCACCGTTTTTTTAGGGCCCACCGTAATCGTTCCGCTTTGCCCGGCCGTCGTGTTTTTCCCTGCCCGGCCCGTCGTTTTTGCCCTGACCAGCACGCCGTCGCGCTGCTGCCCTGCCCTGCCCCGCGCGTCACCGCGCTGCCTGCCCTAAATCGCGCGCTGTCGCGCTGCCTAGTGCGTTCGGACGCCTGCTGCTCGCGCTGCCCGCCTGCTGCTCGCGCCGCCCGCCTGCTGCTCGCGCCGCCCGCCTGCAGCTCGCACGCAGCCCTCGCTGCTCGCACGCAGCCCGCCCGCTGCTCGCGCGGCCCGCACGCTGCCCTCACGTCGCCCGCGCTGCCCTGTGCCGCCCGCGCTACCCGCTCGCTGCTGGCCTGCCGCTCGCTGCCCGCTGCCCTGTGCTGCTCGCCGCCCGCTGCCCTGCGCGCTGCATTGTCAGCGCTGCCTGCGTGCGCCCTGCCTGAGCCGCCTATGCATTGCCCTGCGCCGCCCGCTCACACCCCTGCTGCACTGCTGCACCACCAGCTCGTGCCCTGCCCTGCCCTGCCTGAGCTGCTGCTGCTGCTGCACGCGCTGCTGTGCCCTGCCCTGCCGAGCCGCGCCACGCCGCGCCGCCCTGCCCGAACCGCGCCGCGCCGCGCCACCCTGCCTGAGCCGCGCCGCCCTGCCCGAGCCGCGCCGCCCTACCTGAACCGCGCTGCCCTGCCCGAGCCGCGCTGCCCTGCCCCTACAGAGCTGCACTGCGTTATTGCTGCTGCTGCTGCTGCTGCAGCTGCTGCTACTACCGTTCTACTGCTATGGCGACCCCTACTGTTCTCACCTTTGACGGAGAGGGGCACCCGGTAGACTTCGAGTCCTGGTTGGAGGATCTACACTGGTACTTGCAGAGCCAGACTAGGGAGGATGTCTCGCTTTTTTAGCATACCTCTGGGACCCTAGACGCCCCTGCTGCCACAGCTAGTCGTGTAGACAAGTCCAGGTGGGCTTCTCGTGACGCTACTGCCGCTCTTGCAGTCCGTAGCCACCTTCCGCTAGACCAGCGCTCCCACTTTCACCAGCTTAAGACGGCCAAGGCACTTTACGACGATGTAGTCACGCGCTACGCGTGTCGTCTGCCATTGTAGGCCGTCTAGCGCTGCCGTTCCTCTTTCCCGAGCTGTCGGACTTCACTACTGTAGACGACCTCCTGATTCACCTGCGCTCTCTTGAGACCCGCTACGCTGCCGCCCTCGAGCCCACCTTTAGGGCTGAGAACAAGCCACCCATTTATCTCACCCTTTACTTTCTCACGACCCGCCTCCCTGACTCCCTTCGTGCTGTACGCGACCACTTCCTCGCCCTAGACCCCTCGAAGATCACCCTCGACTCGTTTGAGTCCCGCCTCTTGGAGGCTGAGTCCGCTGCCCTAGCTGTCGCTGCCTCTCGCGGCACTCCCCACCCCTCTGTCTTTGAGGGGTGCTCCCCCTCCCTGCTCGCGTCGTCTGTTGCCTCTGCTGCTGCTGTTGACCTCTTCGGTGCTGAGGAGGTCGGTGCTGCTTCTGCTCCTAGTGGGAAGCGCCGCAGCGGCAAGGGCAAGGGTGGCAAGGGTGGGGGTGGCGGGGGCAGCGGTGGTGGCGGTGGAGGTGGTGGGGGAGGAGGAGGTGGAGGTGGCAGGGGAGGAGGAGGGGGTGGAGGGAGCAGTGGGGGTGGTGGCGGTGGTGGGGGTGGCACTTGGGGTGGAACTGGAGGGGGCGGAGCTGGAGGCTCGACTACGCGCACTGCTACGTTTGGTGGTGCAGCCGGTGGTGGAGGCGGCTCTGGGGGAGGATAGCTACAACTCTCGCCGCAGCAGCTTCGTGAGTGGCAGCTCGGGTGCCCCAGCTCGCTGTGGGTACGTCCGTCGCACAGGTCATCCTGGAGCGACTTGCACTCGCACCGACCACACCGAGTCTCGTTGCTTCTTTCGCCTCGACGATCTGTATTGTGCGGAGCATGGTGAGCACGTGGTGAAGACTCCTGACTGGCTCGCATTTCTGAAGAAGGGCATAGATGTCTTTGCTTGTGATTGGGACGTGATCCATGCTGGCATGTATGCGATGTATGCTGCTTCTGCTAGTGTTGAGGGGGACTGTTACTCGTGTGTGCCCAGAGTTGCTAGGGTAGAGGCTGCTAGTTTTGGTGCTTTTGACTCAGCTAGTGCAGGTGCAGAGCCTGAGGAGGCCTTGCACACTTTTACCATCGACTCAGACGCGTCTCGTTGCTTCTTCCGCGACAGCACCACAGTCACACCGCTCACAGTCCCTGTCCCTGTCACACTGGCCGACCCCTCCGGGGGCCCGGTAGTTGCGCGTGGCGCCACTGTTCTCCCTTGTCCGGCGGCCCCTTCCGGCTTCCTCACAGGTCTCCACCTCCTCTCGTTCGCTAAGAACTTTGTGGCTACCTCTGTCCTCCAGGACCTCTGGGTCACTGTCACCCAGCATGGAGGCGAGCTAGTGGCGATCTGTACGGACTCGCGCACTGGTGAGCACCTCGCCACGTTCACTCGGAGGACTGGGTCTGGCCTGTACACCCTGACCACTGAGTCTGCACTGGTAGCTGAGTCAGGTCAGGTAGCTGTGTCGGTTGAGGTCGCTTCGTCTTGTTCGTGTCGTCTCCTCACGCACCAGACTCTCCTTTGGCACCACCGTCTTGGCCACCCCTCCTTGCCACGCCTGCGTGGCATGCACTCCCGTCTCCTTGTGTCTGGTCTCCCCACGTCCCTGCCCCCACTCCCAAGGTCGCTTGCACCACCCTGCCTTCCCTGCGTCGAGGGGCGGCAGCGCGCCGCTCCTCACTCCTCCTCGTTTCCTCCTACCACTGCTCCGCTGCAGACCCTGCACATGGACGTGTGGGGCCCCGCCCGCGTCACTGGCCAGGGTGGCGAGCGCTACTTTCTGCTGGTTGTCGACGACTACACGCGCTACACCACGGTCTTCCCCTTGCAGAGCAAGGCGGATGTCCGCGGTGTCTTGATCCGCTGGATCCGCGCTGTCCGTCTCCAGCTTCGCGCTCGGTTCCATGAGGACCTCCCAGTCCTGCGGCTGCACTCTGACCGAGGTGGTGAGTTTTTCTCCCACCTCCTCGAGGACTTCTGTGGTGCTGAGGGCATCTTCCAGTCGTACACGCTTCCGGCCTCTCCACAGCAGAATGGGATTGCTGAGCGCCGCATTGGTCTTGTCATGGAGGTTGCTCGCACCTCCATGATCCATGCGGCTGTTCCCCATTTTCTGTGGCCGTTTGCGGTCCGATACGTCGCTGAGCAGCTCAACCTCTGGCCCCGTGTCTCC